AGCCTGCATGACTGCTGTCGCTTCCGCCCGAGTCGGACCCTGAGACAGAGTAATGCCGAATCATTCGTGCGCCCGATCACAACTTCCCGTCAGCCCGCCTTAAATTGAATGGTTTACTGCGGAAAAATAATAGACTGGAAAAAGAGAAGGAGCAGGAAGAAGAAGAAGAGAGGGAGATAAAAAGTGATTAAGTGGAGGAACAATCTATTACCAGGTCCCAACACACAAGAGGACACGGAGGAAAGCATCAACAAAAACCCAGATAGGAGGATGCACTGTCGCACTTCCTATATTGTTGGTTTGGAAAAAGGATAACAAAGAGTATGAAAATGACTGATCGCCCCTCGTCAGCTGGCCTGGAGGAACCCGTGCATTTGGTTGCTCAAAATGGTCAAGCAGTGGACAGCGTTCCGTCCCGACGGAGTTCGGTTAGGTCTACTGAAGCTCCAGAAGCCTCGCTGCCTGCCCCGGCCGAGTCGGTAGATGTTAGGCAGGCAGTCGCCAAACCTCCCAGTGCCAAACTTGCCCTGCCTAACGGCGAGGTGGCGGATGCTCAAACGTCTCTTCGTCACACATTTCCCCATTTATACCATTCTTCCAGTGCATCCCGATCACCCTCGACCCGTACTTCATCCAGCTCACTACAGGCGTTGAACGAAGATACCGTTGTTGACGCCCGGTCGGATCACGGTTTATGGACGAAGGCATCTTTCGGGCGAAGAATGTCCCATCGGAGTGCGACCGACCCGCACCCTGCCGATTACCCTGTATATCCTGATCAGTCCTACGCCGTGCTCCAATCACAAATTCACCCTACCTATCACCCTCCATTTGTGCGCTCCCGCAGTTCCTACCCGGCACGGACTGAGTCGCTTGGCCGACTTGTGAGCCCACGCACCGCTCGCACTGCGGGTAACACTCCTGTATCGAGTCCTGGACTATTCTCCGTCAACAGTCCTCGCTCAACGCCTCCTCCTAACTCCGATGACGAAGGTCGCATTAGCAGTCCATATCTACACCCTACTCATCTCCAGCCGCCGAAAGAGACACATACGGCGGAGGTTGATCGAGATCTCGTTACTGGTAACAAATTGATCAATCAATATGAGATTCTTGAAGAGCTTGGGCGGGGTGAGCATGGAAAAGTGAAATTGGGCCGCCATGTGACAACGCGTCAGAAAGTGGCAATCAAGATCGTTCAGCGCTATTCGAAACGACGCCGTTTGGGTAAATTGGGTAATCCCGAAGACAAGGTCAAGAAAGAAGTCGCCATTCTGAAGAAAGCTCGGCACCCGAATGTTGTCAGCCTGCTGGAAGTTATCGATGACCCGAACCGCCAGAAGGTATATATAGTCTTAGAGTTCGTTGAGAACGGCGAGATCATCTGGCGGAGGAAAGGACTACGCGAGATTGTACAAGTCGACAAGCGCCGCCTGGAACGTGAAAAGGCCGGTATTCCCGAAACCCCGTCGTTCTGGGAGGATAGTCGGCAATATATCAGGACGGCGCAGCGCCTTCGTCGCCAGCGAGAGAGGGCACGTGAACGGCGCCAAATGAAAGCAGTCCATGCCCAACAGGCACCTATCCCTGCCTGGAGTTTAGAGCATGGAGCCGAGTCGGACGAGGAAGAGGAGGTTGATCCACCAATGGCCCGCACCATCAGTCGCTCCATTGCGAGTCACGACGAGACCCAAGAATCCCCGAGTCACTCTTTGGCATCCGCACATGACTCTGCGCTGGCCGCAATTGAAGGTACAATGTACGGACCCTATGTTGATTACTCCCTTGATAGGCGATTCAGTACCGCCTCGAGCAGCATGGGCTACGCACCCTCCGAGCCGGAGTGGTTCTCGGATGATGACGACATGTCGTATGTTCCATGCCTTACCGTCAACGAAGCGCGAAACGCGTTCCGTGATTCCCTACTCGGTCTCGAGTATCTTCACTATCAAGGTATCATCCACCGCGATATCAAGCCGGCGAATCTTTTAGTCACAAGCAATCACCGCGTGAAGATTTCCGACTTTGGTGTTTCCTATCTTGGACGACCGATGCGAGACGAAGAGGAGGAGCAAGTCGCTGAAACCGACGCGACTGAACTCGATGATGCTCGAGAGTTATCCAAAACTGTTGGCACCCCGGCCTTCTACGCACCCGAACTGTGCTACACCGGCGACGACTTTGAAGAGACAATTGGCTCGGTACCCAAGATTACCGGCGCGATCGATGTTTGGTCTCTTGGCGTGACCCTTTATGGAATGATCTTCGGACGTCTGCCTTTCGTGTCCGACGATGAATATAGCATGTTTCAGACTATTGTCAAGAAGGATGTTTTCATTCCACGCAAGCGCTTGCAGCCTGTCGAGGTAGACACTGAGTCCGTCAGCCAATGGCCCCGATACTCGAACAACAACAAGCGCATGGAGGACGAGCTTGTGTATGAGGAGATCGACGATGAACTTTACGACCTCCTGAAGCGATTGTTGACCAAGGATCCCGTCAAGCGCATTACTGTCAAGGAGATTAAGCACCACCCTTGGGTCCTCCATGGCCTGCCGAATCCCCGAGCGTGGATTGAGGAAACGGATCCAGGCTATCAGAGCAAGGGCAAGAAGATCGAAGTCTCCAACGAGGAAGTCACTACGGCCGTCAGCAAGGTACCGTTCATTCAACGGGTACGGTCCAATGTTGCCAAACTGTCGAACTACCTCACTGGAAGGTCGAAAGACAAGGATAAGGAAAGTCGCAAACGAACGTCTAGTACCACACCATCGGTCGAATCTTCCGCTTCAAGCAATGCTAGTTTGGGGAAATATATCCTGGACAGTCGTCGGGGCAGTCTCAGGGAGGAGGATTTATACCGGCCTGCCAGGCTGGCGACAAGAGACGCTGAACATCCGCTGTCGCACAGCGTGACGGCGAGTCCGGTCGGTCGGGATAATCAGACTTCATACTTTGACGACTTCAGAACTGATGCAACGTTTGATCGTACGCCGCGCCCGGATCCCCCTCATCGCGCGACGTCCACCTTGTCTACTGCCGGATCTGCAAAGACTATCCGGCCAGACTGGACAGCCACACCGTGTGCAAGCCAGCGGGTCAGTGCGTCTTCGAAGATTGAAAACCACGGCACCACTCATGTCGGCGGTCTCTTAGGCGGGGCAGGCCGTCGGCTAGCACGCGGCCTTCAAAGCAGAGAGTGGCGCTCGGATAGGTCCATTTCCGGAGATACCGCAGATTCCGTCTCTCTAGATGGTGATCGTCACTCAGAGCCCAGCCTTGCCTTGAGCGTCGCCTCCGCAGTTGGTCATGTACAAAGCTCGAGCTTCTTGCGGGACGGGGACACTCACTATTTGCATGCAGAGAGCTTGAGCGCGGCGGAATCAGGACACCGGCGCAATAGATCTCACCACCTTACGACCAAGTCATCGCATGAGCCGTTTCAATTCGCCAATGACGTTCTGCTGAGGAAGCGACGGAGTGACATTTACCAGGCTCCTGTCGACGACCAAGTGCCACCGGAGATCAAGAGCAAGTCCACTGACTCGCTAAATCTTCGACCCGAGCCGCAACCAGAGACAACAGCATGCGCGATCGAAACTGCCACCACTGACCCACCATCCGGTGGACTAACCACATCACCACCCTCGGCTGCCACCATTTCTTCCTCCTCGGTCGACGACTACACCAGTGGAATGTCTCAGAGTGCTTCTCATCCAAGTATCCCCTCGGTCATTTCCGGTGCATCATCGCTTTCCGGTGATGGGTCCCTCAAGGACAAGGAATGTGAGCAGGCGGCCGCAGTCCCTTCCATCCTTCGCACGGGCGAAACGGTCAAGGCTCGACTCCTGCGGCCCCAACGGTCGCACGAGGATGATGAGTCGCGGTACTACTGTGATGATGAAAATGATTCGGAGGATGATTCTGAAGATGAGGTTCTTGTCATTGGCAGAAAGAAGCCGAGCCCTCAGAAGCCAGTGATGTGTGGGGCTCAGGCTTCCAATCCCAAGGCATGAGCTTGGTATATAAAAAATTCGCCTGACATGGCCGACGAACCTTTCGATTCAGAGTCTGCCGCCCGAAGCAAAAGAAAGAGAAGAGGAAAAATCATTCCTATTTTGACGTCTCTAATACCTTGCTAAGGGCGCAGAAACCATTGCCCTATTTCACATTCTGTTATTGTTCTTTGAGCAAGCTCTGACATGATGCTCAGTGGCTTGCTTCTTGCTGGGTCTCGTTTCTTTAATGTACATCAATTTATTCGCCAGGCCTTTTCCTTTCTGTGTGTTGCACTATCGTGGGTCCCCTCGACAGGCCATTTGATTGACTGCATTTGCTGTTGGCATACATGATACACTGCTTGTACATATATTCTCATGGGCGGCACGTCTATATTCGCTTTTTTCTTTGCTTGCCTTTGCTCCCTTCTTCCTTTCTTATTGCGCACCCCGGCGTTCTTCGATTCGACCCTCTGCGATTATATATTGGGATTTTTCTCTGGCATGGGGTGTTTGAGATACAAACTCATCCGTTGTTGTACGTAATTTGAAACACGAGGGAGGATCTGGGGATGCAAAGGTTGGGATATACCGAGCCAGGGTCCTTTTGAGGAAGCTCGCATGATGCATGGATGTCTTTTTGTTTGCTTTTTCTTTTTCTTTCGCTTTGCGCCTTGTTGTGATGTGATGACGGATGATGATGACCTAAATTGGGAGACCTAGAACATCTCCGATGGCTTAGTATTTGAACCCAATTAGGATGAAGCAGTAACAATTGACATATGCTTGATTCTTACGAAATATCTGCTCTGTAGATGCCTTTCGAGTTCACGATGATCCTTGGGCTGGACTGAGGCTAGATCAGCATTGGTGGTGAAGGATGCTAGACATGACTCCGCACTCGGCTGTTTTGAAATACCCGGATCTGCAGTGCTCGGGGTTTCACTATCCAGGAACCCACCACTTAGTCTTTTTCAAGGAATTTCTTCAACTGTTCCTCCACCAATAGTGGATGGCGCCTCAATGTACCTGTCCAAACTCCTGTCCTCCATTATTCAATTCCATTTCCCCGGGCCATGCAGAAAGCGGGACACCGTTCGATCCTGCCAGGTCTTGTGTGTTCGGCTGATTCTGCTCGATGATGGCGCCACAAGACTATCACAGGTTTCTGCTGAGACCGCTGTTGTCTCGGAATTATTGCTCTCTTAAGTCCTGAGTGTGATTTGATGGATTAATGGGTGGTCCACCCATTGACTGCGCAGTCATGGCGGGGGGTAGTAGGAGACGAGTTACATATATGTGCTATGAGACGCTCGGTTTCTTCGTTCTACAGGTTGCTCAAGTCTTGTCCTAACGTTCAGTGAATCTGATTGTGAAAGATGCTCGGCAAGATGATCCTTCTACCCCTTTTTCTTCTCTGTCACTCTCTTGCTTCTGCGTCGCTTACCTACCGCGGCGCTGATATTTCCTCTCTGCTGATCGAGGAGAAGGCCGGGATCGAGTACAAGAATGTGGACGGACAGACACAGCCGCTTGAGAATATACTCAAGGCTAATGGTGTGAATTCCATTCGCCAGCGGGTGTGGGTGAACCCCAGCGATGGATCTTACAATCTGGACTATAACCTCAAGTTGGCGAAGAGGGTGAAGGCCGCGGGGATGAGCGTTTACCTGGACTTGCACTTCAGTGATACTTGGGCGGACCCGAGTCATCAGGTACGTGGGATATGGACGCTCTAGCAGCTCGTACTATGACTGAGATGAGACAAATGTAGACCACACCCATTGGATGGTCGACCAGCGACATTGGCACCCTCACCTGGCAGGTGTACAACTACACGAAGGAGGTCTGCGACACGTTCGCCAGCAACGGCATCGACGTCTCCATCGTGGCTATCGGCAACGAGATTCGCAACGGACTGCTATGGCCGCTCGGCAAACCAAATAATTACGCCAACATCGCCAACATCCTGCACTCGGCGGCCTTCGGCGTCAAGGACTCGACCCTGTCGGCCAAGCCGAAGATCATGATCCACCTCGACAACGGCTGGGACTGGTCGGCGCAGAAGTTCTTCTACGACAGCGTCCTGTCGTCAGGCGGGAATCTGGTCAAGTCCGACTTCGACCTCATCGGCGTCTCATACTACCCCTTCTACAACCCCAGCGCCACCCTGTCGGCGCTCACGACCAGCCTGAAGAACCTCCGCTCGACCTACGGCAAGGATGTGCTGGTCGTCGAGACGGACTGGCCCGCCTCGTGTCCGAACCCGGCGTATGCGTTCCCTTCTGATCTCAAGGATATTCCCTTCTCGGCAGCCGGGCAGACGACGTTCGTGCAGCGGGTTGCGAACGTTGTCGCGCAGACGTCGGGAGGCATAGGGCTGTATTACTGGGAGCCGGCTTGGGTGCAGAATGCGGGCCTAGGCTCGAGCTGTGAGGACAACTTGATGGTGGATTGGCGTACAGATCAGGCCAGGACAAGCCTGAGCGTGTTCGGGTCAATCTGATCGTCGTATATCCTTGTCTGTGAATGCTATACTCCGTACGACATTGTCTAGACCACTACCAAGCTACCAGGGGTCAATGCAATAATCTAGAATCCCAAGGCAGAAACATTTCCTTGAAACTTGATAATCGAAAATGTATTGAATAGTTGACCGCTCATACTCGGGCATGACGCTCGGTGGCTGTGCACCGCGACTAGTATCGCCAGCACGTCTGCAGAGTCCACTTAGACCGAAGGGTTGACCTGTCAGAATCATGCAAGCTGGTAGCTAAGAAGTGAGATGCCTCAAGGCTCCCACTGTAATGTAGCACAGATATAAAAAGAACGGAATGCTGTCAGGCTGACTTTTCGTACAGAAAGGGGAGGGATAGTCGTTGCTATACTATACTACGCTGGAGACAACGTGCCGATAATGGCAATAGCTGACAGCGTGGAGCCGATCAATCATGGGGAACTGGATACTGATTCATGTGAGGATTTACACGAGCCAAGACAGTTTCACACAAATATCTCAAGATCGATTTTGAGTTTTCGTAACCGGGATGGTTGATGGAGTCTTACTGGACCTGTCTACCTTTAGTACCGTAGCTCAGTCGAAGCAAGTACTCAAGATACCTACTTTCCCTTAATTTTCTGGGTTTAGATCGAATTCTCCCCTTTAAACTGGCCAATACAACCTACCAAGCACCTAGTATTTAGCCCAGCAATAAGATCATCCCTACTCCGTACTTAGATACCTGTCTAGAGGGTCGTTTGTTCTGTCCATGAATGCTCCGTAGACACGCATCGTTAGGGCGCCAAACCCCCAGAATCGCAGTAAGAGAAGCCCAACTCTTTTTTGGCCCCTCTGTGGCCGTCATTCCCTTTTAGTCTCATACTCTCCTTTGTCAGGGGCTACAAGGCAAGACCTTATTATCATTTTTGATAAATACCAGCCTGCAAATATCATCGTCATTGTTGTCGTTGTCAGACAAGTTATTTGTTCCTCTTCGTCGCCAGAATAAATAGCGATAGCACGTGCCTGAGGGGAAACCATCATTATCTCTTCAGCTTCAACTTCATCATCATCATCCCCCCTCCGTCCCTTATCATTCTTCCTCTCTGAGTCCGATTGACAGAAATACGGCCCCAAAAGTTTAGATCCTTCAATGATCTCTTGACGTTCTCCTATATTTTCTTCTCCCAGGTACTACATTTTCCATACTAGAGACATGCTTCCCTCGAGAATGTGAAACAACCGCAAGACCGACCGCTGATGCTTGCGCCACGAGGCTGATTCGCAAGGTGCACTCCAAGTCTCCAACTTCAACTCCAACTCCGGCTCCCTGGATCTTGTCTCGTCCAGTCCTGATCGCTGGATGATATCCTCTTGTGGTCCTCCTTCTTCTCTCCGCACCCGCATTGGTTATCCTCTCTGCGCTCGTTGATCCCTCCCTTGGTCCCCTTCACCGCCCCTCTCTTCCCGCCCATACATACTACGGCGGCGCTTCTCTATCGAACCACCCCTCCGCCCGCGCGCTCCCTCGCTTGTCCCTGTTCCCGCGGCCATCTTCATCGCTAAGCCTCAGGGTCCAAATTTGTATCTATTCTGGGATCGCGTTTCACCAACGTGATGACTTCACAGGAGATGTTCCCTGAGTTGGGGCAGTCTCCTGCACCTGGCGTTAAAAGCCGCGGTGTCAGCCCCTCTCCCCATCACCATCAGCAGCAGCCGCAGCAGCAGCAACAGCAACAGCAACAACATCAAGGACAATTTACGGGGACAGTCACTGGCTTGGATCTTGATTCTTCGATCGCTGCAGCTAGTTCTTTCTCCAATTCGTCCTTCGATCCCAATAGCAACAACATTAGCCCTTGCGCCGACTCGTATGGTTATACTGCCGCTGGCTATCTCTCAGGCACTCCTGGATCGCAGACCGACCAGAACTACGCGAATAATAATCTTCAGCTTCCGCAATCGTACGACACCGGTCTGGTTCCTCAGTTCAATGAGTCTCACGGCTTGTCGATACAGCAGCAGTCGCAACAACAACAACGACAGCACCAGCAGCCCTCCATCGACGATAACTTCTCCAACCTTTTGAACTCCAATACCACCGATTACGACTTTAACACCGTCTACCAGAATCACAGTCCCAGTAGGAATACTGCTCCCGAGTACGACTCCTCCCTTCTGCTTGACCCTCAGGTCCACCAGCAGTCGCATCCGACCCAGATACCCTCCTCCCATTCCTCAACTTCTCCGCAGATCTCCCCGCTTGAGCAACAGCAGCACTCCTCACCGGGTCCGATGTCCACCCAAGGCTCGACGACCGTGGCTTACTACACCCCTCAGCATTCCCGTCATGCATCCTTGGACCCCGCCACGGCCGCCTTTCTCACCAGTAACGCACATCCGGACTGGCAGGCCGTGATGGGCAATAGTGCTGCTTTCCAGGGCCATCGACGAGCTCCATCCGAGGTTTCTGAAATTTCCTCCGCCGCTCCTTCTCCGTATCTCTCACAACATGAGTCTTTTGATGGCGTAGACAACAATCCCTCTCCCCTGCTGGCACCCCAAAACGATCCCAGCTTGTACGATAATGCTCTTGGGATCGAGAATTTCACTTTGTCCGAGCAGCAGCAGCATCAAGGGTTCAGCCCGGCGCACAGTCCGTACATCTCTCCGCGGCTGATGCCCCAACAGGGACAGGAAATGATGCCCAATGTGCCATTTCTCTCTGGTCCCGCTCCAAACGCGCAGTATCCGACACCTCCGAATGATATGTATGGCAATGGACCGGAGGGAATGATGAATATGTCGCAGGGGACTCATCCATCTGTGGACATCGGCCAAGCGTCTCAGATGGCTCCGCCGTCGATCAACGTGGAATTCGCACCCCCGTCGCGGATCCCCAGTTTTGGACCTTCAAAACCGGCCAGCAACCTCGACTCCTTGAGTCCTCCTCCTTCGTCGATACGTAAGTAACCCCCTGCATTCGATTTTCGTTTGTCATCAGGGAACTAATCAAAAATGTAGGCTCTCGCGGGCGTAGCAAGTCTGATCCATATGCCCATCCTAGCACCAGTCGGTTGCGCTCCTCGTCGACTTCGAGCAGCCTGGACCCCCTTGCACCTACTACTCCTCGGTCACTTTCTCCGTTCGACTCTTTTGGACGTCAGCAGCAGAGCAATCCGAGCTCACGCGATCCGTCTCCGTCTAAATCCAGTCGACGTCTGTCGACCTCGTCCATCGATAGCCGCAATTACATTCTGGGCCTTGCGGATCCCCAACGGCCAGGGGCTAGCCCCAACGACTCGAAGCGTGTCCAGAAACATCCCGCAACGTTTCAGTGCAACTTGTGTCCGAAGCGCTTCACTCGGGCTTACAATTTGCGGTCACATCTCCGAACCCACACGGACGAGAGGCCGTTTGTCTGCACTGTATGTGGCAAAGCCTTCGCTCGACAGCACGATCGCAAACGGCACGAAGGGCTACACTCGGGCGAGAAGAAGTTCGTTTGTCAGGGAGAACTCTCCCGTGGCGGACAATGGGGTTGCGGTCGCCGATTCGCTCGGGCGGACGCTCTGGGGCGTCATTTCCGCTCGGAAGCGGGGCGGATCTGTATCAAACCGCTGCTAGATGAGGAGTCGCAAGAGCGTGAGCGTTCACTCGTGGACCAGCAGCAACGTCATTTGCAACCTCTTCCGCAACAAGTGATGGTACCAGTGGATAACCCACATGCTGGTAATTTTGTGCTGCCTGCCGCGCTGCTGGCTCAATATCCCGCTCTCCAGACCCTGCAGTGGGACCAGATTGCCGCATCGGCGGATGATCCCAGCGACATAGGGGGCCGTAGCAGCTTCGACGCCAGCTCCGGCAATGAATTCGGCTTTGAGGATGACGATTCGGGGCTCAGTAGCGTATCCGGTATCAATGCTGGGTATTCTGCTGTCGGTAATTTCTATTGAGTCAAGCATCCGGTCAGATTCCAGGTGTCTCCAGGAGAGATACCAACAATATCGACGCTGACTGGAAGGCCTGTCTGTCTGCTGTCGTCCCCGTTCTCACGTTCAGCTTGAGATAGACTTGGCATTCAATCCCGGAATTGCAGGCCCTGCGTCACACAAGCACGAGGAAGTGATTCGATTTGAAACTATATAGATGGATTTTGGCGTTGTGATAAAAGGTTGGATCACAAGGTTAACCAAATAACCGGCGGGTATACCTTCTTTTATTCCTTGATTTTCGCTTCATTTCCTTTTTCGCTCTTCTTTTTCTTTCTGCCTTACTTTATTCCCCATTTGGTCTTATATTCTTCTTCAGCCCCTTAGGCTGTTTATATTCAGGGGGCCACGAACCTCCTTTTACGTGTTTATGATGACTTTTGGAACTCATACCCATGGATTTGCTCCATTCTATTCATGTCGAGCTGTTTATCTACTGCCTCTTGTCAGGATACTCTGAACCAAGAATGGACTCCGTCTTCATTGATTGATATGGATGTCGGGTAGGGAGAAATGCTTGGCGGGATGATCGTAGACCGGATTGAGCTCATCGTCGAGCCGAGAAAATGAACCATGACAACAATCTATACCGATCTCGGGATCTAAGCTTAAGCTTTACAACCTTAAGAGAGGAAAGTAAAAAAAAAGTTGTCGAGTAAGGTATACACAGACAGAAATCCGGAATGGAGGCTACTCCTCGATCTAGGTCTAGCAATCGCAGTTCATCGGCGGCGCATCTCGACCAACTTCCCAACCTCTTCGATCCATTTCTGAGAGAACTCCTCCTCGGTGAACCGCAGGGCGGACTTACGGGCGCGCTGGCGCATCGCGATTTTCTCCTCCGCCGGGAGGGCCAGGGCGGCCTCGAACGCGGCGGCGAATTCGTCCTCGGTAGAGGCGCGGAAGCCTGTCGCCCCGTCGCCGAGGTCGATGACAATGTCCTCGCGCGGGCCGCCGGAGTCGTGCACAACACTGATCAGACCTGCGGCCTGGTACTCGACGACGCAGATGCCAAAGTGCTCGTTCCACATGGCGTTAACACCGACTGAGGCGGACCGCAGATGCGACAGGATGGTCGGCCAGCTCGCGTCGCAGATGAAGGTGGTATGGTCACGGATGCGGAGCTCGTGGGCCAGCAGGCGGAGGTTATAGATGTGGGTTTCGTCGGGGCTGGAGTGACGGACGGAACCGATGAGGACCAGTTTGGGCTGGGGGAGGGCGGCCGAGGTGGGGTTCTTCTTCCGCTCGCTGAGGAAGCGGGCGAACGAGCGCAGGACCAGCGGGTGGTTTTTCTCGGGCCGGAATTGAGCGATATAAAGGATGATGGGTTCCCGGCTGCGCTCCGAGTCCTCATCAACTGTGATGGTCGACTCGATCTCTGACACTGCCGTGGGCGGGAAGATGACGGTGGGCTCTTTGAAGGTCCTGCGCGTCCGTGCGGGGCCCCAGATGGTCCGGATATGGGCTGATGTCCAAGAAGAGTTACACATGACAACGTCAACATGACCTCCGACCCAACCGTAGAGACGGGCAAATGCCAGCCAGTACTTGCGCTTGACCTGGCCCTTGAACCCCTTGCCCGCACCCGCATTGACCCCTTTTAGGCCGGTGCTGTCATTCAGGGATTGAAGCATGTCCGTCGAGATGGTAGGATAGTGGACGTATGCGCCTGTAGGGACAGAGGGGAAAAGCATCTTGCAGAACGCAAGGGTGAATGCGTAGCCCATGGTGTCGATGAACACATCCGGAACGAGCAGGTTGAAGGCGTCATAGGCAACCACCAGAGACCCGAGAGACTGTCCCAGAAGCGTCATGTACGGATACATGCTGCTCAGAACATATTTACGTGTAGTCAAATAGAGCAGAACAACAGTGGGCGCATGAAGTTGAATATTGAAGCGGTTCTGCAGGGTTGAGTCAGCGAGTCCTTCGTACACAGACCGGCTAGACTCACCTCTACCCTCTCCAGCATGGCCGTCTTGTTGACCTCGTGGTCGCCAGTATATATAGCGCAAATTGCCTTGGGCCATCGCCGTTGCGTTGCTCTTACAGCTTCCCAAAGAACACGCTCTCCTCCTCCGCCAGCGTTACTAAGTCGACAATTCAAGATCGTTAGCCAATGCTGGTCCCTGGTGAAGTTTTATGAGATTTCGCCTACCAGAACGGGTGAAAGAAACCAACAATGCCCTCCCAGTCTGCATCTTCTGAACCTTTGTTGCCGCTATTCCCGCCTTTCTTACTGGGGCCAGCTGTCCCGGAGCTGGAACTCGAGCTATCAACCTTCTCCCAGTCCTCATCCTCTCCCCGGGGAGACGACTTGAATCCCTTTACTAGCTGTTCCTCCTCATCTGCTCGAACTCTCGAGATCAGAAACTCCCTGCGAGACCGTGTTCTCTTTTGAATAACCCATCCGACACCACGGAGCACGAAGCGGAGAACCCCCAAAGGGAGCTGGGGAAGGAGGAGGCAGGTCGCAAGGAGGGCGAGAAGTGTGAGGAATGGCTTTAACAGAAACAGCATCATGATCTACTCGAAAAAAGAGACATAGTCGATAAAGTTTTCCTGTAGATCGGGGCGTCGAGGACAGAAAATAGTCAATGGGTGGGATGTCCGGCTGACGACTGCCGACTGATCATATTCGGCTCAAAATAGCAGCTGTATTATTTGGCGGTTTCCTATCGATAGCAGCTGGCGATAACAACACCTGACGATAACACCTGATGATAACAATAGACTGTGTATGTAATGTATGTAATGCTCTGTCTTGTTCGATTTGATACTATACCGTCAGGTATTGCAGCTCAAACGCCACGTGACATGCTTACTGGAGCTTTTGGAGCATCACTTTGTTTTTTTGGGATTGTAGACCAGCAGAACCGCACATGCACTGCTCCATTGTAAGTGTATATCAATGTCATCTCATTCTCTTTCCTCAGAATAAATATTTTATTTCTTGTCTCTCATTATCTCTGTCTTAATCCCTCTTTCAGCAATTGAGCTGTCCATATGATGAGACCGCTTCGTCCTTCGCTCCGTTCGCCGCATACTGCCGGCAAACGGGTAGCCCAGCAAATACGGCATTTCCACGTCACGCGGCCATCTCCTTTTATTAATGAAGTGCTGGACGTTTCGTCTGGCTTCATTCATGCCGTTCATTCGATCAGTGGCCTCCCATGGGCCTTGTCCATCCCATTGACCGCCTTGATCGTCCGAACTACCGTTGCGATGCCGCTGCAGATGTACATCAAAATCCAAGCACGCAAGGAGCGAGACCTAGCTCCGCTACTTCACTCATGGAGGAAACATTTTCAAGCGCAAATCAAAAAGCGTGTCGATGCCGAGAATCACAACCCAATCCTCCCGAGAGAGGCAATCCGAGAGTTGACGACAAAGGTCAAGGCGAAGCGGAAGGAACTGCACAAGCGATGGAACGTGCCCCGGTTCTGGAAGCCTGTCAGCTTCCTGCAGATACCGATATGGATTTCAGTTATGGAGAGTCTCCGGGCCATGTCTGGGAACAATAAGGGTCTCGTACCGTACCTCCTCTCCCTGGTTGAACCGTCCTCCGCAAAGCCAAGCACCGCGGTCCACCTGGCGGTCGAGCCGTCGCTGGCCACTGAAGGAGCCTTCTGGTTCCCCGACCTCTTGGCTGGAGACTCGACGGGCATTCTTCCAGCTGCGCTCACTCTGTCAATCATACTCAACATTCGTGCTGGGTGGAAAGCTCCCGCTCTATCGGACATGGCTGACTTACCGCGGATCGAGATTGCAAAGAACCTGACTGTGCGTGGTATCAGGGTACTGGTCCAGGCGCTTGCCTTAAATATTGGCGTCTCGTCCTATCTGTACGAGATGCCTTCTGCGCTCATGATCTACTGGATAAGCAGTACGAACATTGCTACTTTGCAAACTTTCTTACTGGAGAGGTACATGTTGTCAAAGCCGCTCCTTGAGCCCTGGAGACAGATTCATATTGGCTATCCTCAACCAGGTGAAAAGACATCTCCGCTGAAAAAATGATCAAGATTGCATCTCACGGGAGCGCAATGGCCAACTAGCTATGATGAACGAGATGGAGAACACATATGGAACCAAGCATGCAAGATGAGCTCACCAGTGATACGCGGAAGAATAGCAAAGGCAGAGGCAACCTTTCAGGGCCACACGAGTCAAAATGGCTCTCCGCTCGTGCTGATGCCGCCTTAGCGACGCTCAGGTATGTGGCACTTGCTTCCGATGACCAGGCTCAAGACAGGCTCTACACAGGCGGTGGGGCTCCGTGCAAGTCGGTGTACGTGCCGCTTGTATAATCGAAGAAGCGATAGTTTGGAATCTGGCGAGGAACCCCAGTTGCTCGTCGAGAGCGAGCCCAGCCCTGGCCCCATTCCTGTGCCACTGTTGTATCGCGCTCTCCCCAGTCAAGCTCTTGAGGGCTCCTGTCGTCCACACTGAAGAGTGGGTCAGGGTCTTGTCCAAGGCCTGACAACCACTTCAGAATGATTTCCTCGCGTGTCATTGGACCTTCAGGTGCAGCAGATTCGACTGGGACCCCACCTCTGTCTTCGGATACAGTGTCAGTTTCCGCTGGGACTTGAACATTCTCGTTCTCAGTCGCTGGGTTGACTCCGGCCGGGATTGGAAATCCCTTGTTCTCCTTTTCAGTGACATCATCGTGAAGTTCAATTCCGAGTCCATGATTGTTGAGGTCTTGGTCATTTTCGTTACCAGCTCCAGCGTCTTTGGCTGGTGATTGTGCGTTCTCAGACTTGTCCTCTGGGGACTCAAGAGCAAGATGCTCGATTCCAGCGTTGTATGTGACCCAAAAGCTGAGGTACTCATCCTCCTCCAATCTGAGGTCTTCCATGTTGGTATTGCTCTTTAAGAGAAATGCTCCCCAAATCAGCCGTGAACTCGAAGCTCCATTAGTCAGGCTCTATGACTTACCCCGGTTGGACGGTTGAACGCTGCTCTAACTTCGAATGGCAAAGCCGCAGCCTTGAAGGAACGATTTTATTGGAATTGTCAACGGGCAAGATCACAGAACAGGGCAGTCAGTCAAGAGACGAAACACAACTGAACACTTTCAGATTTTCAAGCTGAGTTGTAGTGTGTGAGCAATTCCAAAAGACAAGGGAATTTCGACTTGCTTCTTCCAAAAAGCACTATCAGCTGGACAAGGTGTCTGGAAGACAAAAGACTCCGAGGTCGAGAAAGAAGAGGGTTAGGGACGGAACATGAATACAAAGGGCGTGAGAGAGGCGCGGCAAAAGTTCAGTAAGCAATAGTCACTGTGCTTGCAGAAACTTGCTCGCCCCTTTCCCAAAAGGGTCGTGATTGACGCTATCTGAGACGACACCGTCCTCTGTATTATGTCGTCGCGGAGTAGTAGTGCTCTCTCTCTCTTCTATCTACTAGAAGAAGACGTCTAAAATTCACTATAATCACATTCCTACTCCCTGAAGTACCTTTAGCCATCTACAGATCAGTCTGCATACACCAACAGCAGACCCTAACAGCCATACATCTAACTAAACACATCTAAGAAAGTGCCTTCTGCAGAAGGCTAGAGACCAGCACCTTAAGTATAGTCCTTAACTCTCTTCCTGAGCAAAGATGGACGATACCTTGACTCCCTCAGATCTATACCTGCTGAGGCGTTTCAGGGCATGACTCCTCACGTGGCTTCACTGCTATCCAGATCCACGTGGGTCCACGTGACTCATAGTAAACGGCCTCGCTGCCACCCTGAGATGAATTCAGTAGTGAATTTTTCTTTGAATATCGTTTAATGTTCCCCTATCTAGGGATCCTGTTGCTATCTCCTCATCAGCAAAATGGTTTCCCCTGTTTGTGAGGACTTATATTCATTCTTGATCAAAGGTACATGGAGCAGGCCCAGCAGGGTACTCCAAGACCAGAATCACGTCCTTGAGATTGCAAATCTACTATCTGAACAATTTATGAGTATTGCTACTGCGGTAGTATCATCAACGCCAGACCCAAGAACCACACCAGCATATGCACTGGAAAAACCACCCAAGAGAGCCAGTTGAGAGTATCATCCGATGGTATCCTCTCCAGAAACAGACAGTAGAAGCGAAGACCATGTAGAAGAAAGAGGCGTCCCTCCGCTAGAGGAAATGTAAATTGGATGCTATTGGTTCGACAAGGTATCGATGCTATCATAGCTTGGCTTTCTGGTTTTCCTCCGACGCGCTGGCTTCCTGGTTGACGGTGATGGTCCGGTTGTCAGGGCCGTCGCCGAAGAAGATGACCTCGACGGTAATGTCGTCGCTGGTAACTTGTCAGTTCATTTTCAAAGATATGATTGTAGCGCGAAGTGCAAGGGATAAAGGAGTATTGCTTACCGGTATCTGCGGGAGTACGGACTAGGGAGTGTGAGCAAAGCGCAAACCATGTCCCTGTCCTTGCCACCCATCGCATTGCGCACGAGATGAGTTGCCGCGTTCTTGTCTTCTACGACAAAACGACTGGCAACGCCCGATATGTCGTACTGTTGCTGACGGATCGGACGGCGCTGGCCTTCCGTGGTCGTCTCCTTGGGTGCCTCTACGGGCAGATGCTTGTCGTCCAAGCCAAACCAGCTCTGCAGCCACGCCTTATTGGTTCCGTTGTTGCCAGCCCGCTGCTGGTCAACCCATTGACCCACAAGGCCAACGACTTCTTCATTGCTCAGCATTTCCCAGAGGCCGTCCGTAGCCATGACGACAAAGTCGCCCTTGCTAGGCTCAATCTTCGTGGTCGTGATGACAGGTTCGGCGGTGACATAAGGAGGAGTCTTCAACAGAGGATGAGGGGTCCTTCCGAAAAACTGCTTCTTGATTTTCTCCTGGGTCTCCTTGCTCCACTTGTAGAATGCATCTCCAAAAGAACGGCTAGGCTCCAGTTGTCCGAGAATTCTTCCGTTACGCACAACATTCGGTTCGCCGGGGTGCTCCTCCCGCAGACGCTTCATCTCTGAAGGTGTGCCGCCAGTCTGATCCTCAGAAAGTGGTGTTGCCGTCCATTTTCCGGTAGGTCCACGGCGGCCAAGAACAGCTCTCGAGTCACCAGCACAGGCGACCTTGAGGTCTTTGGACTGCGAGTCATAGAATGCAAGCAGAGCACAGGATCCGGAGAGAGCAGGCGCAAGCAGCTCGGCAGCGGCTCGGCGGGAGTTGGATTTGAGGACCTTGTCGACACTACTATGCACGATATCGTTATCAAGGCGGGCAAAGGCATGCTTGATTGCCGCGTCTACGGCTTCGGATGATGGGCTAATAAGTGAAGGATTGGTAGCTGCAGCCTTGTAGGTCGTGTTCAGCTCCCGGGCCACGTATGAAATCAGAACATTGCGCAGTTTGGCCGAGGTTGTCCATCCCCTAGCTCAGACGTTAGAAATGACAAGTATGAGTTGTTAAGCAGCAGCCTTACGAATGACCATCGAATACAGCCCAGAACATCCAATCACTAGTCGACTCGCCTTCGTTCGCCGCAGCTACAGAGGCAGGCACTTCGACAATCTTCTCGGCATGATCATCCTCGATGGGCGAGTTGCTCGGAACCTGGACGACATCGTATCGCACGACGCCTTTGCCCCGGTTCACCATAAAAGACTGCTCATTTCTCCTCAACTTCTGTGTCGCCTGTTCAGGCGTCAACATCTCTAGAATCCGGCGGTCGGAATCGTCTGTCTGCTTGTAAAGTGGCTGATCTCCAGATAGTGTTGCCGTGTAGAACTGATCATTGTCCACGAGGATCGCACGCCTGGTAGATTCCGCGGATTCTTCAGCGTGCGCTCCTGAAGATGCGTCTGTAGCTATCGACCGTGTCTGCGATGGGGACGTCACGGGGCTCTGCTGAGAGTTGCTACCCTGATAAGCGTACCAAGCGCCAGATGCGACAACCGTCGATATCACCGCAAGAGAAAAGTTTCGGAGATGCATCGATGACTGCAAAGTCGCTGGAATGAAGGAGGGATGTCGTCCACGCGAGGAGAGCCGGAGACCTAGAGGCTGATTATGGGAGAACGACACAGCACACGGTTTCCTAGCGCCAACCTTCCATACTGATACACGACGAGCAGTACGGAAAGTCTGGAGGGCCAGGCGACGCATTGAACTTGCCTTAACGTTCAGCCAATTGAGAAACCGTAGAATCCAGCGAGGCTGGTGCGGAAATGCAGAATGGTGTTGTTCGCTTTTCGCCCTGACTGTTGATCTCCAGAAACATGGAGAGCGGTCCCAGGCATCAAGGCACGGAAGATGATAACGTCATGTGATAGATAACGTATCGTATGGTAACATTAAGCTAAGGTTGGTAAGGTACCGTACAGTAATCTACAGAGTCCCGCACTAAGCCTAAGCGGGCCGTGTCGTCATGTCTGCGGTCTTCGTTCATCTCCAAATATCTGCCAGAAATCGATCATTTGAGGATTGATCGCCATCAAACCATTTTAAGGTTGGATACCACTGTCATACAGTCTCACCGCCCCCCGCAACCCGATCCTGAATGTCCTCCCGAGCGATTCGCAAGCTGCAGAAGCTTCGCGAACAAGAATTGCAACAAGCCCACCTACAAGCGGAGCAAGATAACGATGAGTCGGATGAGTACGAGCCGGTAATCCGGCCGTCAAGGCCGAAGCTGAATGCTTTTGATCTCCTCAATGCTGGCGATGATGAGGATGAGGAACACGAGTCTGATCACGATATCGAAGAGACGGTGACTCAGCCGCCGGAAGATGTCCCTGCCCGGGCAAAATCCGCAGATTCTAGTAAGAAGAAGAAAAAGAAGAACAAGAAGAAAAAGGCAGCAGTGGCAAAGGTTACGGCCACAGGAGGAGCTCCCGGTGCCAAGTCGGATGACGAGCTGGACGAGATCGATCGAGCTCTGAAGGAACTAGCCGTTGAATCCAAGGGTACTGACAGTCAAAAGGCTGCAACTGTGTCCCCAGAGAATGTCCGCGGCGCATCATTCCCCATGACACCAGAGGAGCTGCTCTCTATTGAGCCTAAATTCCTCAACGCCATGAATGAGATGCGAAGGTTGTTTGGGAATGTCGTCTTGGAGAGTTTTGACGAAGAATCTGGGACAGGTCGCAGGAGAGACAGAAATAGGGAAATGGTTGATCTGGGTCGCGCTTTGACTGGTAGGTATAGTCCTGCCAGCAAAGGTCTAAGTCTAGCAGGGACTACGCAGCGGCGGAATGTTCTCATGCAGGGAAAAGACGAGTGGCCGCGCGCTCCCAGTGGTGGTTTGGGAATGGAGCTGGTAGAAAAACTACCCAGTGGAGCTACGAAATACCAGATTGTCCACAACTCTGCGTATACAGACGTGCAAAGACAATTTGATATGTGCGTCGAGTCCATGGATCCGCAACGAATGATACACCTCTTGCAATATAACCCGTACCACATCTCTACTCTCCTTCAAGTGTCCGAGATAGCAAAACATCAGGGCGATCATGCCGTTTCCGCCGATCTTCTTGAGCGAGCCCTGTTCAATATCGGGCGCTCAGCTCACTCGTCGTTCGGCAATCGCTTAAAGGAAGGTCAGGCAAAACTCGACTTTGTCCACATGGCAAATCGTGAGCTGTGGCTTGTGGGTTGGAGGTATATTGCGAATCTGGGGATGAAAGGAACGTGGAGAACAGCATATGAATGGGCTAAGCTACTGTTGAGCCTGAATGATGACGACCCATATTACATCAGGCTTTTGATCGACCATCTGGCGCTACGGGGCAGAGAATACGCCCACTTCGTCGATTTGTGCACACAAACTAGACTGGGTGAGGACTGGGCGCTGTTGCCCAATATCCAATGCTCACTCGCACTGGCATATCTTCGGTTGAATAAACCAAAGGAATGCCGCGAGCAGCTGCGCCGTGCCATGTCGAGATATCCGTGGGTATTCTGTAAGCTTGCGCAGGAGTTGGATATTCAGCCCATGCCCAAGCGCATATGGGGCAAGATGCCTCCGACGGACGCCCACGAGTTGCTTACTGAGCTCTACATTGCCAGAGCCAAGGACCTCTGGAATACTCCTGAAGCGGTCTCCCTGATTGTGGAAATCGCTGACACTCTTCCAGAGGAAGAAGAGCCCATCGAACCTCCGGAAATTACTCTAGACATTGCACGCCATGTCGTCCTCTCGGATATTCCCCGCGTGACAACACATTTGCCCGGACGATTTGTTTCGGGGCGAATCTCAGCATCTGATCCTCTCCCGCCTTACGACTCTGAGGCTCATCGGCAGCAATCGGACCCAACGCCGTCCTACTTGGCGCAGATGCCAGAAGTAGGCCGACCGCAATGGCTTCGCGATCTACTAGACCAACTGAACAACGGAGCGCTTCATTTTCCTCGATTCCGCGGGGCCGACAATGAAGAGATCCGCGATGATGACTTATCCGATAACGATCGGGAAGAAGCTGGTGGTGAGCGCCGACATCCTATGGCAGACCAGGGAGCATCACTAGAGCAGTGGCTCCTGGAAGATGGTATGCAGAGCTTGCAAGCCTTTTTGAATCAGTACGGAGTCGATCGTGGTAACTGGGGTGATGTGGTGGACTACTCTCCCTTGACGGAGTATCTGGACGGCCTGGATGCTGTGCAGCCGGATGAGGCACGACAAGCGTTGCTTCATGGGCGAATTAGGGAGATCATGGGTGATATGGTTGTTGATATGCTCGAGAATGAGCTTGAACTTCAGCAGTATGACGAGGAGGACGACGTATGATGATAGTTCCTGGTCTCGGTCTACTTGGTTGTATATACCCTGTATAGCATTAAGAGTCGGTCGACTTCTCCCGGTCTGCAATATATTGATTGATCCATCTGTCAAAGCAAGGTAGCTATTATGTTGTAGTATGCAGTCATTCTGCGGATATGTTCGTCCAGATATATACTTCTGTGGCGATAAGACTCAGCACTGCTGTCCACATATATACATACACCACACGATGTGACTAAAACATGCAAATACGAACCACAGGAGCGCACCCTCCAAATACAAGGTATTACATTCGAGGTTACATCTCACAGGATACAGAATGACTCCAATTTCCACAGTGAAGAAGAAATGCCTTACTGACAGACAGCCAATCGCAGTGCTCGCTTAGTCACAATCTCTTATCGGGTGCGATCACCAAACGGGAGTTAGTCGTCCGTAGAGAGGTGCTAAGAGCTGCTATTAATATAGAGTCGCATCAAGGAAAATCTTCATTTTTCACTTTGAAAACTCTTCTTGTTTCAGATATCCGAAAGCCTAAAAAGCTGGATGTACTTTGGCTAGTGACTAGACTCGTTCCGATTGAGACGGCGTCGATTGGCACTCCAAGCTTTCCGAGCTTGATGTGTCATTGATTTGTTCCTTCACTCGCTTTCTTTTCTGCAACCGCAGGGCTCGCGTCGCAGAATCGCAATGTCCCTCCTACTGGCGCAGGGAGATATCCCTGCGGGAAATTCTGTCCCGATAACACCGCGTGAAGCTGCCTCTGGTCTTCTGGGCTCCATCTCCTTGACCTGTTGGTTTTTCTTATTGGTATGGCTCACACCGGCCTGGATATCGCGATCATCCGTTCGCACAAGACAAACAAGAGTTCAATGCTAATTGCTAACCGCGTGCAGGTTCCCCAACTCATTGAAAACTACCGTAATGGCAATGCTGAAGCCATCTCGCTCCTCTTTCTCTTCGTCTGGTTCATTGGCGATATCACCAACCTGATCGGAGGCGCTTGGGCTGGTCTCGTCCCGGTCATTGTGGCCATTGCGGTCTATTTCTGTATTGCGGACGGTGTGCTCATCGCGCAATGTCTGTACTACAAAACCCGCAATGCTCGTCGCGAGAGTCTGCTTCGTCGTCGGCGCTCCTCCACCGTCACCCCGACCCGACGACCCCTTTACTCGGTCGTCGATTCAGCGATACCCTAGAACGGGGTCCGGCTTCGCGACGCCGATCTATGACGTCGCAGCGTAGCGGACGAGGCGGTCACGGCCACCCTGACGACGCTCTAGCCAACATCGTCGAGGAGAGCGAGGTTGGTCGGAGTGCTTGGATTAAGAACTTCAGCAGTGTCCTGGCAATCTGCGTCATCGGCATGGCCGGTTGGACGGTCGCCTGGCAGACCGGGGTCTGGAAACCAGCTTCGAAGGAGCGTAATGGAGGCGTTGATATGGCAGCTGGCGCGCAAGTGCTGGGATATATCAGTGCCGTTTGTTACCTGGGGTAAGTGTGCCTTCGGACGGAAATGGAGCTGTACTGACTGTAAGCTTCTAGTGCGCGACTTCCTCAGATCTACAAGAACTACTGCGACAGGTCATGCGAAGGTATGTGCTTTGACCTTCAAGAAAATTCTAGACCCTTTTTACTGACCTTTCTCATAAGGCCTTTCATTGCTCTTCTTCATCCTTTCTTTGATGGGCAATCTTACCTATGGCGCTGGCGTAAGTAGAAGGCTACTCCCCATCATACCACACCCCCGGTCTAACCACTCGCAGATTCTCTGCCACTCAACGGAAAAGAATTACGTCGTGACGAACCTACCCTGGCTAATTGGCTCCTTGGGCACGATGGTAGAAGACGTGGTCATTTTCGTACAATTTCGCCTGTATGCAGAGCAGAGCCCTCAGCTCACGACTGCAGTGTCGTGATATCTTGCACTTCGCTGCGGGATATGCTTGTATGGCTCAGCAGCAGTTGATGTACTACCCCAAGTATGCCTTGTTTTATATCTTGTCATTTCCTGTGCTGTATTCCGACAAAAGTTCTGTTTCTTTCTTTTTCTCTCCAGGGGTGACGGAGTATGTTCTGCAGGTTTGGCACGGCGTTGGTGGTTCGGTTGACGGCAAGATTGCTACAACGGTGTATATTAAACAACTTATACGTTGTATACTGCGCGAAACATGGGGGCACAGGCATTTACAAGGCGTATACAATCGAGGACAATTGCAGCAGAAGGAATCCTTTGTTCATGGTCGCATGACAGACATAGCATGAGAACTGGGCAACTATGCTAGAAAAGTGTCTAGCAACAAGCAAATGGCAAAAACTTTTTCTCAGAACCTATTATGATTCTAACCGAGGGCGGCCACAACGATCTCGCCCTCGGCAGATATGGATATGCCAATTCTCCCTTTACTTGACGGCCCGGAATCCTAGCGTCATCCGTACCGGTACCTCTGTCACGACGGAACCCATCATGCAAGCAAAGCGCCCAGTCCCACCAGATGTCCCCGTCCGTTTGATTCTTCTTTTTTTCCCTTTTTGGTCTTCGTGCAGTCGCGTTGTATCGGGTACAAGAGATTCGAGTAGTGTAAGGAGATAGGAGAGAAACGAGGAAAAAAAGAAAACAGAACGTCGAACGGATTAGGACGTTTAGTCGAACAGACCGAAGCCCATGTCCTCGTCGGACTCCTCCTTCTCTGTACAAACGATCAGTGTTTCTATTCGCAAAGCCCAGTCTCACAAGTTTCGAGTCTTTACCTTCTTCCTTCTTCTCCTCAGCAGCAGCCTCGGCGGGAGCGGCAGCACCGGCAGCAGCACCGCCAACGGCAGCGGGGGCAGCAGCACCGCCGGAGCCAACGTTGGTCAGAAGGTCCTTGATGTCCTTGCCCTCAAGAGCCTGAAAAAAGGAAGTCACAGCGTAAGCGTTTGTCCAGATCGCGGGCCCAATTTTTCGTTCCATTGTCACATAAGATTGTTGCGAAAAGGTGGTGCAGTATTTACCTTGGCGAAGAGGGAAGTCCAGATGGGCTCAACATCGACGAGCTTAGCAGCACCGAGGAGGGTCTGGATCTTGTCGGCCTATAATCGAAGAAAAACCATGAATCAGCCCAGTTCCTTGTTTGCCTTGCAGTTTCGTAGCAGTTTCTAAATTTGTCCTCCTCTTTCCGTGCAATCCATCCAAAGTTGTTTGCCAATTCCATGCCGCAGATATTCGAGAAATTCATGGACCAATACGTACGGTGATCTCGACGCCATCATCGGCGAGGATGAGGGCGGCGTAGGAGCAAGCGAGCTCGGCAGTAGACATGGTGGTCGACGGGTTGGACTTGACTGGGAGTCTCGAGAGGGATGGGAATAGGAGGAGAGAGGAAGAGGAAGACGGAGACTTTTTTTTCTACTGTCTTGTCGATGGAGATGGTCGGGCTGGCACTTGTTCCCAGAGCGGAAGTTGTGTGTTTGGTGCAAAAGCCCTCGCTTAGGGCTGTCCTGATCGGGATTAGTTCCAAAGCTTTCCCGTGATTTTGGCCTAGTCCAAATAGGGAAAGGATGATGCCATCATAGAAACACCCCTCCTCATTCCGATAGCTTCCAATCTACTAGTAGCCAGAGGGGTTATCGGATGTCTGTACTGGTGTCTACTCCACACGGCCGACTCTTCTTTGGACTTGGTGCATAATTTTCAGATTCTGTACCACTAACCTACCTTCTTATATCGGTTCGACATTTCCATCTTTTTTCTCTCTGCTATTGGCATCATGGACTCCCCCGCCGTCCCCGTCCCCTTCGACCCGCAGGAGCAGCCGATTTTGGAGCGTCTTCTCCGCACCAGAGATGCGCTCTTGCTGCTAAAGCAAGACAAGTCGTCCTATATCAAATCTCGCGATGTGCTCCCACTATACGAAGAAGTGATCTCAGAGGTGGAAAAGCTCAATGCTGTGCGGAAGGAACAAGACCGCCGGCTGATACACAACCGACGTTAGCATCTGAGTGGGCCTTGCGCGTAATATAGTCGGTCTGGCGAAAGATGGGCTAACGATTGTGATCTTTGATCGATTCTTTCTAGTCGACTACGTACTCGACGACTGCTTTCAATTGATCTCGTTACTGTTCCTAACCGTGGGAAGGAACAATGAGGCTCCCGCAGTGTATGTTTATTGAGTCGCCTGAGAATGGTCCTGTGTTTGTCGGAACTAACATTACCTTACGATAGATACTCGCTTGCAACGACAGTCAAGGTATAGCGGTCCCTTTTGAGCTGTCTCCGCCATACAATCCTGTTTCCTGACCTGTTCGATTAGCGCCTGCTTGACCACCTCGAAGAGGCTGGCTTTTACAGCTCAAAAGATCTCAGCTCAATCACGAAGACCCTGACCAACATGAAGGAGACAGTCGAGCGTGGTCGAGACGCATATTCCCCAGCTTTGATGACGCTCTTGGAAAGTCGACTTGAACAGTGCCAATTGAAGTTGGATAAGTTGCGGAGTGGCCTTGAAGCCATGAACCCTGAGCTAGCACCCACCCATGAGACCCTTGTTTCAGTCTTGCGGTCGACAGCGGCAGCTAATACTCGATCAAAGGTAGTCCCTGAAATTTGGCGTGTCTTTTTGAGGGAGTGAGCGGACAAGCTAATGGTGCGTGGTTTCTAGTTCTCCGCAACGGAAGTGATCAATCTTCGGAAGCAGTTGACGAAAATCCAAGACACAATGAAGGACGGTAACTTCGTTGGAGCAGATGGCAAACCCCTAGAAGGGCAAGAGGGGGTCAAACAACTACTGGACCGGTGCTGGCGTTGGACCGAGATTGTGCTGGAACGGTCAGACCGCCCATTTCTCTGCCTAGGATCTCGCCATGGCGGGTAGTGACCGAGTGACTGACTGTTTGTTTGATAGAGAGGGGAAGATTGACGAGCGCTTCCGCGACCAATACGACCGACTGCTGGAGATTCGTAACCAGCTGGATCGACTCTCCGTAACTCAGGCCTGGTCTCTTCGGGAGACCGACCTTTTCGGATATCAGCGGAAACTCGACCGTATCGATGAAGCTCGGGTCGATGGAAATTTCGTGGATGCTGAAGGGCAGCCGGCAGATCTCCATGCGCAGCGTGTAAGGATTAAGCACGCTGGAAGCCCTGATGAGGCTTGTTGCTAATTGTTGGCAGACATTACTATACCTCATTCGGAGGAGCTACGCTTATATCTACGCACTTCTGATCTCTTCGGAACCCGTATCTGAGGCCTTGCTGCCAGTCTACAATCAGTTGCAGACCTTGCGACGATGTCTCCTGGAAGTCAAAGAGTCGGGAGGTGTGTCGAATTCTCGAGAATTGTACCCATACAGTATGAAGGTGAGTAACCCCCAGCTTCCCGGCAAGGCACAGAAGCTGACATCGTACAGCTCAATTCCATTGACAACATGCGAGTTGACGGCAAATTCTACATGGGAAACGACATTCCCGAAGGACAGGGCAGCGTTAATGCGCTGCTGGCTGAATGCTATGATATCGTATGGGAGCTGCGGGCGGCTGTACCTGAAGAGGAAGAGAGAAACAGCGCTTAATCCTCTTTATATTCTTTGTATCTTGTACCCTTCTTTCGGTGGGATGAAATTTGGAGGTTCTCTCTTCAATGTTTGCGATTTTCTCCTGACATTTAGTTCAGGCGTTTGTCTGGGCGCTTTTGGGATGATATGACTCTTTAACAGAAATGATTTGTCACCATTGTGCAACCTTGACCAGAGTAGCTGATATGAGTCCTAACACTACGAATCTTCTCTTCAAATACCTAATATCTACCTAGGTAGACAGATAACACTACTTTGGATGCCTGAGATACTTCAAATACGTGGATGATACCTTATCCACAGATGGTCTGTCATAACGTAACGTATTGTAAGATCTACGCCAGGCCCGGCATCGGCGTAGTCATAACCAATCAGATTGCAGCCAAATAAGTAAGCCGAAAAGCAGCAAAAAAAAAGGGCATTAAATGTTGCCATCTCCCGAGCGTCGTCTTCTTTCTCCGCAATCCACACTTCCACAGGCCGTCAAGATGGTGAGGCAGCTTGTCTGGCAGCGGGCTACCGCCTCTCGCAGGGTAGGTTTTCCTCGTGCTTTGTCAATGGCTTCTAGATGCAATTCCACGGCCAGAGACAATTGTTTTCTCTCCCCTCCTATGACTAATTCCTCTGCCCCCATAGCTGGCCCCGAAATGCCTCTCCCCGCAACAATTGTTCGCACGACGTGGCCTAGCCACTGAGGCATCCGCCGCACGCATGCCGCCTTACCCCAAGATTGTGCGGAATCTCGAGCAGGTTCGGAAGGTGTTGGGATCCTCGCGTGCCCTCACCCTTGCGGAGAAGATCCTCTACGCCCATCTGGACAATGCGGAGGAGTCCCTGTTGACGGGCACTAACAATGGAAAAGACATTCGCGGCAAGGCCAACCTGAAGTTGAAGCCGGACCGAGTGGCGATGCAGGATGCGTCGGCCCAAATGGCGTTGTTGCAGTTCATGTCCTGTGGCCTGCCGTCGACCGCAGTGCCCGCCAGTATCCACTGCGACCATATGATTGTGGGTGAGCGTGGCGCGGACACCGATCTGCCTGCCTCCATCGAGGGTAACCGGGAAGTGTTTGACTTCCTGGAGAGTGCCGCCAAGCGCTACGGTATTGAATTTTGGCCCCCCGGTGCTGGTATCATCCACCAGAGTGTGCTGGAGAACTACGCCGCTCCTGGTCTGATGATGCTGGGCACGGACAGCCACACACCTAATGCGGGAGGTTTGGGAGCTATTGCTATTGGTGTCGGTGGTGCAGATGCTGTGGATGCATTGGTGGATGCTCCCTGGGAATTGAAGGCACCTCGTATTCTTGGTGTGCGACTCGAGGGTAAGCTGAGCGGCTGGGCCTCTCCCAAGGATATCATTCTGCATCTGGCCGGTAAGCTCACCGTCCGTGGTGGTACCGGCTATGTGATTGAGTACCATGGTCCCGGTGTCGAGACGCTCAGCTGCACCGGTATGGCTACCTGTTGCAACATGGGTGCGGAGGTCGGAGCCACCACCTCGGTCTTCCCCTTCTCCCCCAGCATGGTTCCCTACCTGCAGGCGACGCACCGAGGCCATGTGGCCCAGGCGGCGGCCGAGATTGCTGCATCAGGCCCCAAGAACCTTTTGCGCGCCGACGATGGTGCAGAGTATGACCAGGTGATCACGATTGACTTGTCGACGCTCGAACCTCATGTCAACGGACCCTTCACCCCGGATCTGTCCGTGCGCCTGTCTGACTTTGCCAACACCGTCCGCGAGAACAAGTGGCCCGAGACTCTTGGTGCTGGATTGATCGGTAGTTGCACCAACAGTTCCTATGAGGACATGACTCGCGCAGAGGACCTGGTCAAGCAGGCGTCAGCGGCTGGCCTAAAGCCCAAGGCGGACTTCTTCATCACGCCTGGCAGTGAGCAAATTCGGGCCACTCTGGACCGTGACCAGACCCTGTCTTCCTTCTCTGAGGCTGGCGGCACCGTCTTGGCCAACGCCTGCGGACCCTGCATCGGGCAGTGGAAGCGAACCGACGGTGTCGCCAAGGGCGAGGACAATGCCATCTTCACCTCCTACAACCGTAATTTCCCCGGACGCAATGATGGCAACCGACGCACCATGAACTTCCTGGCGTCGCCAGAGATTGTGACCGCCCTTGCCTACTCGGGCAGCACCACCTTCAACCCCATGATCGACACTCTGAAGACCCCGAGCGGTGAAGACTTCAAGTTCCGCCCTCCCCAGGGCTCTGATCTTCCCAGTGCTGGGTTCGCCGACGGCAACCCTGCCTTCCAGCCCAGCGCTGGTGTCCCTGATGCCTCCGTCGAGGTCATTGTTTCCCCCACCTCTGAGCGTCTCGCTTTGCTGGAGCCTTTCGCTCCCTTCCCCGAGGGCGAGCTGTCGGGCTTGAAGGTCCTGTACAAGGTCAAGGGTCAGTGCACAACTGACACCATCTCCGCGGCCGGTCCGTGGTTGAAGTACAAGGGCCACCTGCCCAACATCTCCGCCAACACTCTGATCGGCGCGGTCAACGCTGCCACTGGCGAGACGAACGTTGCTTACGATGACGCTGGCAACAAGCACTCAATTCCCGACCTGGCTGCTCGGTGGAAGGCCGACGGCATTGAATGGCTGGTTGTGGCCGAGGACAACTATGGCGAGGGTAGCGCGCGTGAGCACGCGGCTCTGCAGCCGCGGTACCTGGGCGGCCGGATCATCGTGGCCAAGAGCTTCGCACGCATCCACGAGACCAACCTGAAGAAGCAGGGTGTAGTCCCCCTGACGTTCGCCGACAAGGCCGACTACGACCGCATTGACGCATGCGACCAGGTCGACACTGTCGGGCTGTACGAGACACTGCAGTCCGGCGGTCAGGGATCAATCCAGCTGCAGGTCACCAAGAAGAACGGCGAGAAGCTGACGATTCCAGTCAATCACACTCTGAGCAAGGACCAGTGTGGCTTCATCCTGGCGGGAAGTGCCTTGAACTTGTTGGCCAAGCGGGCACACCAGTGATTTCTATACCGGTGATAAGTTGGACAAAAAGAAGTTGTATACATCTCTGGGTATCGGAGGCGTTCGCGTGTATGTACGTTCTGTCTGTTATAAGATATCCAATCGAACAGTTTGAATTCAATTTTGTGCCATGCATGATGCAACCTCAGTCGACCGTTGCTTGAGCCTAGAAAATCAAGAAATCTCCTAGCCCCGCGTCTTGATCCCTCACCCCTGCAATTGTATGAACTTTCTGTTCATCACCGATTATACATACGTCAACTTTGATTATCTAGGGTTCTCCATCCAGAACTCCATTCTCGCTCAAAATGCCAGAAACAGTCCGTCCGGCCTTTGCCGACCGGCCGCGTCCGCTGCTCTCATACGGAGCCCCATTCCCCACCGCGGCCGCCCACCGTGTCGTCGACACTTTAGGAGCCTCAAAGATCTACATCATCTGCTCGGGCTCGCTGGCCCGCAACACAGATGCTTTGGACCGTCTGGTCGCGGCACTAGGACCGGGGAAGGTTGCCGGCCGCCGGATCGGCATGCAGAGCCATACCTTATGGTCTGAAGTCCTGGAAATCGTGCACGATGCGCGGCGAGTTGAAGCCGATCTACTCTTGACCCTCGGCGCGGGCAGCCTGACCGATGGAGCCAAGGTGGTCGCATTGGTATTCTCCCACTTCTCCCGTCAGTAAGAAAGTAACAAGTAAATGGTTAACAAGCACAGGCTCTTGCAAACAACGTCCAGACGGCATCCGACCTCGCAACGCTAGCCACAGGCCCCGACCAACGCGCCGACATCCACGCACCCACCATCCCCATCATCTCCATCCCCACCTCCCTCTCCGCAGGCGAGTACTCCAACTTCGCCGGCGCAACAGACGACACCACCCGCCGGAAACACTCCTTCCAGGCGTCGACGCGCGGGCCCCAGCTCGTCATCCTCGACCCGGACCTCGCAACCACCACCCCGCCGTCCATCTGGCTGAGCACCGGCATCCGCGCCGTAGACCACTGCGTTGAGACGCTGTGCGCCACGACGGGGGCCACCGAATCGACAGACGCGCACGCCATGCACGCGCTGGAGCTGCTCGTCCCGGGGCTACTGCGGTGCCGGCATGACCCTGCCGGGCACGACCGCGACGCACGTCTGCAATGCCAGCTCGGCGCGGTGAACGCCATGGCGGCGTTGACGGGCGGGTTGTCGGTCGAGCTGGGCGCCAGCCACGGGATAGGCCACCAGCTTGGGCCATTGGGGGTCGGGCACGGCGAGACGAGCTGTATCCTGCTGCCGGCTGTGTGCAAGTTCAATGCAAAGCATGGCGCTAATCGCGAGCAGCAGGAGCGGGTGCGGGAGTTTCTTGTGCGGAACGCCGAGGTGGCGCGCGTGCTGCGCGATCGGGGCGTCGATGCCTCTACGGCGGATCTGGGGGATGTTTTGGATGCGGTCATTCGGGAGCTGGGGATGCCGCGCTCGTTGAAGGAGGTCGGGGTGGGTCGGGATGCGCTGGATGAGTTGGCGGCCAACAGTCTGCATGATCGCTGGTGCAAGACGAATCCCGTGCCGTTGACGGAGAAGGGGCAAGTCCTGGAGATCCTGGAGATGGTCGTGGACTGATTGTGGCTATTGTAAAGCCGTACGTTGATGATCTTTATGACACAATTTACCGAGATGATTTACTACAGGACAAAGGTACTGTCTATTTCAATCCAAAGTCATGGTTTGTAACTCACGAGATGAATAAATCCCTCGAGGGATCAGGACTCTCGTACAACGCTGTATAGTGATTCATCACAGGAATAAAAATAATAACAAACGACAAATCATAACTGCCAGTTGTATTCATATACTTGCATGCATATCAAGATTCATACCGAGAGAGAAAAGGAAACAACAAATTATAAAAGGCTCACTGGAAGTAGCTTCGCACCGCCGCCTGGTTGTCAGGGCTCACTCCTGCCAGGATTTGCTCTGCGTTCAACCCTGTAGCGGCCACTAGTTGCTTGGCCGAGTTGGCCACGCGTCCTGCTGTCTGGCCCTGTAGCGTCTCGGCTTCCAGAGCCTGCACGATGTATCCAAACACCTTGTCGGCATTGGACATCACCACCGGGTTTTGTCTGTTCAATGGTCAGTCAATCAGAGATCACATCACCGAACGGGGAACAAACGTACTGGTCAATCAATTGCGCAAGGAAGGAATAAGCGTATGGCGCAGCCTCCTCGTCGTAAGTGATCGGAAGTGTGTTGATCCAGGTCGCCACGATCTCCTGCGCGTTCTGCACCTTGCTGGGGTTATAGTGCAGGATCTTGGCGATACTGGCCGAGGCGTTCTCAGTCGCAAATACATGCTCCTCTGTACGAGCTTGGTTGATTTGTGTCACCTGGAACAGGCTCGGGATGCTGGCAGCGACGAAGTCGCTCCAGGCAGGACCACCCTTCTGAGCGGCAACACCGACTCCGTAAGCCGCTGCCTGCCGGTTGGCGGCATTCTCATCGCGCAGACCCGCGGCCAAGGGCTGCATGATATGGTCCTTGTAATTCCATGACTCGGGGCCGCAGAACTCGAGCACGTCGTCCATGATGCACAGAGCCCATTGCCGTTGGGTGGGGTCCTGGCTGGTGATGAACGCATCGTAGAATGGCAGCAAGCGTTGCCATGAGGGCAGGAAAGTCGTGCCCTGGTTCTTAAAGATGGTGTGGAACGCCTTGTTCATGTCGCTCAGCAGGTTCTGGTCGTCCTCAACCGCATACTCGTAGTCGAGGTCCTCTTCGTCACCCTCTTCGGTATCGGCGCGCTCCTCGAGACGAGCCTTCACACGGACCTGGTAATCCTCCAGCGTGGACTTGGCAGATTCGATGAACGCTTCCATGTGCTGCGGGCTCAGGCAGTTCTTGCCAACCACTTCGACGGATTCATAGAAGCACTGGTACATCTCCGCGAGAGTGTCTACTGTGGGCTCGGCGCTCAGAACCTCAATGATCTTCTCACCTACCCTGTTCCACATGGCAGCGAATCCGGGAGACTGCACACCGTGCGCCTTCTTGTACGAGTTCAGGAGCTGAGGGATGAGCTTGGCGGACGAAACCCGCACAGGGTCATGGAAGAAGAATGCAAGTCCAGGCACCGCAATCTTCTCCATCGTCTCCAGCACAAACGGCTCAAAAGCAGCCTCCAAGATCTGAGCGTAGATGGTAATCAGCTCGATGGCGGTGTTCTTGTCTTCCAATGCACTGGTCTTGATACCAATGATCTTGCCCTTCAGGGGGACCAACTCCCAGCCCTCATCCTGTTCAACTTGGTCAATCTGGTCCTCATCATCCAACAGCTGAATATCGGCCTTGGCAGCCGCAACGGACAGGAGAGGAGGCATGACAGCTGGCAGGTAAGGCACAAAGTCCTGACCAAGAACGCGGCACATACGGCCCCAGCAGTGGAGCAAGTACTGCGACTGCGGGTCGTCCGCATCGACAATGTTCTGTTGGATGTTGCCGAGCAGCTGCACGAGGTTCAACGCATCCTGTCCCATCTTCTCCTTGCCCACGGCCAGAGCAATCAGAGTCGCGCACTCCATAGCCTTGGCACGCAGCAGACGGTACTCCTTGGATTGCTCCTCCTTCAGGACGTTAAAGAGCAATGGCATCAAGGTCTCGTAGAATTGATCGAAGGCGTTCTCCGCCGAGTCGGCAATGGTGGCAATGGTGGACAGCGCTTGTTCCTGCACATAACGTTTCTCGCTGCGCAGAAGCTGCAGAAGGTGTCTTAGGAGATCAGCGAGGTACGGCTCGAGTACCTTCTTCTCTGCTTCTTCGCAGAAATTGACCAGAGCGGCGGCCGCGTGGGCCTGAACTCGTGGCTCAGCACTATCCAACACGGGGATGATGTTGTTCAGTACAACGTTGTGGTACTTCTCCTGCATCGTTCCGGCGAAGTCGGTGCTCATCTGGCCGAGGGCGTTGCAACCCGCGTAACGGACACGTGGGTGAGGGTCCTGGAGAGCCGGGACAACTAGGGCCAGCACTTGATCGAGTTCACCGACCATCAGGTCACGGCAACCCTCGGAAATGGCGGAGATGGCCATCAGAGCTGCGTGGCGATCGCGCCAAGCGGAAGACGACATCATGCGGGGAATCCAGGCAAAGGTCGCCGGAAGGATAACCTGGCCACCGAGCTTGTTGGCCAAGCGGTCCATGCACTGTTCGCCAGCAACATGGTTGAGGTCGCTCTCCTCCAAGTCCAGGTCCTCGGACGCATTCCATTCCGAAGCATCGTCGTCGTCCACTCCAATATCGGTCATCAAGCTCAAACATTGGGTCACCATCTCCTGAGCAAACTCGGGATCCTTCTTGCACATCGAGGGGGCGTAATCGGCAAATGTAGCCATCAACTCCAAGGCATTCTGGCGAACCTGGTCGCTGAGGTCCTTGTCGGCGATCACACTAATACTGAACTTGACCAGGTTGTTGAACATGACCTTGAACATCTTCGGGCAAACCTCGGCAAGCTCAATGAGAGCCAAGAAGGCGGAAGACAGCTCCTCGCTCTCGGAGGACTCCTTCAGAGGGGGCAAAACGTTGAGCATATCGGGCACGAGTCCGAAAAACTTGGGTTGAGACTTTTTGGAGATAGACCGGAAGAACGAGGCGAAGGCCTCCATAGCAGCAATGCGAACCTACAAGCGCAATGGTCAGCCCGGACTCCCGTGAGCGCTACGTTGAAGGGTCCCAACATACAGTGACAACATCATCCTTGAAACCCTTACCGAACACGCCTGAAACGGCATCCTCGTGGTTCTTCTCGATGATACTGGGAGTGGTCGAGAAAATGCGGAAGGCAGCCTCCCGTAAACCTGCCTCGGGTGACTGGCTGGCCTGGAAAAGCACGCCGAGAAGCTCGGGCCATTGATCGCCTAAAGAAGACCATTCATCAGAATATGAAATCCATTTCACCGCCCATGAAATAGCGCATACCGTTATCGGTGTATTGTCTGGCAACCTCCGCGACTGCATCGCCAATCTTTTTCCGGACATCAGTCCCAGATTCGGTCGTCAAACAGCTCACCAACTTCTGTCGGATGACCAATCTCTGTTCCCCAGAGAGTGTTGAGAAGAGTTCCTTGGCTTCATTTGTGACCGGGTCTTTCCTTGTCTTGGTCGCGATTCTTCTGAAAAGCACGGCGGCGAATGTACGCGTCTGCGGGTGAAGATTAACCAAATCAGTCGAATCCAGCAAGGCGCGGCCACAGGACTCAAGTCCGTAGTAAGTAGAAGGCTTCCAGTCTGTCTCTCTGCCTACACCAGACACGGTCCCCATATCCCCTGACAAAACTTGTATCACTTACTACTGAATCCTCCGCACCCTGAATCTGCTCGGCCAGGCCCATAAGAAGAACATCCGGACGGTTCTGAATCCAGTCATTATTCAACTGTTCTTCCGCCTGAGTACGGACCGTGTTATCGGGTGTGGTCAACGCGCGCAACAGCTGGGACAGCGCGGAGTGAACCTCGGGTGGGAGCAGCGACATGTTGATCGCTCGTCACGTCGAAACGATAATTCAGCTGTAGATCGACAGTATCCCGTTTAGGAACGGCGATGAGAGTGTGTATCCAGCGCTGAAGCTGGGCTGGTGGACGGGGACTGTATTCCCTTTTACTGGTTGTTATTAATTTTTTTTCTTTGGTGGGGGTGGACAGTAGCTGTAAGTACAAACCCCGTGGAACGGTGTCTGTTGGAGAAAGACTAGCGTGATCTGACAAGATAACAACGATAATCAAATCAAGAAATATGCACAGTACAAGTGCAAGCTCAGCATTCCAACTCGACAAGGGAGCTGCTGGCGAACAGGAGGGGACAATTCAAGGCGCCGTGAGCGATGTGGGATGGACCAGTTGAAGCCTCAGAAACCAAAAAATAATTCCAGTCCTCGAGGGAGTAACGCGCTAGTCCCTAATCGGGAAGTCTCAGGCATCCAGGCATCAATGCACTTTCGACACCGCCATGTGGTGTCTACAGAGTACTGACACGCCCTTACGGAAGTCCAGGAACAGAAATAGACACTGTCGAGACAAATTATCCTGCTTTCTAGGGAAAACTATATGCATTGCTAATATGCCCTCACTAAAAACACACTAGCGGTATCCGAACAGTCACACTTAGATTAAATGAAGATGGTAATGGAAAATGGGGAAATGAAGGAGGGAAGAGATCGCACTTGGGATATGCAAGTATGGCACAGCAATGATAGAGTTAGATCGACAGATATACATGATGTGCCTGCCGTTCATCGGACTAACTACACTTTAAACCGGTGACATCGTCTATCGACTTGTCGCGCGGCTGAGGATGAATACTCCAGCAATAACTGCTGCCAGGGTCACGATGGCACCTGGAAGTAGAAGCTCATTGGGTACGCCGGCGATGAACTGCTCCTCGGTGGGACGTGTTGGGTACGACTGATGGGCCTTGGGGATAAGTGGCTCCTCGGAGAGCCGCTCCTCAGCAACAACAGAACTTTTCTCTTCGACGACTTTGGCCGGAGCAGGCTGAGGGTCCAACGTTGCCGGAATTGGGGGCTGAGCGGGGTCGTGCACAAAAAGATCCACCTTATCACGATGCGAGCGACGGGCGAGACTGACGGCATCTGCCAGATCCTGATCGGTGGTGATAGAAACAGTGTCACCCTCATTGTCCAAGTAGCTCAAGGCGTAACCAGTATTGCTGAGTTTGCCCTCCTCGACGGTGGCTTCACCTCCGACGGCCTCCAGCTCGTTGCCTAACTTGGCTGTGACTTGGGCGACTAAGTCAGCGACCCCAGCGGAAGTGACAACATTGACTCTGTGCACGCGGCCGCTAGGAGCCTTGAATTTGAAGGGAAACGGAGCGCTCTCGTCGTGGTTATGGTGATGGTCGTGATATTCCGAAAGCTCATCTCCGCCGTGGTGGGACGCGGATTCGTTAGGGAGCACACTGTCGACACCCTGTCTAGGTGATTCGGGACTGAGAACGGAACGATTCGGCGCTTGGTGGCTGCCAGACACCATTGAATCGGACTCGTGATCCATTGACAACCAGAATTTGTTCCATGCGGGACCCTCATCGTCATGCGATTGCATGGAGTTAATCTTGCATCTCTGGTCAGTTGAAAGTCATAATTTTCGGAAAGACTTTGACTAACCTGCTCAAGAGTGGCATAAGTGAGCTTGAGCACATCCACCATGCCGACAATCTCGCCCGTCTCGTTCATAACAGGCAAATTCAGGTAGTGACCATCTGGAGTAGAGTCGGTTAGCCAATCTATTGCAGCCTCAGAGAAAGCGAGACCACTAACCATGCATCTTGCGGAGAGCAGCTTGGATGCTCATATCAGCAGGAGCAAAATCGGGATGTGGGGTCATCACACGGACAACACTACAAGTGGCAGGGTCCAGTCCTGGGGCAATTACACGCAAGACGATATCCTTGCTGGTGAAGATACCGGTGATTGAGCCCTGGTCCTGCACGAGCAGAGCAGTTGTGTGATGTTCCTTCATCAGAGCCGCGGCATCCCTGACAGAAGTGCGCACAGATACTGTAGTCGGAGGCATGCCATCCAGGACACTCTCGAGGGTCGGGCCGGACATTTTTGAGCGCAGTGCTTCGACGTATTGGATGATTTGCTGAGGCTGGGTGGAGCCTAGTTCTGTCTGCACACCTTCCAAGGCGTCGTAGAGTTTTCGGGAAGAGCTGTACGCACGCTCCAGCTTCTCCATCGCGTCGTAGAAGCACTTAGTAATGTCGAGGATACCAGAGATGTCCTGGTTCTCATCCATAACCGGCAGATGTCTAAAGCCCTTTCTAACCATGAGATCCAGTGCGTCCGTCGCGCTGGTGTCGGTTCTCGCACACAGGGGGTTCTTCGTCATGATCTCGGCAACAGTAATTTCGCGAGCTTTTTGGCCATTTCCGACCACACGGAACGCAAGATCCTTCGCAGTGAAAATACCAGCGATGCGATCATCATCGTCTGTGACAAGAACGCAGTCTTCTCTCTTCGCGGCCATCAGTTGTGCGGCTTCTGCGACGGTAGTGTTGGGTTTAATCTGAAGGGCCTGACTAGGCTTCAAAGCCAGCACGGTTCCTGGGGGAGCTTTGCGCGTGCGATGCGCTCTTGGAGCCTGATGCCTCTTTTTATTGAGGTCCGCCTCCATCTTGCGTCGAATAGCCTTCATAACAGCGCGTCAGAATTCATTCCTATGGCAGCAATCGCTGTTCGCTACGGGTCTGTGGGAGACCATAAACAAGGGGCTAGGAGGGAATACAAGGCCATGCAGCTAGAAATTTGTGGCCAAGGATAGGCCACCAGGGAGTACTGACCTCATCTCGCTTCGATTGGGTTTGTCTTTGCCTGCTTGCAGCACTCATGGTGGAACTTCCAACGTCGCTGGACGGTGTGTGCGTTGAAGCTGCAGTTTCTGGTCGAGGTCGCGGAATGTGGGATGTAGGACTGTTCTCAAAGTCCGGAAGTCTCCCTCTTCCGAGAGTCTTCTGGCTTGTTGTGCCCCGATAGGTTCCTCCTGCAGCCGACATGGCACTGATCGGGATGGACGGATTTCGGTGAGGGGGTATCAGAAACCGAGAGAGCTAGATTGTCAGACCTATTCGATGTATAGGTATCAGGAATCTGAGCACGAGTTACTCGAATCAATGTCAGATTCAACAGAGAAGACGAAAGAGACTGTCAGCAGAGATATACAACGTACCACTGGGGTTGAGCAGCAGACCACCAGCACGACCCAAGTACAACGAGAAAGATACGGATGAACAGGGGTTGTCTCAAAGGGAGTTCGAGGGTCAACTATTGGCTGTTAGTGAGTTAATAATAACAGCCAGAGTTGGGCAGGATAAACAATGGGTAATAACAATACGCCCCATTCACGGGAGCCGCCCTGTTGACACCACAGAGTGGTACGAGTCCTCGTCAGGAATGGTTAGGTACACCCGTGGACCGTACGTGCGTACCGTAAGACCCGTAATGCTGGGACGACCCGGCCACTAGTCTATTTTAGGCTCTCTTGACAAGAACTGGATCTGCACGTGATGATCCAATTGGTTTGTAGGATGTCAGGCCACTAATTTAGAAATGCCTTAGCACCTGAGGCACCAGCATTATCCCGTGACCGAGGCTCGCTTAAGGGCATAGGGCTTCCACACAAACCGGCACAACCTCATTCACGACTAGCGATCGAGAGCGTCCAGTGCCTTACGACAACCAAACCCGACAGCCAAGTACGCCGCCTCCCTCCCTCTACAACTCCAAATCTCTGACCGTACCTTGCAGAGAAATCCGTCAAAATGGTCAAGAAGAGGGCGAACAAGTAAGAGCGAATTTCCCTTTTCCTATGTTCAACCCAGTTGTCAAATTTGAAGATCCGCCACCGCCGAAGGAAGCGTCCTGATTTACCGCCTGTCGAGAATGTCGGCTGTATATGCGGTGGTTTTCATGGTGAAATTGAAAGAGGAGGGGAAATTTTGGACCTCAAATTCATGAGTGAATCGATCCATACTGACGTTTATTGTTCTTTCTCTACAGCGGTCGCAACAAGAACGGCCGCGGCCACGTCAAGCCCGTGCGCTGCTCCAACTGCGCTCGTTGCACTCCTAAGGACAAGGCGATCAAGAGATTCACCATCCGCAACATGGTTGAGTCCGCTGCCATCCGTACGTTCGAGCCCTTGTCAAACCCATACCATTGAAGCCGCGTCCGTAGTGCGCCGTTGAGATGATTCGGAACTGGATTGGACGGATGGAATCTCCCGGACGACGCAATCACAACTCGACGCATGAACTGGACGTGGTGGAAATGAAAGCTGATAGACAACGGAGCTGACCCGAGGCCTTCTTAACACACAGGTGATATCTCTGACGCCTCCGTTTTCACCGACTATGCCGTCCCCAAGATGTACCTGAAGCTTCAGTACTGCGTCTCCTGCGCTATCCACGGCAAGATCGTTCGGTACGCACCCTCCCGCGTTTGATTTACAGCTGGGAATCTACATGGATATGCAGCATGAAGGAAAGAATTAGGTCTTGCTAACAATCCACTACAGTGTCCGCTCCCGGGAAGGTCGTCGTAACCGTGCTCCTCCCCCGCGTATCAGGTACAACAAGGACGGCAAGAAGCTGGCTCCCCCTCAGGCCGCCAAGGCTATGTAAGGAAGGGAAAAAGAGATGATCAAATGGGATTGGTCTTAATGACTTCTGTTTTGTGACGTTTCTTTTTTCGTACAAACTTTCTTACTCGGTTCAAAATGGAATGAATGGGTTTCAGTCTGTCTTCGGGGTTCGAAATAAGGCATGACAAGGCATAATGGTCGCTCCCTGTCGCCGTGAGCAGGAGACGCAATTTAAATTAAAAAACGATTTCCAAGCCACTCGGTTGTCCCATAGGGTAACTTTGCATGAACTAGAGAAAGTCAGGGAACGAGAATAAAATGCGAGGAGACCGGTCTCTTCTACTTTAACAGTTCATCTCTTCCGCCACAAGCGCGATAATTGACTATGGTATACCGCCAGAAGACCAACACTGCCGTTTGACCCATTCACAACCGCACTAGGCTACTACAGTAGAAGCTTTGTTGCATCTTAAACGACAGGAAGTATGCATTTGCTACACGATCGACTATGCACGTCCTGAGATGCGAGGAATTCTGCATATCTAATGCCAGCCTAAGCTACCATTGATAAGTAAAACAATAAATATATCATCGTTCAAGGGTACAGATATCCCTTTTCAAAGTAATTCCCATACATATCGACGACTCCAGTCCGCCCCTTTGGCGCTGCATTGCGGACAATCTTTACTTCGCCTTTCCAATGTCCTTCGACGAACTGGGCTAAGGACAGATGAGGTGCAGAGACCGCTGTCATGGCTCTTACACTCGGACTCGGAGACACTGATCGAATAGGTTCCTCTTGGGGAGAAAGATGGGAAGATGCAGTACAGCTCATGCTCCTCCTCTCCCGATCGGCTCGGACAACTTCTTCGTACTCGAGTCTTTTTGCTCGGCGGAAGGCAGCCAGTTCTGCGACGAGGTCGACCTGTTTGGTATCAGCAACGGGCATGCTGCTTCCATCACCTTTATTGACGGTAACCGAACCCGATCGAGCATCGGCTACAGAGCCGGATACCGAACTCGACGAGCCAGTCTGCGACCGATTCCGTCGAGAATGAGCTCCACCATGCTGAAACGAATTAGATGCGAAAGACGCATCTGCCTCTGGAGACCCCGAACGCCCGGAATCTTCGTCCTCTGGTAAGAGCGTCACCTTCTCATTGAGTATAGCCATAGGAAAGTATTTCCCCAGATCATTTTCGGGTATACCACATTCATCTTCCCCGAAGAAACTAAAGTCGCCTGCGGCTGCGGACCACAGATTCTCAGAATCACGGTCGCCAGTACTGGATCTTAACGTCCCATTTTGCTGACTGATGGATTTCCACGGGCTGATCCGGGCTGGACCTGCCAGATGAGTCGTGGGAGTGATTTCAAGTACCAAGCGACGCAGAGCAAAAAGCGACCGAGATCGTTCCTGCTCAGCGTGAGCTCGGGCTCTTCCAGGGGGAAGAGAGTAGTCTGATCCCGCCAAGAGAGTAGCTAACAGGGCCTCGTTCGAACAGGCCGTTATAAATCGAATCAAGCCAGGCAGGATGTGGGAGCCTTCAGGAACATGAGACGGAACATCGGTTAACACTAAAGTCTCGAGGTGAGGGACGTGGGAAGGATGCAAATACGGAAAGCTCCCTCCCTTACCATCGCGGCGAGGTAAGCTTTGATTCTTAGGTCTTTTGGCAAGCAGTTCTTGGATCTTCTGTGCCCGAAAATCCTCAGGTGAAACTGGAGAGGCACATCGTGAAACCGGCTCAGGTGCCGCCAAATACAGACCGGATTGTCCCAGGCATGCTGGAGCTGGGCCTATGCTAGCTGTGAAAGAGTTAGGATTCACCGTTTCACTACGGTCGGCTGTCATGTTGCCATTGCTGTCCCGACGCTGGTTTGGTTCGACTACCTCGGGAGCAAAAATGGAACCCCTTCTCACCTGAGGTACAGGGTCTTCCCGGTGAGTACTTTGGAGGCACGTCTCATCTATATCACCGGCTGGGCTCGAAAGTCCGGCAATCTCAGTGGCTTCGAGCTCAAAAACAGGATGAGCTTCTGCAGATAGTTCATGAATCTCCTTTGCAGCGTCCATTTCCGCCCGGCGTTCGAGGCTACTGCTGGCTTCGTCTGGAAGCTCAGGCAGTAAGTCCCGCGTTGAGTCAGGCGCTTTAGAGGAGGTGTGAGCTGTGCAGAGAGCATGGTGAGCTCGAAGATATGTCAGGTTTTCTTTAGCGATAGACCCAAGTACTGGTATCAATTTCTCAGCCCCAGGGAATCTAGCGCGTTTCTCGGTCATAGGCGATGAAATTGTCGGTTGTCGTGTTCTCTCCAAGGTTTGGGCTGTATCAACCGTCCCAACGTCGAGGACGTGCAGTCTCGATGAAGCCAGGAGACTCGCAACGCCTTCGACTGTAAGCTGGTTGTCCGCGATGTAGAGATGTGTTATTCCTACGTGCGAAGGGTCCTCAACCCAAGAACGGCCTGTCAAGGGCTGTGTCAAAGCTTTGACAAACTGAGCATCTAAATCCGCGCGCCTGAGTAATCTATCATGAAATATGAATGATCCTCCTCTCCGGTCAACTTCATTTGTGGGGAGGCCATTAGGGACAAATGAAGCTTGCAGCAGAGATCGCACAGCCATATCGGTCAGCAGATTGTTACGCAGATCCAAGAAACGGACCCTGGTCCCAATGGCATTGGCTAAGAACTCAGCTTCACTGTCTCTCAAACCGATACCTCGGAGTTTCAGCACCTGGAGCCGGTCCAGCTGAGACAGGGAAGAAAACACCATACGATCTCGAGCAGGAGTCGTATAAGACAGGTCCAAGTACACAAGTTCTTGGAATCGCAGCAACGTCTCTGCCAGTCCCTGTGACGTTGCATTTGGTTCTCTTTCCGCCATCAGCAATCGGACGCTGTATGTCTTGAAGGCCGCTGCATCAGGCGGTTCGTGCTTGGCTGGTCTCTTCAGCGCCATCATAGCATTATGGTCAAAGAAAGGTAATTTGGATACAATCAGAGATTGAAGGCAGGGTAGAAACTCGAGGATCTCCCTCAGCCATTCTGGTCGCGGGCCGCCATATATTTCTGAGAGGGCCAGGGGCATATGAAGCGTATGGGTGAGTATTCGCACCTCAAGACGGGCATATTTCAAGGTCCTCCTGAATCGTGTCAACGCAACTAGTATCAGGCATTCTTCTGTCAGCGGAAAACCGCAGAGAGAGAGATCTGGACTCTCGAGTCTCACCATAGACCGCATCATTTTCCGTTCCAAAATGAGAGGCCGGATCACCCCAAAGGAAGGGCATGAAAAGGCCGTGCCATTTCCGACAGACGAGCGCAGCCGAGCATAGGTCGCTTGATGGAATGTAATGAGCGATTATAGACCAAGCATCTCTGGCTGTTGCAGATCGATACGATGGCGGGACGATGTCCATGTCCTGTTCAGCGTGGGGCCCGAACTGATCAGCGTTCTTTGTCTCAATCGGACTGTCAAAGGTGGCGTTGCATCTCTTGGAAGGGTCTGTTATATATAGATTCTCGGCTATGCTGCCGTGGAAAGGTCAAAACACACGTTGATGGTTTGGATGCAAAGAGCACCTCCGATCTAACGAGCGCTACTACCATGAGCAATCGACCCTCCTTTGGGCCCCTCCAGTTCACGATCGTCAGTTAGGCTGAGGCTGGCACTGGGACTCCCTCTTCGGCTCTTGGCTAGTGCTGGAATCCTGAAACACAACTACCACGGGTCTACTCCATACAGCACGATGCCATCAAAGCTTAGGCTTATCCAGGGATTGGAAACTGAGTGCCTACCACAGACATGTACCATTGTGCACTTCCAACTGATGGACGAGGTTGAAGGAGAGTATTGAAATTCTGCTTAGAATACTAGAGGTACAGGAATGAACTAGAAGGGAAGGGACATAACATCATCCGGTAAATACAATACAGTCAGGTTGACACATGACATCATGCACCACTGATTGGCGCCTCTCTCCAGTCAACATAAACATCACCAGAAGAGGGTTATCAGGAACAGATACTTTCGTATAGTCTCGTCCATTTCAATCACAGAGAATTTTGTATTCAGTTCCTGCCAAGGCCGATATGGATATCTGGCAACGGAATATCCGAATGATGCACCAAGTAGGCGAGTTTCTCGATCTCGACTCCAGCAAGTCCGACATGGTCGCCGAATTCATTGCTCTCATCCAAGCTGTACGAGAAGGTCTCATGCAAATCGACGACAATTTCCAGATCCCCGATGCTCATATCAACACCCTGTTTCTCACCAAGCTCAAATCTCGTCCGCAATGGAAGGAATGGGCAACGACCATGCTACGTGACCCGCGCATAACGGCTGCCAACTCGACCGAGCACGTAACGTTCCAGGAGCTCGCAAGCTTAGCCATCGAGCAGGAAAAGATCATTCAACAGGGAGATGTGAAAGCGCGAAACGCTTCGGATAATGCAGGTTCCGTTGCCGCGACATCCAACGTGCCAGCCAACCCACGAGCGCTTACACAGGACGAGATCAATGCGTTTGTCGTCAAGCAGATGAGCCACGACGGAAAATATTTGCCGCAGAATGGCAACATCAAGGGACACCAGAAGAGACCTAGTCAGGAGGAGATCAACGAATACGTGATACAGCAAATGCGCAAGGAACAGGAGCGAAAGACAAGGAACCGCAGTCAAAGTCAGCCAGAGCCGGAAGGACGGAATCATCGTGTACGGCCAAACACGGTACGATGTACCTTTTGCGGTGACACCCATCATCAGTCGAATAACTGCTGGCGGCGATGGAGAGTTGCTGTCGAGGCTCCACAGGGCAACTTCTTGCCGAAACGAGTCGAGTTCAAATCTCAGATTCCTGGTCAACCACCTATCTATCGGTCCGGATTTACTCTATTCTGAGCTATGTGGCATTGGTCGCACCTCAATCATCGTTATTGTTTTATTTCATTCCCACTGTTGACCGATGAGATTATGCTAGCATGGCGTTAGGGCTCTGGGTGTTTCATCTTAGCAATTTGTTGGACTTCTTTTCACTGACCTTTTGATGTAACTACATGAGTGATGAGATGACAACGGAACGGACCACAGTATATAGAGAGATAAATTATGCAGGATTAATGAATGCCATTTCATTCGAGACACAAGAATCCGAGGGTTGGACTGCTTATAGTAGACCAGCAGGTCTGTGGTAAGCCAGGGTTGGGAACCCCAGCTTCCGATTCTCCAACTCCTGAAAATGTGCATCACCCTTCAGGGCGGCGGCAACTGATGCAGCATTGCCTTTCTCGAGATCCATCTTTCGGAGTCGCGCTTGAATGGCCACACACGCATCAGCCCATGCGCAGATAGTCCCAGCCAGACCCTCGCTCAGAGAATAGGGCCGATCCGGCATACGGTAGACATATGTCGATGATTCCGGAGAGGCATTGTAAGGGGGTGTTTCCCGCGAATGGAGCAGTAGCGCAAGTGCTCTAGACAGAAAGTAGTCTCCCGTGAGCGCTGGCTGCGGTTGCTCGACAGTTGTTTTTGTCCGTTCCCCGTAATTCCGCTTCGCTATCTCCAACAACTCCTCGTCATACTCGCAGCTGTCGTGCAAAAGCAGCAATGGCCATGCATTTCCCGTGATGCCATGGCAGAGACTCCCGCCTTTCGAAAGCAGCCCTTCCTCCCAGACCCTCTCGCTCGCTAGAAAGATAGCCTTGTCCCATTCTGGTTGCCAGAAATTTGACGCAAGGTAGCGGTTCCGCCTGGCACAGCCTAAGAGAAGTAATATAGCGGGACTACCATGGCAGATTTGCACCAATGGTGATGCTCGCTGAGTGGACTGACGAGGAGGTATAGTAGTTGGGAGATGGCCATTGTTGGCAATGCATAATCTGCAAAGGCCGAGAACAGTATCTGCTATCCAAGGGAAGTAGTCGTGTGAGGTGCCGTTATTGAGCTCTTCTGTTTTGCACGCCAGTAGTACAGCTAGGATACCAGCTTTGCAAGTTAGCTACTTTACTCCGTCAATCAGTACTCGGCAATACATACTCATGCCATGGACCCTGAAACGGTCAGCACAGTGCATACGTCTGGACAGGTGAAGATGATACTCACGCTCCTAACCCGTAACGACCTTCCTGCCACGTCCACATCAGTGGCAGCGCATCACGATTTCCGTAAGCCTGGACATAGTCCCTATGGCCCTGGCGTCCAGCCTCAACTATGACTTTAATCAGATGCGGAACGGATTCGAAAACTGGCTTCAAAGCTTCCGTGCTCTTTTCATCCAGACTCAGAACTCGGATGTTCAGAATGGACCATAGCAACCCAGCGCGTCCATAGAGGACTTCATCTCCTCCCATGTTTTGATTAGCATGGGGGACGATATGACCATGTTTAAGTGCGATTGCGACCGCATCACGTAGTGTGTCGACATCAGTACCAGAAACGGCATGGCCTAGTTTGGCTGCCGCTTGAACACGCATGACAGTCGCAGCTAGCGGGCTCCCTGAACCCAGAGGAGACAATCTCCCTGGCACAAGAGGAATCTTGGGACCATGGCTTGGGATTCTCTCGGTGGCCAACTTTCGATAATCTGGGGAGCTAGGCTCCCCTTCCTCTGTTAAGGACGACGCTTGATAATCAAGTCGCAGAAAAGCGAGAGCAATCCCTACACGTAAGAGGAGTCAGTGAGTCTATACACTCCCGCGTCCGTCAACTTCGGACATAGACGACAGATATACCTAAGACGCCCATGAAAAGGCCAACCTTTCCGTCAGGTTCAGCAGGACTACCCTTTCCCACCAATTCAGCCCCGCGGCGGGTAGAGGAACGTAGTTCCGTCAATGCATTGAGTAGATTCGTTTGGTTTATCTCAATCGGCTCAAGTGTGTTTTTATAGAACTGCGGAGCTTCTACCGGACTCATTTTAGATACTGCCGGGTATGATGTCCTGATGCTTCAAGATGAATTTGAAGGTAGGCACAGGGAAAATAATCGAGCCCAAACTCTGGGTAAGGAAGATGCAGGAGCCCATGGCCCCTCATACCATGAGCCAGTCGTCATAGAATGGGGTTGAGCTAATCATGATGCTGAACATAAAAGTACCTAAGTATGCATACCTAAGGTTACAGCAGCACTTGGGTATGCGAACTCTAAGTATTGCGGTACACGATTGGCCTGAAAGTTTGCAGGATCCATAGATCTACATCAGCTCTGCAGCCTGAGTCATGACCTGTCTCAAGCCATTTTCTTTGCTCAACTTGAAGAGTGTGGATTGACAGTTGGACTGCAGATATCCTTGCGAGGAGACTGCCCATTCATATTGAGAATCGGGCCTGTAACATATTCAACAACTGCATCGGCACCATGCCCCGTAGGCTCCCCCAGAATATATATTGGGAGTTGTTGAGCTACAGCATCTTGACCACGCCACACACAGCATTGATGATCCTTGATTATCCATGTAGAAAGATCTTTATCCCACGAACTTGAATCTTGTCTTCTTGAAGGTTGCTTATCAGCCTGAAAGATATACCACAGTAGCCCTCGATATAGAAAGACTGAGACCGGATTAACAATGTCCCGCTGACTCAGCAAATATAGTGCGGGACGACGATTTCTCTGCTGCGTTCACATCATTCCGGACTCCAGAATACACGGCTGGTCCTTGAAGTGCCGCTTCAACGACTCGCTGGACACTTGGGTGAATTTATTATTATTATTAGAAAGTCAGTGCTTCTATAATCGGTAATGTGATTGCCACAGCTCCTCCTCCAGTCGAGCTTGTCTACATGAAAGGCAGTCTGCTCTATCACAATGCCCATTCTGTCTTATTCCCTTGCAGTCTGCCTCTGCAGGCTCGATCATTTATCCGTTCCGTGACCATTTGTGGTCTGTATAGTTGCTCAGTCGACTAATATGGTAAATAGTCTCGTGACCGGCCGTGACCGGCCGAGGACGCCATCATGCCTGCTATTCATGGAGATTTACTGGCTGCGGTGATGGCGACCGATAGAGACATCCCAGCCAATATCACTCCGCGGCAGGTCACTCTAAGAGACCGGGTCACTGTTGCGACCCTAGTGCCTATTTCATCAGCCGATGATGTGCCTCCCTCCTTGATGCGCTATCTGTCTGATCAGTTGAACAAAGAGATTGCCAAGGGTGACACCTATGCCATGGTTGATCCCATCCCGCTGGAGCAGTTTGCGACGTATTGGTTTTTCAACTTTGGCGCCATCATGCTACTAGGCGACATTAAGAGTGTGTATGAAATGAAGGCCATGGAAAGGGCTGGCGCGGATTGGACCAAGACCTGCTTGGGCAGCTTCAATATCCGACCAAATTACCCTGGACGTAGTAGTCATGTCTGCAATGGCATGTTTCTTGTGACAGATGCGGCGCGCAATCGTGGTGTTGGTCGATTGATGGGCGAGGGATATCTTGAATGGGCTCCTAAACTGGTCAGTATGAACTCTACTTGAGCAGATCGGTGATATCGTGCTCCTGCGAAAGCACTACCCACTTGTCAGGAGAGCTGGGATAAGAGTTCGAAAGAGTCTGACTGTAGACAGGGTTACACATATGCCGTCTTCAACCTGGTTTATGAGAGCAACGTGGCGTCTTGTCGCATTTGGGATGCTCTTGGCTTTAAGCGGATCGGTAAGGTGCCAAATGCTGGCAAGGTACTCTCCAGTCCCGGTGAATATGTCGATGCAATTATCTATGGGCGCGACTTGAGTTCTGAAGGCGATGATTCATTCACGCAAGATCGCTTCGACAAGATCCGATATTATCTCAAGCATTCTAAATACCCTAGAGGTGCCGATCGAGCCGAGAAGAGTCGGCTGAGAAGTGCAGCTACCCACTACAAGCTTATAGAGGGGAAGGATGGCGACTCGGACAAGCTGATGCTGAAAGACAAAGAGGTCGTGTCAGATCCCCAGCAACAATACGAGATTGCTCGAACTATTCATCTCAAGCAGCACGCTGGAATCAATAAGACGACTGCAGCCATCGCGGTGAAATATCACTGGGTCAGGATCAAAGAGACCGTCAGTCGAGTCATTCGAGACTGTCCCCAATGCAAAGAGACGCTCAAACTGCCACCCAGTAACGGTATGCTAATTCACGACGGCGCTGTATCCATGGAGAAGTTGAGCGTGCACGAGAATGAGACGAGCTTGTCGACACCGAGCACCGTGGAAACCACACAGTTAATGGACAATACCTCACTCGATCCTCATCAAAACCACAATCCGTTTGCTCAAACACACCCACAGGTCATTCAAGGAGCTGTAGATTCCATCACCGACTATACAACTATGCCTCTCGATCCGCAAATCATTGACATAAACCAGCAACTGTCACGATTCCATTCCCACGATGGCTTGGGTCACCATCCCCATGACGGCTTAGGTCACCACTCCCATGATGGCATGCCTGACCCATACACACATGGCCATCATAGCTTATCCCACTCGAACTTTGAAGACGCCGTACGGCATCACACAGCGCATGACTACCATATGATGGTTGAGGACGCTTCTGATACAGATGCTGCTGTGGTGTTACGCCAGGAAGCGCTCGGTCTCGTGCCTCCGCAAGTACACGAAGTTCATCATGATCATGACTTATTGTCGAAGTACGAATACGTTGGACAGCCGGATGATGAGTTGGATTTCAGCTAAGGTTACTTTTTTTTTTGATTCTGAGTTTAATGGCGTTGGAGCGTTTGGGGTCAAGCTTGCATAGGTTATTACCCGGTGTGGTCATAGATACCTGTAAATATAATCGGAACATTGTGATACCAGATTTACTCAAAGCAAAGCTTAGATTCAGTGAACAATGATATAATTTCTTATTCAATTTCACATCAATATTGTTGTAATATGTTACCTGGCGAGGGGTAAAATAGCCATCAAATCCATAGGGTTGCGGAGCGAGCCTTGATTGGCCACCGCCTCAGTTTGGCGACGGGGGTTTCGATGAGGAGCTTTGGGAAATTTTGGTCGAGAGCACCCCGGAGCTGTCAATCTTGAGATTGCTCAGGACACTGACTACCGATCTTCACGTTTTCTTGAGCCATCACTACCTTCTTCGCCCCCTTGTCTTTTGCTCTTTTGACGACCACACGTTTTATTGCCCAGCAAGATGGCCTTCGCAGGCCAAGCACCCACCATCATTGTGCTGAAGGAGGGTCCGTAGCCGCATCGAACCCCGTCATTTGTCCGTCTGAACTAGAACTTACTGACGACCCTGCTCTTGTTTTTTAGGCACGGATACCTCTCAGGGAAAGGGCCAGATTCTTTCGAATATCAATGCCTGTATCGCAGTGCAATCTACGATCAAGAGCACTCTCGGACCGTACGGAGGAGACCTGTTGCTCGTTGACGGCAACGGCAAGCAGACAATCACCAACGATGGAGCGACAGTAATGAAAGTACGTTTTTATCTGAGCCATACATATCAGACACATATTTGCTTGAAGAGCATGACTGATCGCATCTGGCAACAGCTTCTGGATATCGTCCACCCCGCCGCTCGCATTCTCACCGATATTGCGCGATCCCAAGACGCCGAAGTTGGCGACGGAACAACATCGGTCGTCGTCTTGGCTGGCGAGATTCTAAAAGAAGTCCGGGACCTTGTGGAGCAAGGCGTCAGTTCACAGACCATCATCAAGGGTCTACGGAAAGCGAGCGCTGTGGCCGTCAACAAGGTGAAGGAGATTGCCGTGGATATCCTCGATACGGCGGGCAGCGAGGAGAAGAAGTACGAGACGCTGCGGAGGCTCGCTGGTACGGCGATGAACAGCAAGCTGATCAAGCGTAATTCGGAGTTTTTCACCAAGAGTAAGTTGCTCTTTTTTCTGTCTGATGCTCTGGCGGAATGGGACGTGGTGGGGCGATGGCTGACACTGGTGATGTAGTGGTCGTGGATGCCGTGCTGTCGCTTGACCAGGACGATCTGAACGAGAAGTTGATCGGTGTCAAGAAGGTTACCGGTGGTGGCCTTCAGGAGTCCCTCTTCGTCAACGGTGTGGCTTTCAAGAAGACCTTCTCCTACGCCGGTTTCGAGCAGCAGCCCAAGTCGTTCAAGAACCCCAAGATCGTGTGCTTGAACGTGGAGCTCGAGTTGAAGAGTGAGAAGGACAACGCGGAGGTCCGAGTTGAGCAGGTTTCCGAGTATCAGGCCATCGTCGATGCCGAGTGGCAGATCATCTTCAACAAGCTCGAGGCCATCTACAAGACCGGCGCCAAGGTTGTTCTCAGCAAACTGCCTATTGGTGATTTGGCCACGCAGTACGTTTGAAATGCACGCTCTACGTTGTTGACGGTACTCTCAACTAATGTCTACGCTGTCTACAGGTACTTCGCTGATCGGGACATCTTCTGTGCGGGTCGTGTTTCTGCGGACGATATGGACCGGGTGTGCCAGGCAACCGGTGCGGCGACGCAGTCGACATGCAGCGATATCCAGGACCGTCATCTGGGTACCTGCGGCTCTTTCGAAGAGCGCCAAATTGGTGGCGAGCGTTACAACATCTTTTCCGAGTGCCCCGGTGCCAAGACCTGCACGCTCGTGCTGCGTGGAGGAGCCGAGCAGTTCATTGCGGAAGTCGAACGGAGTCTGCACGATGCCATCATGATTGTGAAGCGTGCTCTCCGCCACACAACCATCGTTGCCGGTGGTGGTGCCTGCGAGATGGCGGTGTCGTATTACCTGCATGACTTCGCCCAGAACGATCCCTCCAAGCAGCAGGCCGTCATCCGGGCGTTTGCCAAGGCACTGGAAGTGATTCCCCGTCAACTCTGCGACAACGCTGGTTTCGATGCCACCGACATTCTGAACCGACTGCGTGTGGAGCACCGCAAGGAGAATACCTGGGCTGGTGTGGACTTTGACAACGAGGGTGTTCGGGACAACATGGCCGCCTTTGTGTGGGAACCCAGTCTGGTCAAGGTCAACGCTATCCAGGCCGCTGTCGAAGCCGCCTGCTTGATCCTTAGTGTAGACGAGACAATAAGTAAGTTGACTCTGGCTATCTCGTGTGGAGATTCCTACTGATCAAAACCCTTTCTCTTGCGAACAGAGAACGAAGAATCTCAGCAGCCACAGGCGCCGGGGCGCGGTCTTCCCCCGGAGCTGCCCAGCGCGCCCTTGGAGCAGGACGTGGACGCGGCATGCCCAGAGGGGGCCGGTGAAACAACAATGACTCGAGGTGACCTCTACGACAATGGTAGACAGCCCTGGAAAATGTGATTTATGTGGATAGTGGTTGTGTGGTTATGTATGGAGGATGCTGAAGCTATGGACGTGCTAGAACTTAGCTATTACAGTATTTTTCTTACAATTGGACGTCAAATTCAACCAAATGATAAAGCAACGGGCAGATCTGACATGAATCATTGTTCCGTGAATCGCTGTGGGCACGCATCTTTATATTCCACTCTGCAACCAACCCATACGATAGAGATATCATAAGGCTGAAATTCATGGAGGCTAACCCTTCGGCCTGTCCGAGTCGGGGAAGATCATGGTTCATGGATTCGCCAGTCTAAGATGTAGCGTTAGAAGGGATAGTCTGTCCAACCCTTGATTTAACAAATTCTGGACACTCGGATTTAATTAAATATTAAATAACGATATGAGGATATGCATGACAAATTGCTGGTGGACGGGGCTGGCTGAGCGCTAAGCCATTGCTCATTCTTGGGTTCTCGGGGATGCCGAGGAATATGGATACCCCCTCAGGTAAGGTACAGTTCAGTAAACAATTGATTGAAGGATGAGGTGAGAATAACTACAAGTAAAATGAGATTTATTACTGACAATTATGATATTATTAAGGTCGTACAACCACGGTGGTTGGAGTAATTGTCATTAATAATAGGTAGACTATATTCTCCAGAGATCACTGAGTGGAATCATTTCTTTGGCGCCTCCGGAGTAAGTCTTCGTCATGTCACAAATTAATCTCTAGATCCATAGTTCTTTTACTGTATCATCGTCGGCTGTCTCCACTTGTTGTCTGGTTCCGATCTGCTCTTTTTATCTTTTTATCTTTAGCTTTCGAATTGTTTGCTGCTGCCTCCACCACCACCATCGCATCTCGTGTCTGACTTGCCCATCTCCTTCCTGCAAGTCTGCAACCACCGAACGCTGAACTGCGCCATCTCTCGTTCCAGAACAGCGTGTGATTCGTCTCATCTCACTTCTCCATTCATCACGTCTTCACTCTTGCTGCCTAATCTCCCTCGTGCCGGTGTACTTTTCTTTTCGCTCGCCAGGAATGTCCTACTATCCGCCTTATTCTGGCCCGCCGGGCTACCCCCCACCACAGCAGCAACAGCAGCAGCAGTACTCGTATCCTCCTAATTACGGATCTCCACAGCCTCATCAGTAAGAGTCTTCTCGAAGCCTTCCACAGGAGCTGATGTTTTCGTTGACTGACCATCAAAAGACAAATGCAGCATCATCATCACCAACAATCTTCCTACGGCGGCGGTTACCCCGGCCAAGCTTACCGCGAGCAACATCCTCCTCCGAATCCTTACGGGTATGGCCAGCCCTCCCCTCAGCCTGGTTACGGCGCGCCTCCTCCACACAATGGTTACAGTGTATGTCCTCATCAGTGAAGATCACTGTGAAAAGATGCAAGTGTGGCTGACTTTGTGTGCAGCAACCGCCGTCGGGATACGGCCAGCCGCCGCCACCGACTGGAAACGCGGTGTATGGTGGAAGACAGCCTGGTATGTGATCGCGTTTGGTGCAGAAAGAAATGCATCCGCTTTGGAAAGTGTCAGTATGCGGCCGCTGACATCTGCAACACAGGCATGAACCAGTATCAGAACCCCTACTCGCACGGCCACCAGGGTGGTCCACCACCACCACCTACTGATCCGGTCGCGTTCGGACATGGGGCTCCTCAGGGATACAATTTCCAGTACTCTCGGTGCACCGGTAAGCGCAAGGCCTTGCTGATTGGAATCAACTATTTCGGGCAGAAGGGCCAGCTGCGTGGTTGTATCAACGATGTCAAGAACATGTCGACGTATTTGAACCAGAATTTTGGCTACGCCCGCGAGGACATGGTGCTGTTGACGGACGATCAGCAGAACCCCATGAGCCAGCCTACGAAGGCTAACATCCTGCGGGCCATGCATTGGTTGGTCAAGGATGCGCAGCCGAATGATTCGCTCTTTTTCCACTACTCAGGTGAGACCGTGCTTCTACCGGTGCTTCTCAGACGCAAACTGATATTTTGTAGGTCATGGTGGTCAGACTCCGGACTTGGATGGCGACGAGGAAGACGGATACGATGAAGTCATCTACCCTGTCGACTTTCGACAAGCCGGCCACATCGTGGACGACGAGATGCACCGGATCATGGTCCGCCCACTACGCCCGGGAGTACGCTTGACCGCAATCTTCGACTCGTGTCACTCGGGCTCCGCCTTGGACCTCCCTTACATTTACTCGACACAGGGTATCCTCAAGGAGCCCAACCTGGCCAAGGAGGCCGGACAAGGGCTGCTGGGAGTGGTCTCGGCCTACGCGCGCGGCGACATGGGCGGTATGGTGTCCACCGCGGTTGGGCTCTTGAAACGCGCCACCAAGGGCGACGAGGCCTACACGCGCAGCAAGCAGACCAAGACCAGCCCGGCGGACGTCATCATGTGGTCCGGCAGCAAGGACAGCCAGACCAGCCAGGACGCCCAGATCGCCGGCCAGGCCACCGGCGCCATGTCCTGGGCGTTCATCACCGCTCTCCGCAAGAACCCCCAGCAAAGCTATGTACAGTTACTGAACAGTATCCGGGATGAGTTGGCGACCAAGTACTCGCAGAAGCCGCAGCTGAGCTGCAGTCATCCATTGGGTAAGCAGTAGTCCTTGTGTTGGGTTTCAGATCTGAAGGGACACATCTCTAACGGAAGTAATGATATTTAGATACGAACCTTCTCTACGTCATGTAAAAAAGTTACGCATAATGACGCTGTAATCTCGCTCGGTTTGCATGGGAGAAAAATGAGAAAAGGCGAGTTGCCTACTGATTGCTGATTCTCAAAGTATCCCGTTGTCATTCTCTTCATTGCTTGTTTGCTTTCACTTGCGATGGAGTATTTCTTCAGTACATGGAAACCTGGACTGTAACCTGCTTGTTCCCTGCATAGTCTGGTTCACTAGCTTGGAGACCCTGCAAGGGGATGGCTTATGCAGATGCATTTGTAAATGATTTCATGGTCCTAGTATATCATCTATCTATTGTTTCAAAATCATGATAGAAACTTTTGTCATGACGTGACATTGCGGACTTCATGCACGATTTCGGCAAGTTAGAGGAGATTCAGAGAGATCCTTCCAAAGATCGTCGTGGTGTCCATGACCCGAGTCAGTCGGTTCAGATCGGCCTGAAACTGCTGGGGACATCACAGTGCCAATTCGCTGATCCCCAGGCCCGATTTGCCCATTTGGCTGCGATCAGACGTCACTGGGACAACGGGAGCCCAGGGATCTCTTTGACGAGGAGGAAGTCCAGTGGAGCAGATAGCATGGACTACTGGGAGTGGATGCCACCGGTTGTAGCGAACAGATAGGAAACAAGCCGCAATCTACCATCTTTGAGGGGCATTGACGACTGTCCGCGAAAACGATGCACTGAACGTTTCTTTGCCCTTGCGCTGCGACGCGGCAATGATGCCAGTTCGGTCTGTCACGGGCGTCGCATTGATGATCTTATCGAATTCCTCGTCGTCGCTAGCTGTTGATCCGGACTCGGCGTCTGAATCTTCCACGGGCGTCGGGTCCGGTCGAGTGATCTTCTCGGGTTGGGGCTTGTCCGGGATGGAAGGATTCTGGAAGGATTTCGAGTTGAGGATTTTGGCACGGATCTCGGCCATTTGGGCTTCGTCTTCAGAGTCGTCTGAGATGGCGTAGGGGTCTCGTTCCTCCTCCGCTTCTTCTTCGTCCTCACCCTCTTCGTCCTCCTCGTCGTCTTCTGCGTCTGATTCGGTTGGTGCAGCTCGTCTGTTTGTATTTCCTACCGTCCACATATCGTCGGCACCGCCCTCTGCGCGATTCTCCTCGTACTCCCGCTCAATCTTGGCCAACCACTCTTCCTCCGCTTTCTTGATGTCCTCCTCCGTCGCACAGGCAGCGTATCGTTTCAACAGCGCCGAGTTGATCTCGAGGAAAGCTTCGCCGTAATTGAAGTGTTTGAGGACCTCTCGCGCCCAGTCTTCATGCCCACAGATGCAGAAGCAGGCTGCTAACGCTTCGACGCAGTTTAACCGCCAGGGCCGTCCATAATTGACTGTGTTGGCTGCAATGAGATATGGTACTGTAAATCAAAAAAAAATCATCAGCTCTGCAGAAGCAAGAAGTGTAATCGCGAACAAGACGCAAAACACTTACACAGTCTTTCGCACCGGCCACCGATTCGCGACCAAGGGACTTCCTTGACCCTCACCCAGGAACACTCTACCACTGCAGCTCCGAACTGCTCTAATAGTTCACGATCGGCCGGGGAGAGAATCTTCTTTGCATTTGGCCTGGAAAGCTGCTCCGTTAGTGTCGCCATCATTGGAGGCGAGGAAAGAAGACCTACGAGATTACCACCCCGGCAAACTTCTGGCCGATCGCCAGTTCTCGCATCAACCCGAAGTGCATCAGCCTCTTTCCAGAGCATCGCTTCGGATCGCAGTGTCCTAAATCCCAGCAGGCGGCTTTGAAGGCAGGCCTGTTTGTAGCCGAACCATCGTCGTCATCGCGGGTACTGCGCGTGGGCGGGGTTGGAGGAGAATTTCTTGCCTCCTCGGGAGAAGTTGTCTTTCTTGTGACGGACCATTATTTGCGTTAGCTTGTTCAATAGTAATGTAAAAGAATATATCGTCAGAAATCAGTATGTGGAAGCAAGAGTGATGGATGTAGGAGATATGATTTGAGAAATTCTACCAACGGAGGCAAGACGCCGATGAGGGCGCCACACGTGGAGCTCTGCCGGCGGAACTAACAATCATAGAGTACCGCACCCTCTCTCCATCGTCAGCCAGCACCAGGCAGTCAAGAATTGTCGGTACTCCAGTTCATCAAAACATACTAGCTAGCTTTTACCGTCTGTGCAGTGTGTCCAGCTTGGCTACTACTTGGACTTGTCGCTGTCCCCCCTCTCACTTTTCCTTCCTCTTCCTTCTTCAGTCGTCATCCTGGAGGCAGCATCGGCACGTATGGCAGCTAGGGACCGCTATGGTGCCTACGCTGATGTCGGGCTCACACCGCTGCAACGAGCCATTCGTACGTCTCGAATCGTCCTTTAGGGCAGTAGCCATCTGGACTGACTGTTGATGATCGATAGGAAATGCCTGTGATTTTTCTCTCTACGAGCCCAACCTCGCCCTGAACCTCGAGGTTGCGGACCTGATCAACTCCAAAAAAGGCAATGCGTGAGTCGCCGGTCGGAATCCTGGTTCACACGTACGGGGCGCATTCTTATCAGTTACAGTCCTCGAGAGGCAGCGTTTGAGATTGTCCGCCTGATCAATTCCCGGAATCAAAATGTCGCATTGCTGGCGTTAGCGGTAGGTGATTTCGTTGGCTGGCGGACAGGAGCTGGTGCGGGGGCTGACCACGGTTGCTTGTGAATAGCTCCTCGACATGTGCGTCAAAAATTGCGGTTATCCATTCCACCTCCAAGTCAGTACAAAGGAGTTTCTCAATGAGTTGGTGCGTCGTTTTCCAGAAAGACCGCCAATGCAGCCCTCCCGGGTGCAGCACCGGATCCTGGAGTCAATCGAAGAATGGCGGCAGACTATTTGCCAGACATCGCGGTACAAGGAGGATCTGGGCCATATTCGCGACATGCACCGCCTGCTGTTATACAAGGGCTACATGTTTCCTGAGATCCGTCATGAGGATGCCGCCGTCCTGAATCCAAGCGACGTACGTCCTTACCTTCCTGGTTCCCAGCGTATGGCCTGAGTAGGACTGACATTTGCTGGACAATAGAATCTGCGTTCGGCTGAGGAGATGGAGGAGGAAGAGCGGGAAGCACAATCGGCGAAGCTGCAGGAGTTGATCCGCCGAGGCACGCCAGCAGACCTGCAGGAAGCCAATCGGCTGATGAAGGTGATGGCCGGTTTTGACACACGACACAAGACCGACTACCGGGCCAAGGCAGCTGAGGAAGTGGCTAAGGTGCAGCAGAAGGCTAAGATTTTGGAGGAGATGCTACAGAGCCACAAGCCGGGCGATCGGATTGCTGAAGGCGACGTGTTTGAGGTGAGGGTTTGCGCCTGGCGACTGAACGTCTGCGGCCACTAATTCGAACAGGAACTTGCGAGTGCACTTCAAAGTGCTCATCCGAAGATTCAGAAGATGTGCGAGGAAGAGTCGGATGACCCTGAGGCTGTTCATAAACTGCTGGAGATCAATGACAGCATCCACCGCACCATTGAACGCTACAAGTTGGTTAAGAAGGGTGACTACGATGCGGCATCCAAAATTCCCAAGGGTACTCTAGGTACTACGACGGGGTCTCGAAGAACGCAAATAACGAACTTTCCTTGATCGACTTCGACCCGGAGCCGAGCTCGAACGGCAATGCTCCGCTAGCGGCCGGGGGCAGCTCCTTGGAGAATGACCTGCTTGGCTTGTCAATAGAGGAGCCACTCCCCGCTGGAAGTATCTCGTTGGGACCTGGTTAGTCCGTTGAGGAACAGGATGGTGTTAAGATTTGACGTCTGACGATAGACATAGGAAATATGGCTACGTCTGCCAACCCACCGCTACAACAAGCCCCTGCAGGATTCAAGCCTACTTACGATATCATGGCTTCGTTCAATTCATCCCGACCGGTCTCGCAGTCGTCGACGCCGGCTCCCCGGCCACCTCAGCAACCGACTGCGACCCCGACACCGCCGCCCCCTGCGAGCGATCCTTTTGCAGCTCTTGTGTCCGCAAGCCCCGGACCTCCAGTCCATTCCCGTCCGGAGCTTCTTCGACTCAGTCACCCGCAGCTGCTTCGTCGTCTCTCCTCGACTTGGTGGGAGCTGGTCCTCCTACCACCGCAGCTGCCAGTGGTAGCAGCGCCAAGGCACAAGACGACGACGAGTGGAACTTTGCTTCCTCGCTGCCGGAGAGCAACGCCCTCCCTACTACTAATAAGGTGCAAGTGTTGAACTCGTCTTTACGGATTGAGTTCGTCGCACGGCGGCATCCCAGCCAGCCCCGGCAGATCCACGTGGTAGCCCTGTTCTCGAACACCACCGGCCAACCGCTGAACGAGCTGCACTTTCAGGTGGCCGTAGAGAAGGTTAGTCCCATCACTTACGAATCAACGACAAAATCATGCTAAAAGCGCTACAGGCTTATACATTGCAGCTCCGGCCGCAGTCTGGACGTGATATCGGACCGCTGCAGCAGAATGGCGTCCAGCAGGAAATGTTACTCGACGGAGTGGACGCAGGCAAGGGCAATTCGGTCAAAATTCGGTTTAGAGTGTCGTACAGGGTAGGCGTTGAGAGGAAAGAAGAACAAGGGATGGTGCCGCCATTGGGAATTGCCTAGGGAATGGAGATGATGGCCAGCAAGTTGTAATGGATATCCCCAATATGTTTTTTCTGTGTGCTTTCCGTGGTCTCGGCTATTTGAGAGCTGTGACGCTCGATGGTCCGATTCCACCTGCAAGCATTGATTGTCCATATTTCTTTTCTCTTGTTTTTGGCTGATTGAGCAGTCTTTTCTCCCGCCGTTCTCTTTCTTTCATGCCAATAGAATTGAGAGCAGACTGTTGGTTGCTGAGATTTAGCGGTATACCGGTATAGTCGGTTGGTTACAGTGTTGTTTTACTTGTCTTCTGGCATTACTAGCAGTGATAGTACCTATAGACGAGGGCCAAGGACCTATGAGTAGGTAACGCCGAGATTCCCCGTGCCCGGTTACGAGGCGAAGATAGATACCGTCTTTCTAGCCGTAAGGCTGAGGTCCAGTCTGCCCTTGCGCACAAGCCTCCTAGCCGGCTAAAGGCAGTTTTGGCAGACTGGCACTCATACCTCAAACCACTGGAAATACTCCATCGAAGCGAGAGGGCCAGCTGTGGCGGTGGCACAGACCCGATCTTTTGTTTCGGCCGTGCCTCGGGTGGGACGCGACGGACTTCGGAAAACTGGAGGTTGCGAGCCGCGAGCATGAAAGTAAGCCAGGAAGTGGACCTATCTTGCGGAGCGGAACCATGAGAAATGGTCGACTTTCGAGAAGTCACAGGTATTGGTGCCTACAGCGCCAGCTACAGGACGATAAGGGAAAGAAGAGTGAGCCCGCGAATAGCCTACAGCTGATAACCTGATAACGGCCACCCCGACAGAGCGTCTGGAGGGTTTTCCTCGGGTGGCGAATCGGACGGTTCAGTCCAACCACGGATGGAAGATGGGAGGGACCGTGACAAGCGAACGAGGTGGGCTGATCTAGTAGCAGTACTTCCCTTGAAGGTGGCTTGCAGATATTTGCAGATCATGGCATCAAATCAATATGAAACTGAACAGCCTGCATAGCGTAACGGCTTGAGATCATCATGCATGAGACTGATGCAGGTACATACGTAGCTCAGATGACGGTGAATCGGCGAGTTAACGGTCTCTTGAGGGTACCTTTTACCTAGACTGATTGCGCGGTTGATCTGCCGAGTTTAGTAGCCAGCCTAGGATGGATGTACTGGATACTCATCATCAGAGTTAAGACGAGCTCGAGCGAATGCAGCAAGTAGGTTGACTTCATTGAGAGTACGATGTGGAGTCATGGAGATTCCATAGGAGGAAGGTATAGAAGAGGAGTGGGATTGGTACCGTGAATGGAGCGAGACTGATCCATGTCTGAAGCTGTTCAAATCGAACTGCCATATTGGGAAAGATCGGTCCCGATCCGGAAGCGGGTGGGGGTGACTGTAAGTCACGTGATATTATGCAGCACAGCATCAGGCAGCTAGAACCGCGTAAAGCCGACGCAGATCCGGAAAAGTTTCCATCATCTGGTTGCTTCATACGATTGATTGCTGGTCGGTGGGTCTCCTATTTACTTTGCACTATCTCCATCTCCATCACAGTTTTGTCATTTGTATGGTTGGAAATGATCGCTCGCAAGATTGCCTCACCCTGAACCCCCGGGGATACTCCGTAGTCCGTACTTCGTAGGGGCTTCGGAAACTATGCGAGCATTTCCCCCATCAACCATTCAGCACATTCTCTCTCATTTCTTAGAGTTTGCTCCAATCCGTCGTCTACTTGGCAGGCTCGAATGCTCAATGAGATTGGACTATTGATTGCTCTTGACCGTTAGGACTAGACTAGCGGGTACCTTATGGCCAACAGGGCAGTCAGCAAAAGTCTCATACTGCGAAACTGAGTGTAGTCTTACAGAGTACCTTTTCACACTCCAGGCAGTATGCACAGGTACCATCGAAGGTCGTATGGGTTGGCCAGGTTGGTCTAGAGTCTAGACTCGAAATTTGCATCGAGATCAGCTTCTGCAGACAATCCGACAAAGGAAGTACCCCGTCAATGAAGAAACGGACTCAATCTGATTGTCGTGATTCGTCTTACTCAAGGGGAAATGAGTTCCGGGGTAACATTCTCCCTCAACCCAGAAACTCGCCCCGAGGACGAGGGACCCCTCTTCTCGTTTCTAGATGTTTGACAAATCTTTCAAGCTCGAGTCAAGCCAGTCCACTACCTTAGGTTGAGACAAGGCGAGCAAACCCTGGTCCTCAGCTCTCATACGGTACATAGGGTATAGTAAGGTATGCAATCGGAACACTACTTGCGGTGCCTCCTATTACTACGCATCGTAAAGTACTACCATGCATAACATACATCCAAACATATTACAAATAAGAGAAGAGACGCTCGTCCACTGCCTAGACTAGGCTTTGGGGGTTCTTCGTCGTGGATCCATGGATACAGGCATTTGCGCCGTCCAGACTACTTCTCCGACCTGCACCAAGACGCAGCAGGGCCCTTGGTGGCCTCGACGGGGAAGGATCCAAACTCTCCCATACCCCGGAAACCCATGGCTCCTCGCTCTAGCCTCGCTCTATGTTGACAGCTGCCTACCACCGCCCCCCAAACGATGGATCGGGCGATGCCTTTTGGGCACAAAGTTTAACCGTCTTCTCTCTCTTCTTCCTCTCCTCTCCTCTCCTCTCCATACTTATTCTTCTACTTCGCCTCCTCTCTCGTTTTCTTCTTTCGAATATACTACTCCTTTTTCGCTTGAACAGAAGGCAAGCCTTGCGTATATAGCTTGCCGTTGATGGTATATACTCGTGTCTAAATACCATTCCTTGCTCTTTACTCTTTACCACGCACGAGTCTCCACAATGACCTCTCCAGATTTGGATCTGGATGTCGCTCCCATCCCTCGTTCGCGAGAGGAAAACCAAGAAAGGTAAGCTTGCTCTGCTTCTCTCTCCTACCTGAAAGCGAGTAATACTGACTTCCAGTAGAGCTTTCATCGCTGCGTCCAGACGCAAAGATCGAAGCTTAGATGCTCGTCTGGAATCGGCCAACAGGGCCTCGATGCTGCACAAAAAGCGCACGGGCAAGGCCCTCCATATTACGAAAGAAATCGTTGAACGCGAGGCCATGTATGAGGAAGTTGACGAGCGTTACCAAGAGAAGCGGATCCGTATGCTTCAAGCGCAGAACCTTCACATCGAGGAGCAGCTGAACCGACAACTACTGGCGGCGCTGGCCGTGCGAAGCAACGGCATTCAACAACGCCGTGCTGCCAACTCACCTCAAGGTCCCGTGAATGGCGTGCGCAAGATGAGCCTGGACCTATCCAGCCTCCGTTCTTCCTTCTCTGAGAGCACGCCGACAGGGGCCATGACCAGTCCGATGGTGATGGATCACAACTACATGCCGCCTCCTTCGTATAACGTGAGCCCACAGTCCTCCTGTATGACGCCTGAGGCATCGTATCCAGAGATGGTTCCCGCCTCCTCGTCGACTCAGATTCCACCATATCTCGCCAATGCCCCTCAACACCCGCCACCATCGCCCCATCAGGCTGTGGGCCCTCAGCACTTTCGTCCGTTCTGGGCAGGCTTCCAACAACAACAACAACAACAACAATATCCAGAGCATCTGCAACAACATCCTCAATTCTGGAACGGGGCCCCAACACGCCAGTTCAGAGACCGACTGGCTTCGGCTCCTGAGATTCCTGTGCACGGTCTCCCGTCTGCTATGCCAGCTTCTTTGTCGTCCTCTGACGCCACTTACGGACGGGTGTCGAACCACACACGAGTCCGGTCCGAACCTGACCAGCCGTTCCTGGCTCAAACACGATTTTCCGCATCGGGATCGAGCTCACCCAAGATGGAGATGGTCTCCACCAGGACCCTGTCCACGCCTGATCTGTGCCCAACACCGGGGACGCCCCACTCGCCCGCGTCGATGGGCCATGATGCAGGGCACCTGGAACTCGAGGCAGTGACCAAGGAGGGCGAGGTTGTCTTCTCTGCGCCCCAGGAACTCGATCCTGACTACGATGAGTTTAGCCGCTTTGCTTGGGGATTGGGTAACGATGCACCGATCCAGGAGCGGGAGACCTTTGGGTTTGACGACTACGTCGCATTGGACGAATTCACGGCGACCGCTTGAACCCTCTGTATTTTTTTGGTCTAACTTGCTCTGTACTATGTTTCACTTCTTCTTTGGCTCTTTTTTTACTCGGCTACTGCACGAAATTTACGGTGACGGTTGGGGGAATCAAATACCCAGGTCATGGCGTTCAACTGTACTGTACATTGGCTATGAGAAATGACACTCTATCATATTGGAAAAATTGTACAGTTAGAAAACTCTGCACAGGGGAGACTCACGTCAAGCATACGAAATTTGGAATGAGTCAGGAGGACCGCAAACAGTAAAGCCACAGCGTATGCAACCTTAATAGATGAAAGCCCCCGCATTCCGGAAGAGTGAACAGAGTTTGACGACCACCTGTTTCAGCTGTAGACATAGCAATATTAGCAATGTACTCTATGCGAGTGGGTATTATCATAATTTGATGGAGAGGAGCAAGAATGAGAATATGAGAGACAGTACAGTACCTCTCTAAGATACTAGTAGAAAATACCTCACTCGAGCAAGCTCATAACCTCAGACAGGAAGTACGTAGCAGAAATCCCGCACAGACCATCGTCCTTTGAATCAGGGTGACAGCCCAGTACGTACCTATGATCTGGATCTGAACCTTTTGTGCAAGGAACTTAAAAAGCTTTTGGAGTCGAGTCCGCGGAGTTAAAAGGTAGAGTTAACTGTGTCTGTACGGAGTACCTAGTACTTACTGACTCGTACTGTATGTAGTCTGTAGACGGTAGAAGCCAGTACGGGAGTACTAGGCCAGCACTAACCACAATAGGATAGTGGGCTCAGTCAGTGCAGCGGGGCCGAATTCGAAAACAGAAATAAAGTTTGGGCACTGCAACCACTGGGGCAGGTGGATCGCCGCTCCTGATTTGGAATAGCAGCTATGGAGTTGGGAGTTACACCCTCAGAACTCTGCAGTTCAGGTTGCAGTGCGACTGTACTTAAGGTTAGGTGCATATGATCTACACAGGCATCTGCATATGCAACTCTCTAGATTTATTGTCCACACGTGGTGATATTAACATCAACATCACTTTTAGTCGTTACTCAGTATTCACTATCTAAGAGAATAGTTCACACAGTACGTATTTGTGAATTGCGACTTGCAAAGGCAAGTATGGTACAAAGTAAGTTGTAACTGCCCCACTAGAGCTAGAGCTTACGCACTGACCACGATCTGGCACTGGTTTCGGCTACCCACAGCCCACAGACCACAGCACCACAGCACCACATTTGCCCCGCTGGTCCTGGCGACTGGATTTGGAGTGATGCCTGACTGGTGCCTTATCTTGTTCTTTCCCTGGAAGTCTCTCAGTGCAAGTGAGTGCAGCACTGGACGATCACTGCGCTCAAACTAGGTATTATGTATAGTCAAGAGTTAAACTAGTTATGAGACTAGGTTACTTCCCAGTAATAAGTCCACATCAGTTACTTATATGGGTTATCTCTGGGCTGTTCATACTTGCCTCCTTACTCAAAAGAGCAATTGCTCGATACCTAGTACAGCCTTGCATCCCAAAAAAGTTACATATAGTGAGTACTGCTTAGCGTGTGGCCCAGGCACGAAGCGAATTTCCATCAGTTTCGGTGGTAAAAGATTTCAAATCAGTGTTGATCTGCTCTCGCCCATGTCCCACCAGCAACTTAACCTAAGGGTAGGTAAACTCTCGTAAGTAGTAACTCAGGGCCCAGATCCAATCATCGCGAGTCCAGCAGGTAGTTCAGACCGGTTTCAGAGTTTCAGCCTTAGGCTGTTGCAGGCATCAACCCCGAACTTGCTTTTCTCATCATCTCAGTTTTTGAGTTGGCCCAGTAACTACGGCCAACTTTCATCTCGGACCAATTCCTCAAAAGGGATATATCGTCCTTGCGCTTTGTTCGTTAGGAGTAAAGGCCAGACCAATACGAAGGTGAATCACGTTGATTCCGATCCATCCCCAGAAATGGAATCACTCCACACCACCCCCGGCCATCGTCGGCGTTGACTTGCCCAGTTACTGTTGCCAGCGCCAAGTGCCTTTTGCCACCCTCAGCTACCCTTTAGTCTAGGTACGGGGGGTACACTTAAGGCACACTACCAACTGGCAGTGGCTCAGCTGGGCAAGAGACACGGAGTTTCTCCGACTCTAAAGCTAGTCCATACTTTATCCTATCGTAAATTCGTATTACCGTGGCCGTTGGGGTTGGGGGTGCATGCGGCTAGAGCCGCCAGACTACCTTACGCCTCAGCTATCGACCATGACCAGACTGCGTAGACTGCCAGAGTGAGCGTGCTTCCAGCAAGGACAATAGGTTGGATGGGGCCGGGCTGGTCAGTTCCGGGGTGGAGGGGCGGTTGAGCAGATCGCGGATCCAATGGGTGAGGAGACAGCGCGCCACCGCATGGGGAGAATGTGGTAAACTTACTGCCAGTCTTCCCAATTTCCCCGTACCCGGCAGAGTTAAAGTTTGAAAATCAACTGATTAGTGTCCAATAGGAAGAGACTGATTGAAGTCCCAACCCCGTTGGACGTTGTGTTTGGCTGCTCAGGCTGGTCCTAAATCATCCCTGATTCGTTTAACCAAAGGCTATCATAGCTATCGTATTCCCTGCTATCGCCCGTCTAAACAATATCCCTGGCTAGCTGATAAGGACAGTGGGAACGAACAAGGAAATGAGGATCACATCAGATGCAAAGGGACTAAGACTACTCCCGCCGACTGAACAGCTCGCGTCCGATATCGCCGCTTTTGCGAACGCTAATGCTCGAGCTGCTGCTCCGTCGCCGGCGGCTGCGGCACTCTGCAGGATCAGCAGGGCTCAGTCCGCTGGCCCGCGCGTGCAGATTCAAAATATCAGTCAAGCTCACCACCCCCACGAGGCGACCGGACAGTCGGGCCCCGGTAATGCAGACGCGGGAATCGACGGCGCCACCGCGTGGGGCATTCCCACCGACGCAGCGGGATGCGTGAGTGATGCCGCATTCATGAATGGCTGAGGTGGACTAGGAAGATGAGGAGTGCTGTAGTTGGGGGCCGGTAAGTTGGTCGTGGCTGCGGGAGGTGACACCGGCGGTGACTGCGTCGAGTTGGTGCTGGCCGCCAAAGGAAGCTGAACGCTCGAGTGAGACGGTGTAGGTGGTCCCGACGACGAGGGCGACAAGGGATCGGTGACCCATAATCTACATTATCCTTCGTTAACTGCAGCCCATTTAACTTCAGCTTAGCAATATAGCACTCACCGATGAGATTTGGTGGCCACCATTTTTGCCACCGTGTGCGCCAGAGTCGAGCTAGGGTTCACATAGAACACAGGAAACGAGTCCTTGCCCTCTATGAGGCCTCTTGCGGATAGGATCACGGAGATGAAATGAATGCAGGTGTTGTGGAGAAGAGGCAGCGATGACGATCTCGTGAGGAGCTATATTCAATCTATCCGTTAGCCAGCTGAGTTTCTACTCCGAAAAATCAATGGCATACCTTGACATCCGTCGTAGAGATGTTGCCCACCACGTTGGAATGGTTATCTACCACAGCAATGGACGAGATTCCTTCGCTGTTCATGATTTGCAGCGCTTCGCAAAGCTGCTTATCACCACTGAATCTTTGTCAGTATGCTCTCAGACAACACAAAGCAGACGAAGCAGGAACACTCACTTGATGGAGATCACCTCGCGAGACCCGATGCCCAAATCACGCAGGTACTGAGGGTACAGCTGATCGATGACGGGAAAGCTACGACCATTCTCCCATAGAAACTTGACCAGTCGGAATTGACTGACGATTCCCACTACTTCGCCGTCCTTGTGTTCATCCACCACGACCACGCGGTGAACACCGCCGCCGAACGTCTCGACAGCCGTCATCAAGTTGGCCGATGCAGGGAGTGTGGTCAGTGGCTCACTCCGGCTCAGCTCCTTCACGTCCTTCAATGGTATCTTGTGCCCGTCCCTGGCCTTTCTTGCCAGCTCTTCATACGATTCGCGAAGTTCTTCATTAGGCTGCGTCAGTCCGGCCGCAAGTAGAAGGTATGCATTCAGATCCGCGTAATCGAAGGTGCCCACGGCCGTCTTGTGTTCTGGGATTTCTCGAATCAACAGCACCGGGGCGTTGGAATCGATCAGTGTCTGTAGGTATTCAGACATTAGCGAACTATAGATCAAGTCTTAAATGCAAGATCAAACATACATTCGTTGCTTCCTCAATTCCAGTATCCAACTCAACAAACCTCAAATCATCCGGCCTGACAAGCTCCCCAATCGAGATTTCTCTCCAATCTCGGCCTGCAAATGCGGGATTGACATCTTTAGGAGCAGGAGGGTTATCGATCAGACTCTGAATCGCTGCCTGTGTGAAGGACGGCTGCCGACGTGTGCGCGGAGAACCAGGTGCAGCGCGGAGACTCTCGCTGAAGCTCTGGCGATGCTGATGATTCGAGTGATTGAGTCGAAGTGACTGGCTACGCGTTGATGGAGAGCGTGAATCGGTACTAGATCGCGGCGATGCAATAGCTGACCCATTGGAATGGTCTGCCACCGCTTCAACATTCTGATGGTCCGCCATGGCTGAGCGCGGGGAAGGGGCTAATCCGCGGGGGGAGCTGATCCTCCCGGAAGGATATAAGCGGACAAGTTCGGTCTCGGGGAAAGGATCAAAGGTAGCTGGCTCACTTATTATTACCTAAAAGAGACGCTCAGGATGCAGTTCTGTTTCTCATTTAGCCAACTGAAATGGCTTCACCAGCAAGATCGCTGTGGACAAGCACCTCAGCTCCCTTGAGGCGGTGCCAATCACGGGGCGGTGCGGGGGAACAGCGGTGTTTGGCTCGGCATCGGCAACTGGCCAATCAGCTGTGGGTATTGGTGTCATGGCGGCGTCATTACCATACCTGAAATTTACCTTATCAACGGTATCGATCATGCAACTTACTGCACGCCTGAAGCAATCATGGCCCGACTTCCGGTTCATAGTCAAAGACCAGGAGGTAGACAGTGAGAACTAGACAGTGAGAACTGTTGTCGATATTTCTATCACCATTTCAGACTCCTTGCATCCATCTGAAATTAAAGAAAGTCGCCTAAGACATCTCGGAGATCTCTCGGATTTCGCTCTCTCATCACTGGCTTTCTGGATCCAGATCTCGGCTGTGACGTCTTTTCTGGCGATTGGCCCGCCATCTTCACCTTCTTTAGTGGTGGCTCTGGAGGTCTAGACCCGGAGACTTTTCTGCGTTGGAAGTATATCGTAGAAAAACTGCTGCCTCTTTTGCCCAAGCCTTGACTGCCTTCTGGGACGATGCGAAAGTCCAAAACAGGGCTGTCTCGGTCTAGAATACCGTCGTCTATCGCGTGTCCTTGACTGCTGGCATAAAAGCTCTTCTGACAGCATTCATAGAGTGTTAGAGGCTCTGATCCTTCCAATTGACTGGATTCGTTGACCACAAACTGTGGGATTGTTGTCACATCCCACGAATCCTTGTCCAGGCCGTCGCCTTGAAGGAAGGATTTGAGATTGGGGCATCCATGGGCGATTATAAGACACAATCCTGGAAGAGCACTGAGGTACCGTATCCCCAACGGTGTAAGGTCTGGTTGGCAGTACAATCTAAGGATGCGAAGGTGGGTAAATGCTCCTGACGTCTCCGCCAGCTCTCTCCACGTTCGTGCGATTCGATCGTTCAGCCCAGCGATACGTGGTCCCGAGCTGTCTAGCATCGGAGTTACCTGCAGTGGCGTTGCGATCTCCAGCGCAACCAGATTCTTGATATTAGCAATCTCCACGAGCTCTGGTACCCGCCCAAACGAGGGAGTCAGAGTCAAGACCAAGCGCCAGCTAAGACTATCGCTCTTGACTACGCTCCAGTATTCTCGCAATGGCATCTGTGGCCATTTGACCTTCATGGATCGGTATTTCGCAACATTGCGGAATTCGGCGGGGTACACTGTTGCAAACAATTTCCACATGTACAAGGTCCTTCTCTGGCTGAAGACCGTTGCATTGGACTCAGCCTTGATTACGGCACAGCATGTCTCAGGGGGGCTGCACTAGGTCTTCACTCACCGTTTACCAAGGTGATCCCACAATCTGCTTGCCATACGCCATGGAATATGGCGAAACAACTCGGGCGTCAGATTCCTCTGATCAGACAGAAGCTGTTCCATTGCACACTCTTTCAAAGAGAGTGCACCCTTCTCGTGTCTTGCATCTCGTTCCACGGTGCAGAATGGGCTCTCATGAACCCAAGACGGGCCCATCGAGTATGATAAACCAGGAGCCATAGCCTGTTCTTCGTAGACCTGGCCGCTTTTCCGGTCCAGTTTTCGGACAGACATGGTAAAGTCACTAATATGGTGGCGAGAAGACTTGACCATGCCAGACTGGGTTGCAAAATAGTAGCAATAGCTGGACAATATGATTCTTTCAAAGCCACTGCAATGGACTGCCCTGCTGCTGATACTGAACAGTCCCTACTCGAGGATCCAGCCTGTAAGCCATTGAAGTCAAGCGTCCGATATCGTTTATAGAGTAACTTTTCTGAGCGGTGCCTTCGATATCATTACTAGCAGCAGCTCAGACTCTTCATTGGATTTGTCAGAGGTATATTATGGTGAAGAACTCCGCCTAGATCTCCAGACGCGAACCGGAATCCGAATAACATCAACCCTGTTATTCACGTGATCTAGCATCACTGTCCCTCTATTCCAATGATAAAAGATAGTCAGCTGCTAAATCTGTGCAGATGTTTCCAATTTTCGGTTATCCGCTATATATGGACATGAAGCGAGAATGATGGACTAGAAGAGAAGTAACGGAAATCCTTGATTTGATCCCAGTCCAAATCAAGTTATGTACAAAGACGGGCTATCAGCCCAGGAGCATCCGATGAGGTCGCCAATCCACCTTGACCTTGACCCCGAACTTAGAGGCAGCTGAAAGCACAATATGGCCGTGGTTGTTCATGCATCTTTCGCTCAGGATCCGCCCATACACGCGCTGAGACTTGAGAGTTGTCCGTTCTTCCGACCCTGTTCTCAGTGCCGCAACCGGCCCCCTCGAGTCAATGAAAAAGGCAGATCGCCTCAGATCGCCGGTAACTCGACATGTTCTTCAGACACTCGGTACGGACAGATAAGTGGTATTGGGTAGTCGCCGATGAGACTGGGTGGACGGCAAAGTCTCTCTCCAGCAGTGACCGTGGACTGAATGACAACGCGGGCAAGTAGCTAGTCGATGAGTTACCCACGAGTGGGTGAAGGAATGATCGGATGTTCGGTATATGAAAGGATTGACTGAGGCATAGCTTGGGAGCTCGCGCGTGTTATCGTATTTTGATGTGTACCTCCTTGGAGTACAGCGCGGCTGAGAAGTCCGGGTATAAGGCATCTCCTTAACGGTGAGCTGCATGTTATGATAGATCGAAAGGCAAGTCACAGTACGGACCTCGAAACTGTTCAGCTAGGATACTAGCATCGAGCAAGCGGCTATTTATAAGGCTAGAATCTCCATATTGAAGACCATCGGGTAGGACTCGAGCGCTTTGGTCAATATAAGGGATGCCAATGTCATCATCAAATGGCACTGAGGCTCCTGTCTCTGTTTGAAAAGAGACATATGCAAGGGCAACTATCCTCGTGGGAATTTCGGCTTGTTTCGAATAATCAGTGAAGCTGAGTCTTAGATTCCCTAGAACCGGAAGCAAAGTAGAGATCTGATCGTTGGTCAAATTGAGAGAAGCAAGGGCACATCTAAACCCAGTAGAGCCGAGGCCATCATAAGAGAGGGGAAATGTCAGATGGGTAGTGATAATTTGCTAGGAAGGGGCAAATTCAAGGGTTAATGCTGAACAGTAGTTCCGCCCTTGTCTCCTTTGCAGCCGATTATTGTTTGTTGATCTCTCTTCTTCTTACCATCACCGCACTGCATCACATTGTCAAATAACCTTGACCTGGTCAAGGTTTCAGAATTTACTACCGATATTGAGAGTAGATCTGTTGTCTCAAATTAGGCGTCCTTCAATGTGATGAAAGAGAGACACATTGACTCATCTTGATGAGTGCTCTCAGGCCAGCGAGGACTCTTTAATTGTCACCGTGTGCCATAGTCAAGTTTGAAGACTCACCCAGTCACTCTCGTTCTCATGTCGTTTCTCTCTTTTCGTTTCGTTAGCAGCCAGAAGCACCTCATGAAGGAATACTGTGGCCCGTATTTGCTCACGTAAATGACTTTTGATGACGAGCACGATCGCGCCTTCGCGTTACTTCTTCGATCTTGCCTAGCCTTCTGGTGCCTTTTACTAAAAGCTCTGATTCGATGACAATCCGATGATTGAGTCAATCTTCAAGGTCAGGCGCGGAGAAGGGACGGCTGATACTGGCTGGTCACAAGCATCCCCAGGCTGACATCGTGTGCCCCTGACGCCAAGAGCTCTTCAAGAACGTCGATCGAAATCGAAGGTTACCACAAAAGGATAGTCAACCATCTCGTTTTGCTCCTCTAACCAGTCAAATGATGGGGACTCTTGTGATAATTGCCACATGTGCTCCCAGAGAAGTCATTGCCAGTGACTTGATGTCCAATACGATGGGGTGTGTTCAAAGGTCAGGAGGACTAAGTCCCCAAATGATATACAGCACAAAATCGCCAGCTGAGTTGAGAGAGAGCCTTATGACTCTTTGCGTTTCTTATGAGGCTGTTTCGTAGTTGTGAGCCATTTGTCGTCTATATAAGTCCATCCCTTGTGGATTCCGTTTCTTTTCTGTCAAAATTTGCCCTCGAAGCTGTCGCTGTCGGAAAGTTGATCGAAGCAGACGCCGCAACGATGAGTTCTGATTCAGCAGGGGAGAGATTCCTGATGACCAAAAGTCGAGAACACAAACCTCGCTCTAAGACCACGAGGAAGTTCAGGGTGCTGAAATTTATCAGCTCTATCCTTTGGAAGCAGGCTTCATTACAGATAGCAAATGCTCGCCAGCATACAGTGTGGCTGTTTGATAATACTGCCTATCAGCGTGTCACTCCCAAAGCCCTTGCGCAAGGACGTCCGGCATGGCGTGTTGAGGTTGTCGCCTGCGTATTTGAAAAGGACAGTCGGAAAGATATCAGCAAGTTTGTCGCAACGATAGCGGATCTCATTGGTCTCGATGGGGAGATAGGCACTGAGTCAGAGACCCGTCATCAAATAGCCCGTCGACTGCGGCCATTCTTGTACCAGACAGCACCTGCACATACGATGGTCATCGAGATCCCGTTGTCAGACGCCTCCATACAGCTCCGTCAAATTGGTCCCACAGACAGCAACGGTATTTGCAGCCAGACCGTGAATCTGGGTTCGCGCCATCTTGCAGACGGCACCAGGATACGGTCGTACCTTCGGGGCTGGGAGGGAGAAGTGTCCATGGACACCCTCTTCGCTGATCCGGAAGGTTGGCTTCTGATTTCTGACATAGATGACACTATCAAATATACAATGACTTCCGAACCCACCGGCATCTTGCGGACTACGTTTGTCGAGACAGCGCGTCCCATTCGAGGAATGCCTCAATTCTACTTCCACACACAAAGACAACTAGTACCAACCTGGTTCTATCTATCAGCGTCACCATACAATCTGTATCCTTTTCTCCGCGAGTTCATCTACACCTGGTTCGCTCCAGGCACTCTCATGCTTCGGGAGTCTTCCTGGATGGATGTCGGTTCGTTGATCCGATCCTTTACTACATACACCATGGAGTATAAAGTGAACAACATGGAGAAGTTGTACCGATCTTTTCCCGAGAGACAAGTGCTCTGCATTGGTGACTCTACGCAGACGGATCCGGAGGCCTATGCAGAGATCTACAGACGGCACCCGACCTGGGTGAAGGCGATTCTGATCCGTAAGGTCACAGATGTCCCGCACTTGGAAGTGAAGAATTCTCCAGAGCGATTCAAGACTGCTTTCAAAGGGGTCCCGGAAAGTGTATGGACAGTATTTGAAGAGCCTGAAGAAGTATATCATGTTGTGGACCGACTTTCTCAGTCGATACTATAGGTTGCTCGCGGTAGAGAAGGAACAGCTCCGCGATTGGTGCGTCAGAACCATCCACAATATTGTGTGCAGAACCCATGGATGAATACTCAGGCTCTTCTATCACCCTACCAAGACGTATGGCGAAAAGTTATCCGATAGTTAGCTGCTGGTAGAGTTGCTGATATAAGCACAGTTACGTCAACATGAGGGCATCCGCATCATCGAAGGCTATACAGTCCGATGCAGTCTCGCTCCGCAGCGCTGCCAGCAAATTATTGTTTCTGGTTATTAGAAAGTCAAATTTTCAGCTGTAAACCATCACCCTTCACAGGGCGTTTGTTTTTCGACGTGATTTCAGAATTTACTGGAGCTGCCTGTGTTGCAAGTGCCTGCGAAAACTCCGACACCTACGACTTCCTCGCACGCTCATTGACCTAGAGGAAGCTCTTCTTACACTGTCAAGAGATACAATAAATGAATAGTCATTTGAACTCAACGGAAGTCTTGCCTAAATACTGAATACTTTTCACCATGAAGCCAGCAAAGCCAGCGCAAACTAATATGGATGAACAAACATTCGTCCCAAGTACGATGAGGGCCCTTTACTACAGCCTAGACGACAACCACAACCACGATGTGAAAGCTGTGGATTCCCCCGAGCCAGGCCTGATTTTCGACACTGACTTTCCCACACCCATGCCGTCACCGACCCAATATCTCATCAAAGTCCAAACGGCTGCCTTCTCGCATGACGAGCTGCGACTGGCGAAGCTGCTCAACCCGAGGATATCCATGCCAAAGATTCCCCTCCACAACTTCTGCGGCACAGTCATCAGCACCCCCGATGAAGATCACTGGAACGAATCCGGTCCCAAGTTCAAAATCGAGGACGCCGTCTTCGGTCTGATCAGTCACACCCGGGACGGCGCCGCAGCCGATTACCTCCTCGCAACGGAAAACGAGCTCGCATTCAAGCCGAGGAACATCAGCGCCGCCGAGGCAGCGACGATCCCCTTACCCGCCCTCACCGCATGGCAAGCCCTCTTCACCTACGGCAAACTGAATCCCGCAGGCACGGACCATGTGCGCGGTGGCCTGCGCGTGCTCGTCACAAACGCCTGCAGCAGCGAGGTCGGCATCCAGGCGCTTCAGCTGCTGCGGGCCCCGTCCTTGTTCCCGCACTACCGCCCGTGGATCTGCGCAACCTGCGACAACGAAGAACAGGGGACAACCCTCCGCGACCAATTCCAGGTGGATGAGTACATTGTCGCCGCCCTCCCGTTGGCTGCTGACTGGGACCTGGCTACACCCTTCAAACAGAAGCAGTGGGGGCCCGTGGATATCGTCATCGACTGCGCGGGCGAAGACATGTTTCAGCAAGCCCACTCACCAGCAGTCGTCAAGGAAGATGGTGCCGTCTTGACCGCCGTCGACTCCACCCCGGCTCAGAACGGACGGACTGAGGAAGATACACAGACCGGCAACGGCTCGAAGAAGAAAGGCCCCTTGAGCCGGTTTATCTCCGTCGAGCCGGATGGGAAGGCGCTCGCGCACATCGCGACGTTGGTTGAGGAACATAGCGTCCGCGGACGGGTCGAGAGCATCACGGATCTGGTCAACGGCGCAGACATACTAGCTGCGGGAGCTGCTGGCGCCGGAGGAGGGAGGCGAGGAGGCATGATGGTGATCCGGGTTAACCCATAGATGGTGCATAGTCATTGCATATTCCGGCCATGGGTTTTTCGTTTCTGTCATAGCAATCAGGATGCTGTCATTTGATTGGGTCAGTATACGGGATAAGGACACAATTTGCATTCGAGCGTACGAGCACGTCGTTTTCGTTTTGAGCCTTATATTTCAGGTTCTATAATGGAACTTGCGTCAATCTATGACACCTAGTTGGTCAAGAAGGGTACTCGGTACTCAACAATAATCGGAAGACTCGGAATTGAAAATGGTGGTTTCAAGATAAACACACATTCTGAAGTAAAAGTAGGTAAAGTAGGTCCTCATCAACTGCCTGAGAAGGTTCACAAGGCGAAGCACACAAAAGCCGAGAGATAATGGGGACACTCACTCCAAGCTGCTTCCATTTGTGGAGTCCAAGTGCTGGAGCGCATTGATGCTTCAGCGATCGAACTGTCGAGACAGGCCCACTGCTATCGATAGCCTGCGCATGGCCTATAGAATTTCGGTTATTGTGTATGATGATGCTCTGTCCTGCCGCCGCAAGACAGCCCTGTCCGTCTCTTTCTCGAGGGAGACACGAACAGAAAAAGAAGAAAGCAGGTACAAGAAGCTCCGGAGAGATGAAAAGTTTTGGAATTCGAAAGACCCGACGGATAATCGTTCAAGGAAACAAAAAGAGGAACGTCACCGTCCGGTCTCAACCCGCATGCTTAAAAAAGAAGAAAAATACATGAGATCGATCCACAGGTCTCTCTGCGTGCTATGTTCTGTGAGACACTGGTGGAAGACGTGAATGGGAAAGACAGAAGCGAAGACTGAAAAAATTAGATTGATAGCGGTTGAAAACCTGCATACCGGTATGAGACAAAGTAGCAGGACAGTTACTGCTACAACAAAGAATCAAGTCTGGTAAAAACGCTCAAACATGCTGCGACAATCTGTAGAGGTTTGCACATCAGCTTCTGTAACACCATAAATAGAGAGCGACGAAACATACCTCCAACTGAAGTTCTCGATCCTTAGCTTTATTGACCTCGTCGTTGATGGCCTGTGCCAGGTTGGCACCAATCGCCTGTCCACCACCCGGTCTCCGAGCGAACGGCCACTGGGAATATTCTGCCAGCAACTCATCAACTTGCGCAAAAGCCCGCTCTCTCGCCTCATGGCTCATTGTAACAAGTGCATTCTCCAACACGTTGGCCGCATAGGCCGCGCATACCATGACAACAGTTCGAAGATACCGGAACTCAGCATCTTCAGGGAGCCATTGGTTGGCCGGCAGGATCACGGTGCGACTGCTACAAACGTTGCGGACACGGCGATGAAGATCATCTTTGGCGCCTCCGTCGGCGACTGGGTGTGTGGCCATGTCAAAGAGGAGGAAGTTACGCTTTTCGGTACGGAGAATGCCTTTGTCGACGAGACCTTTGGCAAGTCGTTCGCGGACCTGTTTGAGTTGATATCCAATCTTCATCAAGTTCCATGTTTCACCTAGACATAAGCATTAGCTGCATGTCTTCTTTTTGTAAGCCGTCAGAATCTCAGTGGCCAGAGCCTTTGCACGCACCGCTCATCAGGTCAATCCAAGAGTTCACGCTCATCTTCTCACTCGACTTCATCATCTTCAATGCCTCGTCCAGCAAGACCTCACCCGTCAATGTATCATCGATGACTTCGATTACGCGATCTGCGAGAGGGAACCGTCGCCGGGAGGAGTCCTTTTGCATGCTGATGCGACCGCGGAGAGCCAACTCGATGACAATGCAACCTCGAAGAGCATAGGAAATATTTTCGTTCCAGAATGAAAGGTATCCCTAACAGAGTAAACCAATGTCAGCACTGCCTCGTCAATGCGCACAAGCGGCTCATTGAGCTCGCGGCAATGTTTCCAATCCAGCACTGACCTGTTTATCCTTCAAACCCAGCAGCAGCACTTCCTCCATCAGGGTCAATTTGGGCTGCTTGCTTCGCTCTTCGGTCTCACTCAGATCCCGGGGATCGAAAGCGATCTTGTGGCCATTCTCAGAGCTTGTGAATGAGGCCTCAGGTCCGCGGTGGTCAAGTGCGGAGCCATTTCTAGATACCGGAGAGGACACTCTGCTATCATCGTTGTCATCTCCGCCAGCGACTCGACCGCCACCTCTCCGGCGAGTCAAGCCCCCGGCTGAGGCCATGAGGATGTCGGGATGTAGGACGGTGGACTGAAAGCGGGGAACTGGTTGAGCAACTGGTGATGATGGGGACTCGACCGTGGGCGGTATATGGTGATGCTTCTAGGTTGGGTTCGGAGCAGACCAGAAACTAATGAAAAGAACAAGAAGAGGAATCTGGCGTATATCCCACTGATTTCCTGGGTGGAAATTAATTGTCAGGGGCGGTGGAGCGCAGAGCACAAGGAGAGTGACAGATGAAAGAGACTACGGAAGACAAGAGAAGAAAATCACAGGGAAGAGCCAGAGGATGACTAGGAGGTATACCAAGTGACCGAAATCATTTGCTTTGTAGATACTCAAGGAAACAGAGAATTGAAGTTCCTGTGCCTAATGATAATAATCTAAAAGTTCATGGTCGTCTCAAAGAACATTTCTTTAATCTTTCTCACTAACTTTGCTGGTTTGTTAGCGCTTCGCCGGTTACGGACGAGAGCCGCACCATGATACATCTGACCTTGAACCTCAGCAATAACTGGCATGGTTTCAATTGACTTATCATAATTAACTAACTATGCGAACCCAATTAACCCTCAGACGGAGAATTTGTCTAGTTTGGCCCCGTGAAACGCAAATCATACATGCTATTCCAAACAGACACCATGCCACTTCCTAACAGGTACACGTCATCCGATTAGTGAGACAGACAGATAGAAACGCTGAAGTCAACAGAGTACTCCAGCCTTAACGATGTATGAAGGAAACCGTCATCTTCTCAGACGTCTTCCTTATCTAGGGACAGCAGTAGACTGGTCAAAAATAGCATTCAAATGTGATATACACGATATAGTAGGGCGACAAAGCACCGGCATGTATCAGCATACAAAGCAGCGTCCACGATGGCCAGGGGAACTCCGACTCTAGGATTTTGTGGCAGATGCACGCTCACATCCCTTTCCTTTTTCTATCAGACCCTCCAACCTATTCCCAAACCGTAGTATTAAGTGTTTAGTGGGCTAATCATCATTAGCGTCAATCTCCAGGATCCTTGTTTTCGCACTAGATAAAACTTACCATCAGGCTGGGCAAGGATGTACTCAACAGCCTTGTCAACTGTTGAAAGAATAAGTAGATGTACTTTGATGAGCGATCCGCTAGGCATTGTCCGAGTGTACTTACCACTGTGGATAGTGTCGGCCTCCTTGTCGGGGATCTCAATGCTGAACTCCTGTTGACAGACTCGTTAATATAATGCTCTTCTGGAAAATCGGCCGCTAAACCATACCTCCTCAATAGCCATCACAACCTCAACAGTATCCAGGGAATCCAGACCGAGGTCGTTCGAGAAGTGGGAAGAGCCGTTGATCTGTTTCACGTTAGACTTCGTCCACATGACCAATATTCGCTCCCTTCAAAGTTTGAAGTTCGAAGGGGTAGCCGGCCCATAGCATCAGCTGGCATAAACGGTGACCACGAACCTTGCTGGCATCGGAAACCTATACACCATCAATCGCGTCAGTAATTCTATACTCAAACACCAGCTTCGGTAATGTATTTGCTATCAGGGTCGATAGACCACTGGGAGTGAGACAAAAAGAAGTCGAATGAACGAACCTTGTCAAAGTTCTTCAAGAGGTTGACTATCCGGCCCTCGACCTCCTCCTTGTTCAGACCGGTGGGGGCGGAGTAGAGGCGGACACCCTGGTAAGCAAAGCGAGGGGCGAATTGAGCAGGACGAGCAACAGGAGAGCTACGGATCTGGAAGGCAGCAGGAGTCCTGACGGCACGGGGAACGGAGGCTCTCAACGAGCGGACGACAGCGGAACGGAACATGGTGACTGTGTTGAGGGTGGGTTAAAGGGGCAAATTGCCTGACGAAGTAAGACCCGACTGAGGGATAGAATATTCAAACAAGAGAATATAGAACAAGAAATGGAGGAGACGAGTTCGTCAGGGAGAATTGATAGATACCCAGGGAACTTGATTGACACGAGAGATGGAGGTTTCCATCTTTTGCTTTGCGCTTGCGGCTCGGGAAGCAAAATCCTGCCGGCGGCCAATCAGCGGGCGGCAGAAAGGAATGACCTAAGCAGTACCATTGCTAACTTGCTCCAAGCCAGCAAAAGACAGTCGGAACCTCATATCTTGCTGCCATTGAACCCTCTCCACCCCTCAACTGGGCCCTCGCTCTCCTCACTCTCCTCACTCTCCCCGTCTGCTCGTCGTCTTTTCTCTCCTCTCTATTCTGCTTCTCTACAACAGTCGCAATGGCCTCCTCGACATCTGTTGCGAGGCTGGTCGCCTACCGTCGCCCTACTCCCTACCTGTGGGCCTCTTCTCTCCGTCTTTCGCCCTTGGGTTCAATCGCAAACTTCTCCTCCTCAGTGTCGAGAGCTGCTACACCAGCTGGTCCTCCTCAGCCTGGATTTCGTTTACCTGCGCCGAGGAAATGGGACCAGGATCCCGAGTCTTCGCTAGACAAGGCCAGCAAGTACTTCCTGATGGCTGAATTGTTCCGGGGCATGTACGTGGTTCTGGAGCAGTTTTTCAGACCACCGTAAGTTTTCCTGGCACTTTCGCATCTTCAATCTTTGTACATTCTCGGAATCAGTTTTTCACGATTCTGGCTGTACATCTTGGTTCTTTTTATGCATTTTGGGGAATCATGGGGCTAAGACCAACTTCTAAATTATAGTTACACTATCTTCTACCCCTTCGAGAAGGGTCCCATCTCCCCCCGTTTCCGTGGCGAACATGCTCTGCGCCGCTATCCCACTGGTGAGGAGCGTTGCATCGCTTGCAAGCTCTGCGAGGCCATTTGCCCCGCTCAGGCTATTACCATCGAGGCCGAGGAACGTGAGGACGGAAGCCGTCGGACAACCAGATATGACATTGATATGACCAAGTGCATCTACTGCGGTTACTGCCAGGAGAGTTGCCCTGTTGATGCTATTGTCGAGAGTAAGTTGATCCGGCAGGTTGATTAGTGTGACTTCACAGCTGACAGGATACGCGCAGCTTCCAACGCGGAATACGCCACTGAGACCCGAGAAGAGTTGCTGTACAACAAGGAGAAGCTTCTGGCTAACGGTGACAAGTGGGAGCCAGAGATTGCCGCAGCCGCTAGAGCCGATGCCCCCTACCGGTAGGGCGCGGTCGATTTCTCTTTTCATTCATGAGAACCTTTCTACGCTTGGCTGTTGTACTCTAGCGATCCTTGCCGAGAGATCAGAAATCACAAAACTGGAGTGACGGAAAAAGGAGAGTTTTCCATCTATTCGAGATGGCAAAGGTACCGACTCCTTCATGGGAAGTCTAACTTTTGCCTCTCCGCCTTGTACATAACGAATCCTCCGCCTGCGTTATCCCGCATATACAGTTCAGGCTCAAAGGAGTTTTCGAGTCGCCAAAAACTGGCGTTCCTGTTTTTGTCTTTGTCGCGATGTCAGAGGAAATCCTGGTTTGTCTTTGTTTATTTTCTACTGTTCTGCTAACGAGTCAATCGAACAATTCACTTTTCATTTGTATCAACATGGTATCTGTCCAGCCTGTGCTGCATGGGGTCTTCTAGTCTTCCTCAATAGCAGTAGTCATCCGAAGGCATTAAATATATATGCTCCATCAATGTAGGACAATAAACGAAAAGACAAAAAAAAGCCCTGATATTTGCACGAACAAATCGCTGCCTATGCATACATGCACAACATGAAAAGAGAGCATTTCCCAAAAGACCCCAAACACCAGTTCTCCAGATCCCACACTCAGTTTCCTTCCCTTACTTTTTGACAGGGTTGTCTATCATGGACACACACACAACTGTGGGCCATCATCGTGGATGCTTTTCCTTCATTTCTTTCCACCCACCTTGGCTTTGAAGCTTCCCTCAAATCCAGGTCTGGCCTTCTTCTTGCCTGCGGCAGGTTTCTTGCCCTTGTTGCCCTTCTCCTCGCGTCGCTTGCGGAGGTTCTCCTCGCGCTTCTGCTGACGCGCGTCCTTGCCCTTCTTGACGGTCTCGAGACGCTCCTTCCATTCCCGCTCGGACTTCTTCTTCGCGGACTCCTTGCGCTTCAGCGCCTTCTTGAGAAGCGAGGTGTCATCCCGGACCTTTTCACCGTGCGCCCGCTTCTTGGCATTCAGCCACATGTCCTTCTGTTCGATATCCGCACGCTTCTCTTCGCCCATCTCGGCCAGGCGGGCCTTCTTTGCCTCTGCGGCCTTGAGTGCCGTAGCGGGGTCCTGGGGTCCATGGCGCTTTGGCTGTTCGCGGACGTTCATCAGACTGGGATCGGCCTGCTGGCCGTCGGCGAACACCACCCGGCCGAATGAGAAGTTGACGTTCGACCCGATGGAGTCTGCAGGGGACCGCGGCGATGCAAGAAGCGAGCCGGAGCCACCGGGGAGAAGCGCTTGGCCATAGCCTCGTCTTTGGCGCGCTGCTCTTCTTCCTTGGCCTTCTGTCGCAGCAGTTTCTTGTGTGCCTTGCGCTGCTCGGCTCTTTGCCGGCGAGCCTCGATCAGTTCCTGACGGTTCCGGGCGGGCTTGCCATCGAATCCGTCGGCCTGCCGGGCGGCACGCAGCTCGTCCAAGCGCTTCTGTAAGCGCTGTTTTAATTCTTCTGGGGTCGGCTTGAGAGGCTTGGGTTCAGATGATGATTTTTGGGAGGCGTCGTTGGTTTCAGTGGAAGCAGTAGGGGGGCGATGGAAGATATGGAAGAGCTGCCGGAGTGGTCATTTGAGGCATCAAACCCGGGAGAGGTGGGTGCTGAGGATGGAGACGATGACTGTTCTGCGGGCTCGGGGTTGAAGTCGAGTGAGAGGCCTTCCTCAGGGACAGCTCCTTCTTGCTCAACCTCATCATCGCTGTCTTCTACCTTGGAGGGCGTCTGCTCTTCTCCCTTATCGCTCGCGGGTTTCGACCCGGACTTTTCAATTTTTTTGTCTTTTTTGGAAGTTTCCTTGGCCTTCTTCTTCTCTTTCTGAGCGGCTTTCTTCTGTGCTTTCTTCTCCTCTCTTAACTTCTTGCGCGCTTCGGCTTCCTCCAACTTGGCTGCCGTATCATCCGATTGCTCTGTGGCGGCCTGCTTCTGCTTTTTCGATTTGACATCGCCTCTCTTCAGGCCTTCCTTGGGAAGTTCAGAGCCCAGCTCTTCTTCCTCGGATGACTCGGACCCATTCTGCACCTCCTCGTCACGCTTACGCTTCCGAGCATTTTCGTCCATCACGTCCTTGGCCGTTTTGGCAGAATCGGGGTCCAATTTCGCACGTTTGGCTTCGCGGGCTTGCTCCTTGGTCTGCTTCTTTCGCTTCCATTGGTCCTATAGGAGGAATTATGGTCAACCACGGCCGCTGAGCATTCGAGCAAAAACGGAGAGAAAGAAGTAAGAATTTTTCCTCTGGGTGGAGAGTATGGGATTATTCATGATGATCACGTACGCTGCCATCTTCACCATAATAATACTTCGCAGGAATCAAAGACAGAAGGCCGTCGAAGGCCTGAGCATGGCTTCGCAACCGTTCCTGATAGAAAAGTTTGTCAGTTTCCCAAGTGTCGTGAGCGCGGGGCTTACGAGGCTTCAGCAACCACATACCTCGATATCATCCATTCTGACTTCGATAACCAGACCGCAGACTATCCAATTATAGAAACGAGCGATCTCGTTGCAATATCCGGACGATGTTTTGTCCTGCTGGTTGTCCAGAAGCGGTCGGTCAAAGTCGTTAGTAAAAGCTGCGATACCTCGAAAAATTTAGGTGGGTGTTGAAATCTTGGCATTCAGTTTCCGCTCGGCTGGACTGATTGGAATGATTGGTTCACCGCCCGCACAGTAGATTCACTATCCACATTGAGATGTATGAGGATTGTCCCTAATTTAAGGAAGGTGTTGACATAGGTCTTTTAAAGTGGAGGACATTATGCATATGAAAAGACCAGACGCTATTTTCCTGAGTGACTGGAGATGCTATATAGTGTTGATGTTCTTAGTCTATAGCTGCCCCTTTGTCACTCTACACTTGAACGGAATAGCTTGTCTTAGTTAAACTGGATGACTGACAGGAATGTGGAACATATAAAGGTGTGAGACAAAGAATAGTTCCTTCAAAGGGGTGCTTGCAAACAGTCGATATCATCTACCTATGCCCTGGACATAAGCATCATGCCATAGCTTGCCCATCTAACCTCATGGTACCAAGAGGATGAGATGTGAATATAGAAATGCCAAGTACTCCTTCGCTATATCTATCTTGTTGAGCCTTGAATAGAAACTCTAATAACGTCCTACCGAAACGAAACCTGCCATCTTGCGGCTCGAACAAGCGGTTTTCCATGGTAGACCACGCTCGTCAACCTTGAACCCTGAGTAATGACCGAGTATCAAGACCAGGACATCCTTCGCTCCTGACATCGGTGATATTGTCATACGGAAACGGAACAGTCCAGACCAAATCAAAGCTGTTCAGGATCAGCAAGGATTCAAGCACATTATAGTCCGGCACGACTCACCGGTCCTCTGGATATTCCGGGACATGATCAGAGCCCAATTCCTCCACGATTTCTTTCATTTTCCCGTGTCGCCAGGAAATCAGAATATTTCCCGGGCCCTGGAAGTTCCTCACGAGTTTTGCTACGCATCTGACTTGATTCCGTTTGCATGAGAGATCAACTGCAAGACCTAGATCGATGGCGAGCGGGAGGACGGTCTCGAATGAGCGTCTGTGTTGACCATCTAAGTGGAGAGTAAGGGGTTAGCTTGACATGATCTGACTGAGCCGTAAGGTAACGCCAGTAGAGACTATGGCATACATCTGTTTGGCCTCGGCGCGGCGATATGGCCGATGTCATATGGTGAGTTGACACCGAACACGTCCCGGAGGCATTGGGCTCGCTTGAAGCCGTCGGCATTCAAGCCGGAATCCTCGGGGTTGCCGGATTTCTCGCCATGACGGATGATGTAGACTGTTGGTTGACCTGCCGCCGTTGGGGTGATCAGGAGGGATGCAAGTAGCAAGACGAGGAAACAAACATGATACATTATGACCAATATCCGCTCTGGGCAAATGTTCTCTATGAAGATGCGCTGCTTAGATGGACATGAAAATGTAGATAACTTCTTATAGGCGCTCCATCACGGTCTCTCCTGAAAGCATGCTTGACCGTAGACAAGATGCGTACCACTCCACTAGTGAAAGCAAGATCAAGCGTGGCTTGCGTAACATTGCGCAGTCGATCAAAAATCAAGCTGCAGAGGTATGACTTGTCCAATGCAGTTTCTCATGCTAACTGTCTCAGGCTCATCATTGAGGAGCTCGTGTCTCGATTGGACTGAGCAAAATTTGGTGAGAGGTAGATCAGGCGCCTTTTTCAGCTGTTAGTTGGTTAAAAAAGTTTGTGTGACTCGGTCTTTGTGCGACTCGGCCATTATGTGATTGTCCTCGTGGAAAAGCAATGATCATGAAGTAGTTCTGCGTCTTTTTCAACAAAGACGGGTTGCTTGCTGACACATGTTTACTTTTTCTGAGAGTGATCATCCGCATCTGATAGGCATTGAGCATGACTCTTGCGACATTTTCGTCCTGATATCACACCCTGCATGGACTAATTAGCTAGTTGATTGTAGATCCGTCGGAGAACAGTCCCTTGGCTAACTAGACATTGAGACTTTCAGTGTTGAATGATGGTCAGGAAGACACAAGCTACGGGGTTAACCGTGGCTTATCTAGTGGGATAAAAGGACGTATATAATAGAGAAGGGTCCCAGTAGGATTCCTTTCCTCCAGTCAGCAAGAACTTGGATACGGGGAACAGTAGCGTATAAGCATGTAAGACATCAAGTACCGGGTAGGTGGTTGCTCAGGTGTTGCAGCTGCGATTTGGAGTTCCCCTCGCAGCCTTGCTCACAGAATGTCCAAACTCTGACAATTAAGAGCTTAGCCCATTGAGCCGAGGAGCCGATCTTACGGTCAATCCGAAACTCCTCACGTTTTGACTGCGCTGTTATTTCTATAACCGCGGGGCCAAAGGACTTAGCTCTGTGCCGTAGGTAGGTAGTCAATGGAGATGCGAATAATATGGCTGCCTGTTGAGTGGAATTACGTGAGGTAAGGCAGTTGTATGATTGGAGGTGCTGCTACAGTAAGGTAAAGTATCCAAGATAGGATCTTACGGAAGTCGGCAGCCTCGGATATGTCCCGTTGGATACAATGGAAACATCGCAATCCCTAAATATAGCTTTGTAAGAACATTATTATTATGAAATCAGAAATGACAGGCAACACTCCACAGTTTCTAACGGAATGGGCAATAATGAGGAAGATAGGAAGAAGCATCATTGCCATTGCACAGCCACTCGACCCAGCCACAGGTGGCTTTTTATCCTGTATTTTTATGGTAAAATGATAACAAACAGCGGTTCAGCTTGCCGAGATTTAGGCAACTAGAAATTGAGGGGTTTCTTTACTTCGAATTTCAAGTGTCTTGGTCAATATCCGGAGCCAAGAATGCAGTCGCTACTACCATATTTGGAGCCATCTAGGATCCATCTGATCAAAATTTACCTAAACAAGTAAAGCCCAGACGATCTGGCGGGGCATGTTCTGCGTAATAGCATGTACAACTTTTGCGTATTGTCGTCGAACTCAGCCCTGGGCTTTCTAGAAGGCCACAGCCCACCCCGCTACTTTCGCCGACCATAATGCGGTGTGGCGGAGGTATTTATTTGGAAATATGGATCCTGAAGCCAAAATGTATGGCTATGAAATGGATAAGCCACAATATGAAGTATCCACATACCAATGAGAGTCGTCAGTAAGCGCCCCATCGATGACGGGACAGTGATAGCATCCGACAGAATAATGTATTGTCCCATACACATCTAGCGGTGGTCTCATCGCACTGGGCGCGACTAAATGACTGAATGTGGGGTCCCATCCCGTCAGCAATCGATTCAGCCCTACATGTACCAAGCTGTTAGTTACCAGGTAGTAGATATAAAAGACAGGACGGGCGCCCCTTGAACTTTACCTCTGCTTCATCATTCTTGAGTCAATCACACATCGTCTCCTCTTGAGAGTCCCATCTTACCCACCTTCTATTACTCCAACACACTCCCAATACACTCCGAACACAATAATGTCCGGTCCTTACGATCAATATTCCCAGCAGCAAGGCTACGGCCAGGGCCAGGGTCAATACCAGCAGGGAGGATACCCCAAGGCGGCTATGGACAGCAGCCTTACTCTAACCAGCAATACGGCCAACAGCATGGTCAGCAACACGGTCAATACGGAGGCTCTGGTGACTACTACAACCAGCAGCGCGATTACAACCAGGATCAGTACGGCCAGCACCAGCAGAGCCAATACGGCCAACACGACCACCACGGTCAACAACACCAAGGCCAGGGGTCATACGGGCAGCCTGGGTATGTCACCTGCCCCACCACTCTCTTCTCACGTACATAAACTTCCGGTAACATCAGCTGACATTTTTCTCTCTCTAGCTACAATGACCAGAACGCTCCCGGTGGAGCCCAAGAGGGCGAACGAGGACTCGGTGGTGCTCTCGCGGGCGGTCTCGCGGGTGGATTTGCAGGCCACAAAGCTGACCACGGTATTCTGGGTACCATCGGAGGTGCCATCATGGGATCCGTCCTGGAAGACGCCGTCAAGAAGCACAAGCACAAGGACGGTTCCTCCGGACACGGCAGCTACGGTGGCTCCCAGTACGGAAGTCACCAAGGCCAGCCTGGTTCGTCAAGCGGCGGTAGTCTGATGAATAACCTGGGCGGCTTCTTCAACAAGAAATAGATTTCTTGGGTCGTGCTCGACTGAGCCGGTCCAGAGTACCGCAAGCTTAGAGTCAACTTCTGCGAGTTTGTCTTTTCTTATTTGATGACTTTGACCTGCACGAGGATGCCTTGCTATTGTTTCCCTTGCTTTGTCTTGATACCGATGTTGCATATGATGATATGAGGCACTTTGCTTGACGGCCGATGAATAGATTTGATTTGTTTCGATCTGCACATTGAAGACGAGGACTTTGTAGACCGTATATTGCGCCAAAGTAACGTGAGCGATGCTGATTGATTTGGTCAATGCAGGCCAAAGAACATTGCTAACATTGAAGCTACTGGTTTCGTCAATCATCAAGCGGCCTAGATGTTTATCTACCGAATGAGCTTGACCCGAGATGTTACCAGTTCACTCAGATCCGAGCATCGTCTGCAGTCTTTGTAGGTGACTTGAATGTCATAGTAGTACTTACGGTGTCAACATGACTCTCGAGCCGCCTGACCATAGCTTCATCGCGAGACAAACCGGGTCGTCTTGTTAGGTCTTTATAGCGGGCCGAGAATTGCTTGAGGACTGGGAACTTTGCCTCTTCTTGTCCTATCTGAAGTCCCCGACGACTGGCTCGTTTGCGAACAACCCTAAAATGGACTAGCATACACTTTGTGTGTGCCTCAGGCCCCAACTTCCGCCAAGCCCGACATCAAAAGTTCGATCGGCCGGAAACTGAGCATTTCGCATACGGAGCAGCTCAACCTTCTAATTTAGCATAATTCAAAATGATTGTTCGACAATTATGCATGCGGCAGAGTATGTGTCCAATTGATAATTCTTTGATAGAACATCATTTGGAATCTGTTGCTAATCAGTCTTCTGCAGGCCGCCAATTTGCTCTCAACCGACAGACTCGCATCTTGAGCCGATTCTCCTCGACAGGAACTCCTGTCGAAACCGCAGAAGAAACCCCCGCAAAAGAAGTAACGCAGCAGCCGGCTTCATCTGCCAGCACCGTGAATGAGTCAGGATCAGTAGTATTGTCAGCCAAGGAGGCGTGGCACAAGCGCGAAGTGCAAAGTGAGCGAGAACGAACAACCTTCCTCCATCTCCTGCTGGAGTTCTGACTTTGTACCCTTGCAGGACATAAATTTCACGCCCTCGGTAGTGATGTAGCAGTCGCGTACCAACCAGAAGATCTGATCCGAAATCCCCCTCGACCCTCCGATATCACCCTCGAATTGCTCCTCGCATCTCAAACACACCTCGGCCATTCTACTTCTCGCTGGAACCCGCAGAACTCGCGCTATATCTTTGGTATTCGAGAAGGTGTTCATATTATTTCGCTCGATATAACTGCAGCGCACTTGCGGCGTGCAGCCAAGGTTGTGGAAGAGGTTGCTGCCCGAGGTGGATTGATTCTTTTCGTCGGCACACGAAAGGGCCAGAAACGGGCAGTTGTCCGGGCTGCGGAGCTGGCCAAAGGCTACCACATTTTTGAGCGTTGGATTCCTGGCAGCTTGACCAACGGACAACAGATCTTGGGCCATTGCGATACTAAGGTGGTAAATGCGTTTGACGAAGAATTGCCGGAATTCAAGGATCTTCGGACGGATCAGCCGGCCATCAAGCCGGACCTTGTGGTGTGCTTCAATCCTGTTGAGAATGTTGTTTTGCTGCACGAGTGCGGCTTGAACAATGTTCCAACCATCGGCATCATTGATACGGATGCCGACCCAACTCAAGTGACTTACCCCATTCCTGCGAATGACGACAGTTTGCGTTCCGTGGCTGTCATTGCTGGTGTTCTGGGAAGGGCCGGAGAGGCAGGCCAAAAACGGAGACTGGAGGAGGCGAAGAAGGGCAAGATCACACACAGACTCCCTACACTGAAGGAGCTCGGCATCAAGCTTTCAGAGAATGTGACTGAGACCGCCGAAAACAAGCAATGATGTATGTTGACTCCTAGTGAGGTTTTGTTATTTCATACCCAAAGTTCAGCATTTCGATCGACTGAGGGATTGTACTGTATAGAGCTATGTAAAGCTTTCTCGCTTCCTGGTGCGATCATCTGTATTAACAGCTTCAATTCAAGTCAACTTTCTGGAGATCTTCCTTTATAGCGTCTCAAGAAAGCGGCCATATTAATACGGATCCATATCTTCTTCGGTATCCAGTTCAGCCGGGTGTTCAACCGCGAAATTTTGAAGCAATATCTTCAAGAAGGTCGATCTTAATTCTCTTAAAACTATTCTATCTTTCTATTCTGCAACGCCAAGCCCTCTCTTTCTTTCCTTTCATTTGTGCATAGCCTTATTACCAACTACAGGGTATCGGCTATTTAAATACAGTGTGACTCATCACGCTGTAGCATCTAATTCTTCAAAGTATATACAACGCGGCCTCGAGAGTCTTTACCCTTGTATTCAACGGGCCTGCCATCATCAGACACAACGCGTCTCTCATCGCCGTTGTGCAAGATGATATCCAGATCCTTCCAAGCGGGATCAAAGCCGCTCTCTTCGTCGCGTTTGAATCCAACGGTCACCTTCTCCTCCGTCGAGCTGTAGCTGATGGTGTACGTTGACGTCTTAGGCTGCAGGGAAATTCCGTCATCCTCAAACCAGCTAGAGGAGAAGACGCGACCATGAGAGCTGCCCTTGGGAGGGAATATCTCAACGCCTCTGTAGTCGTCGAGTTCCTCTACCGCCAATGAAGCCTCGGTCTCATCCCCAGGCACTCTGGTTTGAACGGGCTTTCCAACAGGAATGGCACCACCGATGCGCGCGACAAGCGGGATGCTTTCTCTCCATTGCGAGGGGATCTCGACCCACTGGCCGGAGGCGTAATAGGTGTAGGGCGAGTTCATGTTGACATACCCAAAGTCGAACTCATCGTTCGCCTTACGGGGAAGGTACATCTTCGCGACGGTTACACCGGGCTCGTACACGCCTCCGACGAGAATCGTGTCACCGAACCAGAACTGTTCTTCTCCGGACTTGAGGGCCTTGGTCCAGACCTCGGGATCGGACTCGTATCCCCATCCAATCCAGCGCTGAGGCGGAGAAGCGGTCAGATGGCTCTCCAGACCAAGGGAGTATATGTAGGGGAGGATCTCATAACGGCGCTTGATGGTATCGCGGACCAGCGGAGTGATCTCAGGGTACATCCAGGGCTCAATGACATCTCCGACGGAGGTGTTTCCGGGCGACGTTTTGAAGCAGTTGATGGCGAATCGAGGAGAATGGATACCTAGTTGGACCCATCGGAGGAGGAGTTCGGGCGAGGGTTGAGGGCCTGATCGAGGAAAACAGTCAGATTGCTCGTCTTTCATCAGTACTTTCAAGGGAGGAGGCATACCTTCGAAGCCACCAATATCATGGCCGCAGCACTATCAGAAGTCAGCATGAAGTGTTCCGCCGGCTCAGTCTGCTATGGTGGAGTCTTACCTGCAACAGTGAAATGCCGGCGTTTAATGATAAGGCGTTTGCGCCTTTCATGCTCTCCCAACTGGTCACATTGTCTCCACTCCAAGAGCTTGCTGCATACCGAAGAGTGCCAGCAGTGGCGCTTCTTGTGAGAACGAATGGTCTGTATTTAGGCTCCATGTCGACCAAAGCATCGTGAGAGGCTTTGCCCATGAGCTCAGTATGCATTGCGCGACCCCAGAGCCCGACGGATTTGTCGCTCTGTGTCTTCGCCTGTTCAGCGACTACTGATCCATCCAGAGCCAGTTGCCATTCATCATCGGGAAGCGTATATTCGTTGTTGTCGTTCCACATGCCATCGATTCCGGCTCGCTTCAGGCTCTGGACACCTTCATACCACCATCGGAAAGCGAAGGAGGAGGTAAAATCAATGTGGCATCCATCACCACCGGTTGCGCCTCCTGCGCTCCATAGTCTCATTGTGCCCGGTTCCTGAGTATCAGGCTTCTTGAACAGTGCTCCGGCACTAACAAGCTTCTGGTAATCTGGATGCGACGCAAGCACAAAGGGCTTGATGTTGGTAAGGAGTCTGATTCCTCGAGCATGGTACTTCTTAATCCACTCTTCGGGGTTGGGGAACCGATACTTGTTCCAGGTGAAGACATTGCGGACCTTGGGTTCTGTCTCCGCAATTGAGTAGCCGGAGCTCATCTGGTGGGCAGAGCATGGAATTCCGTGCTCCTTGAGCTTGTCTGCGAACTCCATGAGTCCTTGGTGCGCAGGTGGGTCATCAAGCATGGTGTACTTGTAACCTCCAGAGATGTACCCATAAGCCCAGCGAGGTACAAGGAGCGGGAAGCCAAGAAGCTCTGCATATTGCCTCACGGTATCCTTGAGTGTTTTCCCTACGATCAGATACTGCTCGAGGCCTCCATAGTCTTGACGGTACACCTTGAAGTGACCCCAGAGTCCATCGATTTCGGAACCGACTGACCACGTCCCTCTGGCGTGTGTTGTTGAGAAGATGGCCACGCAACCAGCGGGAGTCACTTTGATCAGCAATGGGATGTGCTTATACAACGGATCTGTGTTGTAAACATCATACCCGAAGCTGTCTGTCGCCGAAAGCTGGAAGTGACGCCCGGTGAGATCCATGGGCGCCCTCTTCTCTCCCAGCCCAACATGAAGGGCATTTCGGTCGTGCTCAGAATAGTGCGCGATGCCGGTTGCATCGGCCACGTACGAGCGCAATGGCAGATCTCGGTGAAGGGGCATCTCTTCACCGGTCCACGACAACGAGACTACTGGAGTATTGCTCCATTCCACAGTGGCCGTCACGCCGCCGACCTCAATTGTCTTGGATGAACCGCCACCGGTGGCAGATACCTTAATGCCATCGAGGTCTGTCTTTGGCTTCGAAATGCTCGGGTAGGGAGGAAGAGGATGGTCTCGTGAGGAAAATGTCACACGGAAAAGGTTTTGACGGATTGGTTCGAATGAGAAATCAAAGGAACGATCTTTCGAGTTTCCTGAGCGCAGATGTACTGAGGGGACCGCCGCGGTATTTCCTGAAGGCTGTTCTTGGTAGCCTTTGGGGCAGAATTCTTTTTGAGGCATGATTGCTTATAGTTCGTCCGGTACGCCGGGAGGTCAATTGATTCGAAAGAAGCAAGCCAGGAAACTCTCGCGGAGAATCTACAGCAGAAAAGTCTACAGTACGACGACATCATATCTATTTCAATGCTTCCCCTCATTATCCCCTCATTCGAAAAAGGGTAAGGTGGAGAAGCCTATGAGTGGTGTCACTGAGGAGTATATGATCGGACTTCGGCCTCCATCTCCGTTGACGTTCTTCATCCCCGCAGAATTTCATCGGCCCATCGCCGTCTTCTCCGCGATATGTCTCACATGGTGACTCTTCAAGTTGATCTGGCCATCGGGGTTTCCTGCCGAAATGCGACACTAAAGTATCCCCAGACTAACACGAACCTTCGCCCCGCTTTGAAGTCTTCCGGTCCCGTTTGATTGATTGGACGAGACATCGGAGGCTGCCCGTCGCTAAGAGTCATGCCATGCAATCCTGCGGTTTTAGCTTCATATTCCCATGTGCGACCAAGGCTAGATGGCGTTGGTCTCGCAATTGACTTTTGCAGATCCAGCTAATTATGTTTTCCCGCTGCCAGTTGCCATCGGGTTTTGGGTCGCGTCGTCCGGGGTTGTGCTCCCCCACGGGGTTCCCCATACCTCACCCTCTAACACACAGGTCCTGGGTGGATAAAAAGGTCTCCTTGATCAACATGACAGGTCGTCAAGGAATCGAGTTTGTATGCTCGCAGATCCCACAGTGACCTCGGCGACGCATACTAACAAAGTCACGCCCTCTCCTTTCTCCTTCTCAGCTTGTCTTTTGGCGCTTTAGGCACCTGAAGAATACTTCGCCCATCTGGAACTTCAATCAAGGCCAGAGAAGCACAAGGGAACCATGTCCCTAGGAGCAGAGCCGGCACACGGTAAGGGCAGAGATGAGGAACTGATTGAGACAGTTCATCCTGCCCCTTATCAAGGTCATACGCAACATAGCGAGACAAAGAAAGATGACGCCCTTCAGCTCATTGAGCAAGTGGGCCACTCGACAGTCCTCACCGCAGAGAATAACGCACGGGTTCTGCGACAGATCGACTTGAGGCTGTTGCCTATCCTCTTGGGCATCTATTTCCTGCAACAGCTCGACAAGTCGACCCTCTCGTATGCCTCAGTTTTCGGTTTGATCGAGAAAGCCCATCTCCATGGCAAACAATACTCTTGGTTAGGCTCGGTGGTCTATGTCGCGCAGCTCGTTGCTCAGCCCCTTATCGCCTACATCTTGGTGAAGGTCCCCCTGGGGAAATTCTTAGCCGCCACCACTCTTTTGTGGGGTGTCTCGTTGACATGCATGACGGCGGCGAACACCTTCCCAGGCCTGCTGGTCTGTCGGATGTTCCTTGGTCTGTTTGAGGCCGGAGTTGGTGAGTCTTTAAATATTATTGTCAGCATCTATCCTTGATTACTGACTGTGAGAGCGAAGCTCCCGCTTTCATCGCCGTTACGCAGATGTGGTATCGTCGGCTCGAGCAGCCTGTTCGACTGGGCTCATGGTACGCCATGAATGGTGTGGTGTTTATGGTAAGTTTAGCATCTGGAAACGTTCAAGCTTTCTTTAGAGGTGTGTTAACAAAAATCTTACCAAATAGTTTGGTAGTCTTATAACTTGGGGCCTTGGACATATCGCGTCGTCGGTCTTCGAACCCTACCAGGTCAGTGATACTGCATCTGTTCAACGTTCACGAACGTATGACTGACTATCAAAATAGATTATCTTCCTCTTTTTCGGTCTCATTACCGTCGTGTTCTCCGTGGTAGTTCTGTAAGTAGATGCTGATCAACCATCCCTAATGCTGGAAGCTGCTAATGCGGATTGTCCAGGCTTTATATGCCAGACTCGCCCATTCGTGCTAAATTTCTTAACGAGGAAGACAAACTGATCGCTATTGAAAGGTATTCTACCAGAAGATTTCGGCGCAAGCATTATGGCACATTGGTCCTAACGATGATTTAGACTTCGCATGAACCAGCAAGGAATCGAGACTCACCACTGGAACTGGGACCATGTGAAAGAGACCTGCTTGGATCTGAAGTCATGGGTTTGGTTTGCTCTGATGTTTTCCATCTCGTAAGAGGACCAGGAACTCATTATACCGAGAGTGTGGCTCACACGAAGCAGGATCCCTAGCGGCGGCATATCCACCTTCGGCCCTCTTATTATCAAGGCCTTTGGATTTGATCAGTTCAAGACCATTCTTTTCAACATTCCGTTCGGTGCAGTACAGCTTGTGGCCACTATGGGTGGAGCGTGGCTGGCAACCTTCATCAAAATGAAGGGGCCTATAGTCATTCTCTTGTGTCTACCGCCAATTGCTGGCTGCGTAATGCTACTGCAAATTGCGCACGATGCGGAACATCGGGGCGCTCTGCTTGCTGGATATTACATTGTAAGTCATGAAGACCCTTCTTGAGGAGTGTCGCTAACAACAGCCAGCTTTCCGTCTACCCTGGCATCAGTATGTTTCCTACGAGGTATGCTTTTTACTGTAGCTGACCGATCATTAGCACCTATGGTCTACTCCTGGTCTGCTGCGAACACTGCCGGTGAAACGAAGAAAAAAGTGACGACTGGCCTGTTGATTGTCGGACAATGCGTCGGCAACGTACGTGTGACTACAGCAGAATGACAACAGAGAGTCTCATGCTAATGTTTCCCAGATCATTGGTCCCACTCTCTACACAACCGCTGAAGCGCCGCTTTACAGACGTGGTCTGCTCTCCAAGTAAGCAATGAGACTCACACCGACCTGTTCCAGCACACTAACGAAAAACAGCCTCGCCATGTTCTGCGTACTGGTTCTTCTCTGCATGTAAGTTATCTTCTTCTCCTTTGCGGCACTCAAGCTCTAACCCTCACGTTTAGTATCAACCTGGTGTACCTCTGGTTTCTCAACAAGAAGCACTCCCAGAAGCGAGTTTCAATGGGCAAGAATGCGACAATCATTGATCACTCGATGTACGCTGTTGGTGATGGTCCAGTAGACAAGGAGGGTGTGCCTATCCAGCAGGCTGCCACGGAAGACAATGCGTTCAAGGACCTTACGGATTGGCAAAACGAGGACTTTGTCTATGTATTCTGATTTATATACATGTCTTTGTTGTTGTTGTTGTTGGTATCTGCTACTTGTATTATTGATTTAGTTGGATGGATATGATAACTCGCTCGGCTTATGATAAGTGCCTAATTTGATCATGAAGGAGTTCATTCAGACTCAAATTCGTCTTATATTTCTTAAACCCGAAGCATATGCCGACTAGATCCTTCCCAGCGCGTATAAAGACAACCAGTGGCACTGTTCCATTTAAGCATATACCTAAGAATGCTGCACACTGCCGAGCCGGCTTAATCCCGATGAGGGTGTCACCCCGCTGAGTCTATTTTCTCGACACTGTTCCCCTGAAATCTTGATTTCCCCAGATTCTCCCGCATTTAACGAGTAGCTGCCAGTATTTTACTGAACATGTGATATGTATTCACCCTGCGATGGATTCAGATGCATCATCCCGTGTCGTATCGGCTCCACCGGGTAAGAAGCGAATTCCGGTATGTCCCCCTCTCCCTATCCGTTGCGAGCACATGCGACAGTATTGCTGAGAAGTGGATTTAGAGAGCCTGTAGCGCTTGTCGAACATCAAAGGTATGTTGTATTTGTCTATGGTATTCTGTAAGTCGTCGCTAACATACCCAGGTCAAATGTGATGGGAAGAGGCCTTGCACCAGGTACCCTTCGCCACCACTGATACTCATTGCTAGGAGAGCGATGGTGCTGATTGTATTTCAGGTGCAACAAGCTAAAAAAGCGATGTGTCTTTTTCCACATCCCAAAGGACCCTGCTACAGAGTACGTTCTCGCACCTGCTTCCCGCCTACTCCCTGTGTAACTGACGCCTACGCAGGAGACTCGAAAATGTCGAAGCTGAAGTTCGTCATCTCAGAGAGCAAGTGGATGCTCTACGTGATCTCCTGCAGACATGTTCGAATTCAGACCCCCGAGGTCTCGTCAGTGAGAGACAGGCGCCTCATAGAGAGCATCTGCCTCCTAATGGACAAGGCCCAGACTGCCACATATCCCCTGCTTCTCAAATGATACTTAGGTCAACCATTGTGCCTCAACTTCCTGAGGCCAATTATGTAGAGGCCCGGCTGGCGACCAGCCAGGGGTACATGGCCTGGCCGCCAGCCCTGGAGAAGTTTCTACCCATTCTCGCATGCAAACCATCATCACAGAAGCAGGCAGTGTGACAAAGAGGAAACGGTCTGGCTTCGAGATACGCGATGAGCCAGTTGCAGATTTTATCTCGAAGGGCTTGATGACGCCAGACCATGCTATTTCTTGTTTTAACACGTGAGATCCCTTGCCAAAATTTGTGCTTTGTCCCGTCATTTGCTAACCAACGATGATACAGATTCTTCCAAGGTTGCGTATGTGTTGCGGTAGATCTGTATTTTCACCCGACATGCTAATACGTACATTGCCATAACCAGGACAGGTATATCCCGGTATTCGACCCCGAGTACGACACCTTCGATTCGGTGCGCTCGCGAAGCAGCATCCTACTCAACGCTATCTGCACGATAGGAAGCCGCATCGAACCCAGTAACTACAGATCTTGCTCTATGCCTCGTGAAGACGTTTTGCTAACGTATGTTAGGGTTCAGTCCTCAGATATCCGACATACTGCACGCAGAGCTCAAGAAATGGATCAATGTCATCATCCAAAACAAGAGGTTGAATTGCTTGGAGTCTGTTCAAGCATTGCTTGTTGTTGCCTGCTATTCTACGGAGCGCTCGTTGATATTATCCTTCGCGACTCGAATGGCCTTAGATCTGGACCTGGACGAAGCGTTTGAGGAGCTGACCCAGCGTATGTCGATGAAAGAAGTCGAGGACTTACATGGAACTTCTGGATCTACAGAGGAAGAGCGCAGTTTGATGCGAAAGTCCAGAACTTGGTTCGGGCTGCTGGTGTTGGAGCATATGTAAGCTGCTCTTGATCGATATTGGACGGATGGATTTGACAATCATCGTCTAGTTTTCGTGTCGATGGCGGCAAGCCACCGGGCATCCGACTGCTTGGGAACTCACGTCGGTGTCGAACCTTGCTCAAACATCCTTCATCGACTGTTCTGGATTTGCGTCTGTTCTCTCAAGTTGAGGTAGGTCGACGGAAAGACTCTTTGCTGTGAATAAGCTGACCATCGTTACAGCTAAACGCCATCAGAGGTAATTTAACTGATTTGACCTCTGAACGATTCACTGATCCTCAGCAGCTAGTATCAACGATACCTTGAGCGGCAAAGAGACTCTTATTCGCTCAGACATTGCTGGGTTCGTGCAAGAGGTCAAGGTTGAACTTGATATCTGGTTCGAGTTCGTATCCCTCCTTTCAACTCTATGGAGAGATATACTGACTGGTCTCAGTGATTGGTTACGCATCATCGGTAAGCTCATTGAAGGTTGACCAAGCTACCTAGAATGTTAAATGACTCACCCTCTACAGAAGACTCGATCCCCGCCGAAGCGGAAAAGCCGTTCCTCCTACTCGCACTGCGCGTGCAGAAATGCTGGGCCGAGATGATGCTCTACTGCAAGGCGCTGCGATCAATGGGCGTAGAGAACGTTGCGTGCGTTTTTCCGAACTAGATTTCCCCCCCGCCCCCCGGCTCGTCAGCTAACCTCCACCAGGGCAATGTCTCCCTCGGAGCGAAATATCCTCGTCATGGCCAAGGCAAGCGCCCGCAAACACCTGCGCCTGATCAGCGGCGAGCCGGACTTCTACCTCGCGAAACTCAAGTACGCCATGGACTTTGTCTGGGCTAAATGCGCCTTCTGCTTCCTTCTCCTCCTCAAGCTCTCCCGCCTCCTGCCGGAACGAAAAGAAGAACACCAGGAGCTCCTCGAGCACGGGAACCGACTGCTCAGCGAACTGACCAAGAGCGCGGACTCCCACGGCAACACTAATGGCAGTAGTAGGATCTACCTGCAGATTCTCAAGCTCAGCGTCGAGAAATACGGGAGGGCCGTGCAGGAGAGCGGGATGGACGTCGACCAGGCGGCCATGGTTCCCTTCTGGGAGCTGTTCGATGCGCAGGCGGATTTGCAGTCGTTTGTGCCTGAGCAGTTTGTGACCGAGTGGGATTTTCCAGGCCTGAATCTGTTCTATTTCCCTACCGCGTGGCAGGATTTCTTTGGGGATTTTTCATTGGCGATCTAGTTGATACCACTAGAGGATCAGCAAGTGTGAGGAATCGTTCCGAGTCTCATTATGATACGACCATGTACATATAAACAAATGCTCAGATATGCATAAGTATGAACATCCTTTCTATCTGCCTCATGAAACTTTCCCTTCAATCTCATGTTGAAATGGAACGAGATCTGGATATCTAATTGAAAGAAGCAATGCAAGAACACGACTGAATCGGCATATCTAGCCCAACGCTCTCATGGTGAGCTCGACACTGTAGCAAGTCAGCACGGAAATCATATCGACGATGCAAGAGGAACGTACACAGCAAAGGTACCCGCAGACACGGGCATAGCTCTCAGCAGAGTCGGCCCCAGGCCCTTCCAGAAGCCGCCAAAGCCCTCCGCGGCAAAAGTCTTCTTGAAACAGTCGGTCATGCTCTTGTATTGCTGCTGCGCACCGAATCCGTCGCACTGCATCTTACTCTTGACCACGTCGAAGGGGTAGCTGCTCAGCCACAGGACCTCACCGGCAAGACCACCGTAGGTCGCGACCTTGATGCTGGAGATCTCCTCACGCTTGATGTTGTTGCGCTTAGCGTCCTGGTTCATCAGGTACTCGAAGGTCAGAAACCAGGTACCGTAGGCCTGGGCTTCTCTGAAATATGTGACGTTCTGGCCCCTGTAGAGACCGCGCAACACGCCTCCCTGAGCAACGAGTTTCCGGATGCAGTCGAGCGGACCGCTGTATAAGCGGCCCTCGCCGTGAGGCTGCGTCTGCAGGCGGATACGGACGTGCTCAATGGGTCCCGAGAGGGCGGAGTTGGTGAGACCCGCGAAACTTCCGGCCAGATAGTACTGGCCGTAGGAGAGGGTCGGATCGGCATACTTCTTCTTGTTGAGCTCCTCCAGCCGTCTTCTGGCTTCATGGAACGCGCCGAATTGTACGCTAACCTGCAGGATATGAGTTCTTCTTGCCAGCAAATGTCAAGGAGTTGAATTTTAAGTCTTACACAGGCACCGATACCAACAAGTGGGGTCAAAGTTCCCTTGTAGAAAGCCAAGGGACCCTCATTCTTGAAGATTCTCGTGGCACAGTCAAGAGCGCTTTTGTACTCTGACGTTGTCTGTAACCGCACCTTGACAATATCTGACAAGTGTTAACCCAAGGTTTGGCTCTATCTGTGAGTCTCTGGTTCACCCACCAAAAGGTTGTCCTAGAAGCCGTTAGTATCGCAAGCGCGTACAATTGATTAGAAGTGATATCTACATACCAAGAAGCACCTGAGCAATGCCGCCCGCAGCACCAGCAGCCAGATCCTTGAGGGTGCGCAGAGCTCCTCCGCCCTTTTGCATGTCCTCAAAAGCCTCCGACTCCATCTTGGCGTGACAATTGACTGAGTTTCTCTGCGATAAGACTCAGCGGCAATTGGCGCGGGTTATCTGCCACAAGATGATTCGGCGCGAGAATAGAGGATTTGTCTCACTTCCTCGGAGGACCAGAGGAAACTCCCAAGGGATATGAAAGATCCTAGCACCTCTTATCGGGGCGGAATGGTGGAATCTCTCCACTGCAGCCATCCACATCTTCGTCTCCGATTCGGCAGATACGCCGATGCACGTGACCTCGGACGCGGGAAACAAAAGTCTGGAAACGCGTATTTCATTTACCGGGTACGTAACCGTGTATCGTCTGGAAATTTGACCCCCGAGGGAAACGCTCCGACTATCATAGCAGCGCTGGAGAGAGAGAGAGAGAGGGTATGATCTCTTCCATCGAATTATGCATAGGAGGTTAGTGGTAGAGGTAAGTGATCTCGACTGCAATCGTCGATTATGATTCTGATCCAGAAACATCACAGCTCTCTCGCCGTCACGGGCCCGAATGGTCTTGCCCAGCCAGGTCCAGGAAATCTGCTTCTGCTCCGATACCAGCCTATGTTCCCCGACGGAGCTTTCGTTCATCCCTCGCGGTCCTTGAATCGTCGTCCGAGTCAGCAAATCCCAGCGAAGATGGGTCGATATCCCGTCCAACATGGGGAGGATCGAAAATTGGTGGTCGCTGGGGAGCTAAGCAGGCGCTTAAACCGGCCACATTGAGTCCGGCAGAACAAGCGCTTCGCGATTCGTTGATAGCAAGGAAGGAAGTCGCCGCGAAGGAGAAAGAGGCGGAGAAACAGCGGCGGCAGGGGCTTGCGCTACATGAAAAGACGGACGATTCGTTACGAGTGCTCGATGTTTCTGGAACGAGGCAAAACTCCGCTTCGTTACGGGAGCGCCAGCCAGAGAAGAATGTCGATGTAGCTTTTTCGAGCAGACCAGCGAAAAAACTTCGAGGGAAGGATTGGGAATGCCCACGATGCCAGTACGATTGTTTCGGGAGAAACAACACCTGCCCACGCTGTAATACCCCAAAGCCGAAATTGGACGCGCCAGCCCCGGGGTCGCCTCGTCAGATCAAACAAGAGCAGAACGCCTTAAAGATTCGGAGGCTCGGCCAGTCGTTGCAGTCGGAATATGTACGCTCGGAACGCCGTCTCGGGGAATTGATCCCAAAGGCCGGAGGTTTGAGAAACACCACGCCTGATAACTATCTTGTGGAGACAGGACGCAAGACCGAATCTCCACCTGCATCAACAGAATCAGAGAAGCAGTCAATGGCAGAACAGCGACTGTCGAACGCTAGGGATAAGGTTACAGAAAGCCGCGGTGCCGACCGCCAAGCTTCTGGAGCAGGGCGCAAATCATCCAAACCGGAGGCAGACCCATGGACATGGGACCAGTCAGCTCTGGAGAAACTCCAACAGACATACGAGGCAGAAGCTCAGAGTGGGCAAAAGCCCAAGCGGTGGGAAGGTCGCAAGGAGCGAGGGGATGGTATTGAGGACGAAGAATTTGACCCAGAAGACGACCGCCGCCGTCGCCGCCAGGAACGTAAGCGCCAGAAGAAAGAGAAGGCCCGGCAGAAGGAGCTCGAGGCGGCGGCTCCCAGCCCTCTCTACCTTCCGGAATTCATCAGCGTCAGCAACCTCGCTGATGTCATTGGTGTGCGGCCGGCACAATTCGTTCGGAGGATGGAGGAAATGGGATTTGAAGATGTCTCGTACAGCCATATTCTTGATGCTGAAACAGCAGGCTTGATCGCGAGCGAGTACAACTTCGAACCTATCTTCGAGACCGATGATCAGGACCTGGTTGCTGCTCCCGAGCCAGAAGACAAGTCCGCATTGCCGCCTAGGCCACCGGTAGTGACGATTATGGGTCACGTCGATCACGGCAAAACCACCATTTTGGACTGGCTCCGAAAGTCATCTGTGGCCGCATCGGAGCACGGGGGTATCACACAGCACATTGGTGCATTCTCCGTAGCTATGCCTTCGGGCAAGACTATCACCTTCTTGGACACTCCTGGCCACGCAGCCTTCTTGGATATGCGTCGTCGCGGTGCGAATGTAACTGACATTGTTGTGCTGGTGGTTGCTGCGGATGATAGTGTCAAACCACAGACTATTGAGGCCATCAAGCACGCCACCCAATCCAATGTTCCCATCATTGTCGCTATCAGCAAAATCGACAAAGAAGGTATCAACCCAGAAAAGGTCAAGCAGGACCTATCCGTACATGGTGTCCACGTGGAAGACTACGGGGGCGATGTCCAAGCTATCGGGGTCAGCGGGAAAACCGGCCAGGGCATGTTGGAACTCGAGGAGGCTATTGTCACCCTCTCGGAAGTTCTTGACTATCGAGCCGACAAAGCTGGTGCGGTGGAAGGATGGGTGATTGAAGCTACAACGAAGAGCTATGGACGTGTTGCGACGGCTCTCATCAGACGTGGTACCCTGCGACCGGGAGATATCATCGTTGCTGGTACAACGTGGGCTCGTGTTCGCACGCTTCGCAATGAAGCCGGTGTCGCCGTTTCCGAAGCTACTCCCGGCATGCCGGTGGAAATTGATGGTTGGAGAGAGCAGCCCACCGCCGGTACCGAGATTCTTCAGGCGGAGGACGAGCAGCATGCCAAGGACGTCGTGGAGTACCGCCAGGAGAAGTCGGAGACTCAGAGACTGAGTGAGGACACATCGGCCATCAACGAAGCACGCCGAGAACAGCAAGAAAAGCGACGGCAAGAGGAGAACGAAGGAGCGGAAGCTCTTGCTGACCAGGATGCATCCGGACCCAAACCGGTGCATTTCATCATTAAGGCCGATGTTGGCGGTTCCGCCGAGGCGGTGCTCAATTCAGTGACGGCCATTGGCAACAACGAGGTCTACGCCAATGTGCTTCGCTCTGAGGTCGGGCCCATCAGTGAGTTCGACATTGAGCATGCGGCCACAGCAAGCGGCAACATCATCTCTTTCAATATGCCGATCGACCCTGCCATGTCCCGGATGGCAGAACTGCGGGGGGTCAGAATCATGAATCACAACATCATCTACAAGCTCATGGACGAAGTCAAGGCGGCGCTCAGTGAGCATCTGGCGCCATCGGTCACACAGCGTGTTACGGGTGAAGCAGAGGTCGGTCAGATCTTCGAGATCACTCTCAAGGGAAGAGAGAAGGTTGCTATTGCGGGGTGCAAAGTCCGTAATGGTGTGATCCACCGGGCGAGGAAGGTTCGAGTGTTGAGAGGACAGGACACGATCTATGATGGTATGTTTATTCTTTTTTGGGGACCTGCCGGTTGAAGGCGTGGATGACTGACTGAAAGTATAGGCACGATTGCGTCACTGAAGAACGTCAAGAAGGACGTGACCGAATCGCGCAAAGACACGGAGTGTGGTATCGGCTTCGAAGGCTGGACCGACTTTGCTGTGGGTGATCACATCCAGTGCTACGAAGAGATCTACGAGAAGAGATACCTCTAAGCTTTTCTCGATCTCAGTCACTGAGACGACCTGCTCTTCTGTAACCTCGTCTGGCAGATTACTGTATTCTTACCTGGTTGAATGCCTTCTCTTCTCTTGTGCAGATTGACACGATAGATATACACAGGTTTGGGAAAAGTCGCATATACCTGGAGATTTGCGTCTCATGTACAATAGGATATCATTATCTACATAGACTTTTCAAGACAAGACTACGTCGCTAAATCTAATCTCAAGGAAGAATTGCATGGTCCCAAACTCTAGGTAGTAGCTTTCACCTCGCCTTCCACCTCACCCTTCCCACCCACTTCGCCCAATCCTGCACGTCCTCCCTCTCCATTATCCTCTCGACGGTATAGTACTCCCTCGCCAGCTCCTCGTTACTCGCCATCCGATGCACGAAAGTATGACACGCCCGACACAGCCACGCCACACTATTCAGCATCCACTCCTCATGCCACCCCTTCTTGAGCACCTTTGCATGCACCCCGCGCGGAATCAGATGGTGATACGAGAGGGGGATCCAGTCGCGCTCGCAGATCTCGCAGGCGTCGGTGCGCGTCGTCGCCCATACCGGCGGCGCGGCGGTCACGCTTGCCACGTACTCGCTCAGCACTGGCGAAAAGAAGTCCGGGACGTCGGAGGGATCGGGGACGAGGCCGTAGACGGAGAGGGAGTCGCAGACGGCGACGGGGACGGTGGCTGTTATAGACTCGAGGAGGGGGCGGGGAGCGGGGAGGGGCGTATTTGTCTGCGAGGACGGGGTCGTGCTGGATGGATGAGTAGGAGAGAGTCTGAAGGTCTGGTGGTAGTGCGGGGAAGGTTTCTGATGCGAGGAACTGTAGCAGTAGCTTTTGGTTCAGTATACCTCTACACCCTCGGGGACTCTGTAAGGCGGGGTTCGTACATCGATGAACTCGGCCAACTCTTCTGGATTCACGCGAGATGGTAGAGGTAAGGGACCCGTATCCGTGGTATCGGTGCCAGCTCCATCAGTAGCGAGTTTCCTGGTGCCACGTTTGGATTTCTGTGCTTTTCGCTTTACTACCCGGTTCGGTCTGCCATTATCGTATCTTTGTACGATTGCGCTGGAGAGACATTCCCGAAAGACCTCGTAATTGCTCCCCTCGCTGGTTCCACGCGAGGCCATCGAGCCGTATAGACTGATGCTGACTCTGCTGGCGTAGATGTCGTAGTCTGGCAATGCGCGATGCTTGTCCGGGTTTGGAGGTGGAAACACGAACCATCGCCGCCAGCCTTTTCGAGAACCGTCATCATCGCTGGTGTTGTTGCCTACGATGGCTGGGGCGATTAAGGTGCATCTCTGCTACTGACCTTTGCCAACCAGTCGACTGTATACTGTGAACTGACTTATTTGATCTCTGGAACAATAAATGTCAAGTACAGAAATTGTGGTAGCTCTTGGATATCTATGGCACCGTCGTCTCCCCCGACACTATCGGCAAGGGACTGGGGCTAATAGCTATTTCGACGAAACCATGGCACACAGAATTGCGAAAACCTGGAGAGCAATTCAATTGAATATACCGAGACTGACTGAGCAGCATGCGTAACCTCTCTCAAATTTAGCCGATATTTACATTGAGCTACACATTGTCCCTGCCTGACCACGAGTGCATATCCTACGTGAAAGTGACAAGGAACGCCCGTTGGCAATCGCTTGCAGAAACAGATGCATTATGGCAGTACCGATCTCACAACTTGATGAATGCTCACGACAACATGGTCACCTTTCCGGATGTGAACGAAGCGTTCCGAGAAATGGCAGCGGTCCCGAATATGAAGATGGTCGTCCGGCACCCATTCAAATATTTCCAACGCGATTCTGCGCTCAAAGGGTCTTGTAATCCACGCAGGAAGCATCCAGGATATTATCTCTATCGATGATATTGGGCAATTCAAGCCCTCCTCAACGGCGGTCTACCATAATGCATCGAAGACGTATATTTGGTCAACGGAAATGCTTTCGATGTCACAGGAGCCCTGAGCGTAGGCATGAACGCCGTCTATGTAGCCCGGGAAAACTGTGGCTCGAGAGACAGCAGTGCTGGAATTACAGCCAACGGGCGTAGTGGACGACCTTGGTCAGGTCGCAGACTTGTCAGCACCCATTATAAGACCTATAGCGGGATAGCATAGGTCTGCTCTACTTATGCAGCAATGTGCAGGTGAATTGTCCTTTGGTCCATTTCGTACGACTCCAGAGGCCAGTCCAGCAATACAGAAAAGTGATGTGCGCTGTCAATATTTCCAAACGCTCCACAAGAGGAAGAAGGATTTGGGGTAAGTCAGCGATCGTTCATCTGACCTCCTATTTCCCCTCCAGGATCCATTGAGAAATATGGATATCAGAGTGAATAAGGAGGAGTGATCAGTTTGATATGAAAGAGAAAAGAAGAAAAAGGATTGAGTCGCGGGAAGAAATTTCTGGTTTTATAGCGTTGATACTACTGCTTATCGATAAGGAACGGCTGTCTTGGCATGTTTGAACGTGGCCGCCTGCAGAGTGTCACATCACTCTTTCAACTATGAACACAACCAGATTGACTACTAGGGTGTCGCTGTAGCTTTGCCTTGGCTAGGACTAGAATGGACAGGCCCGGAATGAACAGGCTGTGGGATCCCAGCAAAGCTGCTTGGTTATATCCTTTGCGTGTATGTTTATCCTACTAATCTTGTTGCCTGTATAGTCACTGACCGCTTCATGAACGTCACGTAGGGGATTTACTACTTTGCGTCGCATCGATTTCTTTGGCCGCTGTTTCGGGCGCGCTTGATATCTATCGTCCTGCTTTCTACATTTATCCTCGTCATCCTCTTTCTTTTCACATATCTGCCACAAGTTGCCTTTCTCGCCATCTTCCAAGGCGCCGGTGCTTGGGTCAATGGCGCATTTCTCGTTCTTGGAGAAGGAGCGGCCATCGTAGCGCTACTGTTTGAGGCATTTTTTGTCGACGAGACCTTGGTGGACATCTTTGATGCTGTTCTTGTCAACGAGGGCCATGGCGAGCTCGTCACCGCTTGTAGGGTCCTGTATCCCCAAGGCGACGACGTTCTCAAGCGGCTGGGGAAACCGACCAACAGCGCGCTGTATTCGCCGTTCTCTCTGCGGCAGATCATCGAGTTTATAGTCTTCCTGCCCCTGAACTTTATCCCCGTCGCAGGCACTCCGATGTTCTTGTTGTTGACCGGTTATCGCGCGGGGCCATTCCATCACTGGCGGTATTTTCAGATGCTGGATCTGTCGAAGAAACAAAGAAAGGAAAGGATCCGTCGACGGCAGCTGCAATACACTACGTATGTACCTCGTCTTGCGCATCGATCTATCCAGCCGATCATTTTCTGATCTATGGACGCAGATTCGGAACGGTTGCTTTGCTTCTACAGCTGATTCCTGGCTTATCAATGTTCTTCCTCATGTCAACTGCGGCCGGGTCTGCCCTCTGGGTAAGGGACATTGAGAACAAGCGTGATGTTTTACGAGGACGACATGACGGCATGACTGATGAGTATCATGATGATGACAATATAATCTAACCCCTTGACCTGTTTGGCCTTATACAACTGGTTTGGCCAAGTTTAGAACACGATGTGCCGTTAGGGATTTGCTTTAATAAGGAGTTCTTAAATTGGACGTCCACGGACGGTCTGTGACTGTGATACTTCTTCGTTCTGGCGCAGTCTGGTCGCATCATATGATATTTCTTCGGATCCTCGTCCCCCTTCTGGTCGACTCCTCGGAGATTCAGACCATGCCGTCTTGGCCCTTAACAGTCTAGTTGAAAGTTTATTTGGATTTGACTCTACGAAAGGAGACATTAGTCACGTGACAGGTGCAGAGGTGAAATAGTAACATTCATGAAGTCCAGACCAGCGGCTCGACATTTGCTAGACTTTCTCATTGTCTCTGCCCCTTTACAAGTACCTGCAAGGATTGCTCGGCAAGCCTTGATCCAGAATCCAGAACAGCCAGTATCTAGTCTGTTTGCACTGCCGAAGTGCCTTATTATTGTACAATACCGATATCGCCTCCACTTTCGGGTAGCTGTTTCATCTCCCCGAGTCTCCGACTGCATTGCCGAGCCAACTTCGAACTTTGGAAAACAAAACCATGCCATCGTCTTTACGCGTGGGTGGTTCTTGTCTTTATCTTTGAATATTTCATCGTCACCGTGTCATCTTTCACCTCACGTCCGACAGTGACTTGCGTGGTGGGGTAGCTTTGTATTCGTCTTTCGGGGTCTTCGGGGACCGCATACAGGGGACCTCGAGGTCATACCTTGAAGGTCGTCATTGTCGTTCGACAATTGTCAGTTCCCCGAATCTCTGACTATTAAGAACATCGCCCGTCTTGCGGAGAAAGAATTTCGGACATTTGCTGGCTTCATAGACGAGTTAGCGACGTTCATCCGGATTGAGTGCCTGAATCCTCGATGATTCCTGCCTGAGGCATGGAAATGGTAACGAAGTCACTCGGATGAGCCAATGGACAACAAAACCAGACTCCGAAAAGCATGTGATGCTTGTAGTATACGCAAGGTCAAGGAAAGTACTCATCTTGCCGAGATCAGATCTTTATGGATATGATCTTATCAGAACCGCCAGGCTAATTTATCGGCTAAAGTGTGATACAAGTGGACCACCCTGTCGGTCATGTGCAAGCCTGGACATCCCCTGTACCTATGACAGACCAAGCAGACGTCGTGGCCCTCCGAATCGCCATGCAGAGGCGCTGAAGAGACTGAGACTAGGAACTTCACCTAGTGCTCCTCCTTCTGCAATTTCTCCCAGTCCGTCGGATTTTTCTCCCCCGACGCTTCCACCAATATCCACGGTTAACCAGGATCTCACATCCACTTCAATTCCATCTTCGGTAGAGTCCATCTGCCCTTTCCCCACAGCGCGGCTGTTGGTGGATGATTTCTTCACGTATATTCACCCACTGGTCCCCATCCCTCATGAGCCCTCGTTCCGCGCCGCCTTTGAGCGACGGGAGGACACCAACAATCCGGCATTCCTGGCCCTCCTGGCCGCAATGATCGGGAGCCTGGTGGCATCCTTCCCGAGGAGACCGAAGCTTCATCTCAAGACCGAGGCAGAGAAAGCGGCCTTTCCCCACTCTCTTGCCTTGGTCAAGCGCTGTCATGATGTTGCTGTGCAAGCTCGAGGTGTCGGGTACCTCGATCGGAGCGCCACAGTCCATGACGCTGCCATCAGCTACTTCCTGGGTCTCTGCTCGGCTTATGTCTACAACATCCGGCGATGTCGGATGTACCTTGCCGAGTGCCGTACGATGTTGCATGTGTACGATCTCTGCCGCCAGTCGACCATGCAGTCGTCCTATGGGCCGACAAGCCCGATTTCTTCTTCGTCGGGCACATCACACGATCGGCTCAGTGGTCCCGCTGAGCGCCCTGTGGACATGATCGAGCAGGAGCTCGCGCGGCGACTGTTCTATGTGACCCTAGTTGGCTACCGATCAATACAGCAAATAGGCTCCACTGACACGCCGATCTATCTCCCTCCGGAGACGCCGACGGATCGCTACCCACCATTACCCGTTGAAGTGGACGACGAGTTTATTTTCAGAACGCATGTCGAACCTCAGCCAGCCAACCGAGTTTCGCAGCTAGTGGGTTTCAACGCCAACGTCCGGGTCTATAACTCGTACAACGCCCTGTCCGCTTGGGAGGTTGCGTTCGGTAGTGGGCGAATTGTTGATTGGGAGCGGCAACGGTCTCTGTTTTTCGAATGTCTGCAGAATTCCAAAGCGGCTTTGGCCGATGTGCCACCGGAGCTATCACTCCACCCTCACCGGCACGATTCCGCGGATGCGGCTGAGGATCCCTGGATGCGCGAGCGTCGCCATATCCAATACGAGATCCAGAAGGCCAATATCTACGTGAGCCAACTGGCCACCAGATCCTACTTGGCGGAGAAGTACTGGAGTCTCTACGCCACCTGGAAGATGTATCACCGACCCTCTGAGGAGGGAGGACCCGGAACTCCAGTGAAACTGGAAAAGGGGATCGACGATGCCGCTCAGAGCGACTACATTGGGAAGGCCATGGCAGAAGAACGCCGTCTCGTCGTTCGAGATCTGTTTGTCTTGCTACAGTCGGTCAACGAGCTCAATATGGAGCCCAACGGTGCCAGCTTTGTATGTATATGCTTCACCCACACCCCCCCCCCCCCCTTCCTCCTTCGTTGAAACCTAGCTGACCGTCCGTCAGACCGGTAAAGTCCGCCAAGTCGCGTCAACCCTGCTCAACCTCCCCACCTCACGGACCGAGACCGCCACCTTTACACCCGCCACCTTTACACCCGCCACCCCAGGCCCCAACCCCATCTCCCTTGCCGAGGCGGAATCCTACCTACACGCCTTCATCGACACCCTCATCCGGCTGGAGGGACTCGCTGCGCCCACTCCAGGCACGGCCGGGGCAAGCCCCAACGCCAACGGACGTAGAATGAGTTATTTGAGCGACCGGGAGCAAGAGGAGGAGGAGCTGCGCCAGTGGGCCAGTCTGAAGGACTACCAGGCGAAATTCAGCGTGTTCACTGAACTTTGATTTGAATACTTAGCAGTTTAATGTAGACATTGGCGGGTTGGTGTCCAGGGCGGATATACTGTGTTTTACGGGATGGAAACGAACTATTTAATGGCCAGATTTGGTAACAAAATCTAGAAACTATAATTATACGTATGGTACAGTACAGTGTACAGTGCCTCCGCCTCTAAACTCCAGTTCCTAACACATCTAACGCTCCAAAGTCAAAAGGATCAACCAGCTAATTTTCCCGCTTAGTGACAGTCTCTTCCGCCGTCACCGTCTCCGTCACCGTCTGCGTTACAGTCTCTCTCTCCGTTTTAGTAACGGTTTCGGTCTCGGTTTTGGTACTGGTAGTGGTCACAGTCATCACCCCGGCGTAACAGGCACAATGGACAAATGGGCATCACCCGGATCTCTATAGGGGGCAGTAGGCGTAGGCGTAGGCGCAGCTGTCGTAAGTGTGATCTTTGAGCCCAATCCCGGCTCAGTCTCCTCGGTAGTGGCAGCTGGAGCTGGCGTCTCAGCCGTAGGAGTGCTGGAAGCAAATACAACCACGCTCTTGGTTATGGTTGCTGTCGCGTGGATTCTGGTTATCTCCTCTCCTTCGGTAGGGCCAGATGCAGGGCTGCTTGTTGGATCTGCGTTTGCGTTTGCGTTTGCATTTGCGTTTGCGTATGGGTCTGGGTGAGTTGTGGTCGTCGTTGTCGCCGGGGTCGGTTCTGCGCCGGGTGTAATGAGGACAATCACCGGTGTGAGGACGGGTGTGATGTCACTGTCGGTGCTGGCGGTAGGGCTAGCGCTCTGGAGCTGACTGCTTGTGGTTTCTCCGATGAAGGGGGCTGGTGTTGCGGAGCGGAGGGGTGGGAGTGTAGTTGTACTTTCGGCTGTACTTGAGCTTTGTGTTGTGGTGGGTGTGGACTGCGCGCTGGAGGTGGTACGGATCTGACCTGCTAGATCTGTAGGTGTAGTGTCTGGTAGAGAGGATGCAGATGCTGTTGAAGAGGAAGAAGACGTGGTTGTATCTGTCTCGGGTTGCGGTCCTACAACGCTGGCAGTCGGGCTGGACGTCGTGGTCTCGGTCACCGTTGGCGTTGAAGAATGGGTCTCTGGCAGAGCTGTTGCAAAGAAAGTAGTTGAAGGAGATGAGCTGGCCGTCCCGGCCTCAGACAATGGTCCAACGACACCAGCGGTCAGACTGGATGTCGTGGTGGGTGTGCTTGCTGGGGCCGGGCTTGGTGAGATGATAACGATTGAAATGGGTGTAAATGTGGAAAGCTCAGGTGAAGGTCCTGCCGTCGGTCTGTGCTTGATAAGAGGGGTCGAGGTTGAGGTTGTAGACTTGGACACAGTCGGAGTTGACGCTGAGTGGGATGTCGAATGGGAGTGAGAGGTGTTCGGAATGACAACCGCAGATGTCTCCGATGAAGATAAAGTAGCTTCTGCGGACGAGGAAGCGATCGCAGACGAATGCTTTTCCCTTGCAAGTGTGGAAGATGTGGGTATCTCTGGAGAGCTAGATGTACTACTATCCACTGTCGCACGAGAACTGTCCGCTGTAGACGAAGGCAAAGGAACTTCTGCAGATACCAACGGAGTAACTGTCCCCGAATACCCTTCTGCTGGAAGCATCGAGGATCCAGGTACCTCAGTAGAGCTAGACGTCCCACTATCCGCCGTTGCACGAGAACTGTCCGCTGTCGACAAAGCCGAAGTAGCCTTCGCAGACGACAACGGAGTAACTGCGCCCGACTGCCCTTCTGCCGGAAGCATTGATGATCCAGGAACCTCAGTAGAGGTATACGAAGCCTGTGGCACCGCCGGCTGAGTACCATCCGCCGTCACGGAAGGCGTGATGGGAACAACATCCAAGCCACCATTTGCTTCATCTGAAGCCGCTGGTACATGTATATCGAGTTGTGCCGGCCTGGGATATGCTGTAGGTCCAGGAATATGGCTGCTTTGTTCCAGATCTCGAATCTTGTGGGCAAACTGGGCGATCGGGCCAGCCGAGCACGTTATGGCGAGAAGAGCGAGCGCGATGTTGAAGTGGATTAACTGCATTCTGACGGTATTAAACTATGAAAGACGGAAAGATCGATGAAAATTGCTCTGGACTAGAGAAAGTATGCTTGATAAATAATAAGAAGACCGAAAGAGTGGATGGACGTTTCGTTCGAGACGTCGACTCGTACTAATTGAGCATTATGATGAACATGAGAAGACAAAAAAGAAAGAGAAAATAAAAGGAAGCGACAGTCAATCAGTAGAACGATAGACTAGCCAGGGAACAATCTCTTCTGGCAGACAATGGAGGTTATAAGAGCATTGAGGCTTTCATGACAGGAGCCCTTAAGTTAGGTTGCAGAAAGCTAGCGTCTGGCATGACTAGGGACAGACGATCCATGCCTGAAGAACACACGGCTAGATGCATTATTGTGGATCTTGCTGATTGTCTCAAGGCTCGATGTCAAAGAGGAATGGTTGGCAGTTGCGACGACCTTGGATGGCGCGCGACAAAGAAGCGCTTGGAGGTGTTGCACCAACCGCCAACCCTGAGAGGCTGCAGCACACCATTGGCAATGGTGACTCAGCTGGATCTCTTTAAATAGACCAGATTATTTAAAGGTCTTTGATCTGTCCATTGAAATAAAGTGAAAGCAGTTTCTTTGAGGATCTATGCGTTGCCACATCTACAGGTAGCCATCGTTGCCTTGAAGTCTAGATTTGTAGAAGATGAAAGGCTTTTGATACTTATTGGAGAGACGATTGCAAGCCTACCCTATTAATAACCTCGTCCATTCATTGTGTATCATAGACTCATATTCATAACTCATACCTAACGATACAGCTAATGATTGATCCGTCACATTCATTATAAATCATGATCAGCCCAAAGTCACCGTGAATGGCTTGCTAATGCCTTCAAAAGACTTGATCTGGCCTTGGATATTCTTTGCATCGCCATAATAATGGAAGCGATACGTTCCAGCTTGGAGCGGCTTTGGGTTGCCGACGTTGTAGTAGTCATCCTCGATCTGCCATTCGAGGGTCACCTCACTGTATCCCAGGATAGCATTGGTCCTTTTCCAATGGTAGAGCAGGTTCCAGTCATTGTCAGTACGCACGACTTCCCACGTGCCTGAGGCCGGATTCTGCCGCTCGACGGCTGCGAATGTAGATCCCTGACGCAGGTTGTTTCGCGGATTGGCTCCAACGAATGTCGTGTTGACGGTCTCGCCAGGCTTGTACGTAGACTTGGCTACCGAGGCGACCACGTCACCAAATGATTTTCCAATGGGAGCACTGTCGTACACGACACCCGGGATGAAGCTCAGTGATTTGTCGGTGTTGATGGGCGGCTGCACTCCTGTGGGCATCTCCGGTAACGTGGCGGGATTGGGCGAATCGCCTAGATAAGGGAGGTAGGTCAGGGTCAGATTGATGTACGCGGCGAGAGTGTGAGGCCCGTAAAGGGTGGAAGCACCCTCGTAGCGTTGTCTACTATACTCTTCCTCTGTCGCAACGTAATGAGCGTAGCTGTTTGAAGGAGCCCCCAACACGACCAAGGGACTGTCAATAGAGAACACCTCTTTGGCTGACTTTGCAATGGCCTCTTTCCAACGCCGTCCAGACATGGTTGTAGCCTCACTCGTAGAGATGATGAGGAACAGCTGACCTACTCGGAGGACCTGGATGTCCACAATATTCGGCTCCCACGCATACGGCTGCGTGTTGGCTCCCACATCCAGGAGAATATCCTTGGGCGCCTGGCACGCCTTTTGTTCTGCCGATGGCTGATGAACAAATGCTCGAGCGACGTACCACAGCGGATTGGACTCTGCAGGTCCTGAGCTATTCTGTGTGAAATCAAACAGGCCAGGGCCGTCAGTCGTGCCGGCTGCGAAAGAGAAGCCCAGTGCCGCCGAGCATGTCGTCAGCATACTCGAATTGAACGGCGACTGGAATGTGTAGCCAGCAAGATCGCGGTAAGCGTGAAAAGAGCGAACATTAGAGCTCCCAGTGATCCGAGTATTACTCGCATCCATCTGGCTATACAACTGCTTGGCCGCGGCGTACTGAAGCCGTCCGATCTCGAAACAGCTCTTCGCACCGTTGTCTTTTTCACGGAAGAAGGGCCCGCGACCACGGCAGTCCTCGGTCTTGCCACCACAGGTGCTGTCGCTGTAGCGGCACATCTGCCCCGATCCATCCTCACACCATGCGCCCAGCACATTCGGGCTCGTATCCCCAACATTGGATTGGGAGAATCCGGCTACGAAGTCGTCGGCGAAATTCGCATCGTCCTGGACGCTTCGTTCAAAGAGCCAGGCGGCGACGCCTTTGTTATCGCCGGTAGTGAGAGTGTTGTTATTGTATAGCGAAGTGCCGTGCACCGGGAAGAAGGTCAGGATGGCAGTGGTCTTGTTGTCCGACTCCCTGTCGAATCGCAAGAGGGTCATTGTTTTGTCTACATTCGCCGAGTAGCGTGCTTTCTCTTCCTCCGGATTTGCGTCGTATGAATAAGGACTTCGGTTGATGTTTGCATTCTGGATATCGATGGAGCCGAAGCTCAAGCGACCGGGGGCCAAGCTTTCATGAGCGCGTTTTATGGAGAGGACCACGCCGTCAACGATAGCCTGATAGCTCTGCTTATCGAACCCCTTGCTAGGGATCTGTGGAAGTAGATAGTTGTTCCAGGCCCCAGGTCCTGAATGAGAGTGCGTCCCAGTCAACGCGACATTGCCCTCGCCGTAGCGTGCATAATCACCTCCCAAACTCGCCAGCGCCTGGAGAACTCCATGTCGGACGGCGGTGTCGCCCGTCACCGCGTCGATGACGATGTAAATAAAGGTATCGCCTGGTTGATTTGGATTTGTAAAGATGAAGGAGCGCGAATAAATTCTCTGTCGCAGACCTGTGCCAATCTGATCCAGCATAGCATATCCGCTGAGGGCTACCTCCACCACCGGGCTATCACCGTAGAGTCAGCGGATGTTCATCCATAACGAAGAATTAATAGCACGGAGCAAAACATGATTATCAGTACCCAGTGATGTCTGCTTTTCCGGCCCCCAACAGAAAAACACTATCATCGGAGACGGAGACCTTATCTGCCGCCCTGTGTTCCCATCGTGATGCCTTGCCAACAAAGCTGAAGCTGGGCGGTGGATTGTAGGTCTGCACAATAGACAGCAGCTGCAACAGTACAAGAGCCGTCACGAGAGTCCCGGCCAAAGCCACTCCGAGTCTGAAGTTCGCCATGTTTGCGAACGAAACTGTGTGGACAGTCCAAGCTCAGGTTATGCGGGTTGTGACCTGTTATCTTGATGACATCAGAAAGTAGGTTCCCGCTTGTTGCTTTTTCCACGCGGGAGTCGCGGTCGTCTTATGGATCGAATCACATTGTTATTCTCCGAATGGCCAGGCTGACAATGTTCAAGCAAAGGCCACATAGAAACAGGAATGACCTCGTACAGGTACAGCAAGGCAGCGCATGACCAGCAGATCGACAGGAATGCAGAAGGAGGGTAGCATCGCTTGTGGCCGTCGTCACGCTGCCATCCTTCGCCGCTATACTTGATTGGGTGCGTGGTCGTTCATTCCCCGCTTCCTCAAAATACCGTGAGATCTACAGAAGACGGCATTTATTGGTGGTGAGCGATGGTGTCGTGATGAGGGTTTATCAGTGGGTCATTGATGGTTGATGGAAAATCATATGGGGCCCTGTGGAGGTTTGTCACGATGTTCGTCAGACGGAGATACTTCCGTTTCAGACTATCTGTAATACAGTATGCATCCTTAGTTTCTAGGCCTCTAGGCTTGTTCTTTTAGTTCTCTATATTGCATACTTCTTTAAGGGAGCTGCCGAGCTCCGAATCAGATCGCATGTGATGCTTTATCAGGGCCATTACCGATGAAGAAAGAGAGCAGTATGCGCTCTCAGTCGCTTCTGTATCTCCCTGGCAAACTTCTGTCGACCTCTGCTATGCCACAGCAAGAGATCTCCTAGCAAGATGCCCTGCTCCTCAGGCATCCAAGGGTCCAAGTAGCCCTTACCCTTTTAGGCAGTCCACCATGCAACAGATGAGCCCGCATTATCTTCTCCAGTCAACCAACCGGGGTCGGTAGTGCAGCGGCAGAGCGCCTGCAGAAGCTGTCGATTCACATCTGAATCCCAACTTCTGCAGCGTCAGTAGTCTGCACTCCTGCACCCCGGTTCGAGTTCGCCTCTGCTCGTTTCTCCTGTCAATAATTTCAACGAAACGAGCACGAGGCGGGTCAGGCAACAGTCCCTCTTCATGTGCACCCATCTAATACCGTGGACATGCAAGAGGGAGACTGGGCGGGTTGGGGAGCAGTCAGTGCTACTGCCTCCCCAAGCCGTTTTGCTCCTCGGAGTTCAATTCCCTGATTTTTTCTTCTTGTGCATTGCGTCTGGCTCTCTTTTTCTTTAAATCCGTTGACACCGGTGCCGTCGCGGTCCTTAAACCAGGTCATAGCGGCCACTTGCGCTTTTGGCCCGTCCCCGGCACGTTGCCTGGATGCTGTTAGCTCTCGAAGCACTATAGTACTAGCCAGCAAGCTTTCCATAGACTAGCTAGCACAAAGCTAACCGTGTCAACAACGTAGTATGATCGCGGACCGCGGCGAGAACCACCTCGATTACTTCAATATCGGTTCGTTGCGCTCAGACACCAACGCAGACAAACGAAGTGCATTGGCAGCCTCCCATATCACCTCATGTCCAAGCTGACATTCGGTCTATCATCTGAGCATGAGCTGTGCTTTCATTGGTGGTTTTCAATAACCAAAAATGACAAGCCTCGTCTCCACATCCTATCTCAAATATGGATGGTAATGCAATGAAATGTCCTGCTGACTTGGCTTAATATAACTTCCAGAAATATATAATCGATGTGATGTCATTCAATCTAACCTGCAGATACTACCATGCCCTACAAAACGAATATGGTTGTTTCAGCCACGGCGCATAGTTGACCTTGATTTCGACCTTGCAAGGTGAGAGCCGAACCACAATATGCCTCGATCTCGGACGGACT